GCTGCTGATGTGCCTGGTCTGGAACAGGGCGTTCTCAGCCTCAGCCCTACTGGCATTTGAGGCTGGATCGTCCTGTGTGGAGGGCACCATCCTGTGCATTTTAGGGTATCAGGGGCGCCCCCGGCCCTTACCTTCTAGACGCCAGCGGCATCCACCCTCCAGTGGCAACAACCAGAACGTCTCCATCCCTAAATACCCCAGGGGGGTCCAAGTCACCCCTGGTTAAGAACCCCCACTGCTGACACAGATGGCCAAGAGACACACGAAAAGGTGCTCAACATCACTCATCACCAGGGAAAGGCAAATCAAAACCACAACGAGATACCACCTCGCCCGTCGGAACGGCTCAGCTCAACAACACAAGGAACAGGTGTGGGTGAGGACGTGGAGAGCAAGGAGCCTTCGTGCGCTGTTGGTGGGAATGGAAACTGGTGCGGCCACCATGGAAGACAGTATGGAGGGGCCTCAAAAAGGCTAAAAACAGAACTACCCTACGACCTAGTAATGGCACTGAGTATTTATCCAAAAAAGACAAAGACGCTAATATAAAGGGATACAGGCATCCCTAGGTTTATGGCAGCATCATATACAACAGCCAAGATACGGAAGCAGCCCGAGTGTCCACCCACAGTTGAAGGGGTACAGGCGACGTGGTATATGTGGATCCAGTGGAGTATTACTCAGCCAGAAGAATGAAATCTTGCCATTTGCATCAACATGGGTGAAACCAGAGTACCACGCTGAGGGTGAGGAGTCAGCCAGAGAAACGCAAATACGAGATGATTTCACTCATATGTAGAATTTCAGAAACAAAGCAGATGAACAAAGGGAAGAGAGAGAGAAACAAACCAAGAAACAGACTCTTAACTACACAGAACACACGGACGGTTACGGGAGGGGGAGGGGAGGGGAGGACTCGGTGTTGGGGATGAAGGAAGGCCCTGGTGAGGAACGCTGGGTGACGTTCCAAGGCTTGAACCACTACATGGAACACCTGAAACTAAGACTCACTAGATGTTAACTCCACTGGGATTCAAATTGGAAAAACTTCATAAAATTTCATAAAATACATGCAACTGCCCCCCAAAAGGGCAAAATAAGGCAAAATAAAGGGCAAAATAAATAGTTTCAGGACTGAGGACAAACAGAAAACTGAATTCGATAAATGGTAGAAATACACTAGGAAGAAAATGAAACCACTCCACAACTACAAACACAAGAAAAAAAAAAAAACTGGGGGAAGGGGGGAAGGGAAGGGAAGGGAAGGGGGAAGGGATGCGCCCCCCACGGCCAGCCCCCACCTCTGTACCTCCCCGCCGGGCCGCCCTCCCCGACTCACCCTCCAGCTCTGCGCTCTGAGCTTCCTCCTCTCCTTCCTCTCCCGCCTCCGCCTCCTGCACCTCGAGCACCTCTTCGTCTGGAAGCCGCCAGCGTGGAAGAAAACGGCCACAAGATTCACCTGGTGCCCCGCTCCCCCCACCCCTGCCCCGCCGAGCGAGCGCAGCGGGGAAGTGGCCGCGCCCGCGACAGTCACGGGGGACGGAGGGACAGGTCGGGGTGAGGACGCGGGAGCCCCCCCCCCCCACCGCCCCTGGGTGCAGTGACCGCCAGCGGCCCCTCCGCGAGCCCTAAGGTGCTGGGGGCGTGGGGGGAGGGGCGGTGGGCGCCCGATCCTCTCGCGTTCAAACCGGGCTCACGACTCCTGCCGCCCGCCCTTCTGGAGCCTTCTGTGTGATCGGCTCCCCCTGCGCGCCTGGACTGGCGCCAGCTTATGAACCGACACAGCCGCACTGAATGCCGAGGTTAGCAGAGGCCGCTCTAAGCGGCGCCAAAGGAAGCCGTGCGAACATTCCCGGGAGCCTAGGGACGCGGAGTGACGACGCGGGTCCATCCGCCCGCAGGGGATCTCAGCGACCAACACGCGTAACAGAGCGGCTCGACCCGGGGGCGTCTGGGTAGCTCGGTCGGTTGAGCCTCCGACTGTGGCTCAGCTCTTGACCTTGAGGTTCGTGGGATGGAGCTGGGCACCGGGCTCTGCCCCCGACAGCTCGCAGCCCGCTTGGCGCTGTGTCTCCCCCTGCCTCGGCCCCTCCCCCACTCGTGCTCTCTGTCCCTCAAAAATAAACATTTAAAAAATAATACTAAAATGAAATAAATTTGGGGCGCCTGGGTGGCTCAGTCGGTTAAGCGTCTGACTTCGGCTCAGGTCATGATCTCACCGTTCGTGGGTTCGAGCCCTGCGTCGGGCTCTGTGCTGAACGTTTGCTCAGAGCCTGGAACCTGCTTCAGATTGTTTCTCCCTCTCTCTCTGACCCTTCCCTGTTCATGCTCTCTCCCTCTCAGAAATAAAACAAAACAAAAAAACACAAATGGCCACATCCTTGAGTTCCACCAATATATCAAAAAAAAAGAAAGAAAGAAAGAAAGAAAATTTTAAGTTAATCCTCAAAAAAGGCTTCACCTCTTAAAAAAGGGGGGCCCAATTCCACTAAGCAAGTGTTTCACCTCTTAAAAGGGGGGCCCAATTGCCACTCAGCAATCTCTTCTGTGGGACTGGCAAGCGTTGAAAAGACTATCCAACATTGGCAAGGCTGTTGGCTAACAGGCACCTCACCACTGTTGGGTGTGGACTGGCAGGACCTTTCTGGAAAGAAGTTTTGGCAGCATGCTCCGCGCCCACACCCAGGACACCAGCAATCCTACCCCACAGAAATACGCAAAGTGTGCAGAGATGCGTGTGCACTGTTGCCTTGTTTGTGAAACATACTATAGAAGGGTAAATGTTCACTAATGAGGGAATGGATAAGTATGGTATATCAATGTGCTTAAAACCTGTAAAGTTAGGGAGATCTATATTGACATGAAAAATTGTCAAGATACATTTGAGGGAGAAACAAGTCACAGTATGATTGACTTTAGAAACTATACATCTATATATTATCATTATAGAAAGATATAGATGATTGATTGATTCAGGGAAAGATCTGGCAGGATACACACCAAACTAACACTAGTGGTTACCTAATAGGTACTAGTTACCTGCTAACTAGTACCCTACCTACTAGGAAGGGCAGTAGAACTTAAGGGTCAGTGAAGGGTTGCTTTTGCACTTTTTACTTTATATAATTCTATGTCCTGTGAATTTTTTATAATTGTTTTAATGTTTATTTTTGAGATGGAGACAGAGTTTGAGTAGGGGAGGGGTAGAGAGAGAGAGAGACACAGAATCCAAAGCAGGCTCCAGGCTCTGAGCTGTCAGCACAGAGGCCGACGTGGGACTCAAACTCACCAAATGTAAGATCACGACCTGAGCCAAAGTCGGACCCTTAACCAACTGAGCCACCCAGGTACGCCCGTCATGTGAATTTTTAAGAGAATGCCCTCCAGTAATACCTGTGTCATTTTTTTAAATTTAAGTGAGTCATCACATGATATACACACAGCCTGATTCCACTTTGCTATTTCAAGAAATATGCATTTACCTATTAGAACGGCATCTTGGGCTACCTGCTGCCACTTGGCCACAACCCTCTTTCCTATCACCACCCTCGCCAGCATCTAGCTGTCTCCATTCATATAATTTTCAACTGCGAGCAGAGAAGGCTTGACTGGGGGCAGGGACGGAGATAGAAAAGAAAAGAGGGCTGAAGAGGCACGCCCTGGCCCCACTCCGGTTCCTGCGGATCACCCAGGGCCCCACGAAGGATCCAGGAAAGCTGCCCAAGGGTCTTAACAGGCAGAGTGAGAACGAGGGACCCGGAGCTGAGGAGGGGGCCCCTCTCCCCACCTCTGCCCAGAACCGAACACCGTTCTGGTGCCTCAGTCTGCGGCTCTGAGTCTCCAAGGGAGAGCACGCTCGGCGGGGGGTATCCTGGCATCTTCGCGATGCCAGACGGTGGGGAAGACCCAGAAGGGGAGGGAAGGAACAGGAAGCAAGTCAGAGACAGCCCAGAAACGGCTCACAGTCCGAGGGAGGTTTCCCAGCACCCTTTCGAGGGTCCGGGAATTAGCCAGGAGATCCTTCTAAGCGAGGCTGAGATCTGCTCCCACACAGACATGGGGGGTGGGGGGGTGGGGGAGGATGCTGGTCTGAGCCTGCATCCGCGGACGCGGCTCGGAAAGTGGCCGCAAACTGCCGAAGAAGTCCAAGCCCGGTCGGGGCGCTCACCCGTCTCCACCTCCACCTCCACCTCCACGGGCACCACCTTGCGGTAGAAGAAGAGCGTCAAGGCGCCCTCCTCATCCTTGGTCTGGTTGAGGAAGTGCAGGATGAGGTCCTCGACCTCGCCGTCGTCGCGGCTCAGCAGCTCCTCGAAGAGCTGGGGGTCTGTGAGGCCGAAGGCCGTGTACACGCGGTCCCGCATCCACAGGACCCGCAGGTCGTCCATGGCGCCTCGCAGGGCCGGACGACGGCGCCGCGGGAGCCCAGCGCCGGGAGGCGTCCGTGGCGACGGCGCCCCTGGCAACGGGAGCCTCGGCAACGGCAGCCGCGGGTCGGCGCGGTCCCGGGGACGCGCCCGCCCCGTCCCCGCGCTCACCGCAGCGCGGACCCGTCCCGGCGGTGGCGCCCAGGCCCCCCCCCCCCCCCCCCCGGCCCGCCCCCCCCCCCCGCCGGAGAACCGAAAGGCACAGCGCGGCAGCACGCACGCTCCCCCCCCACCCCCGCGATGCAGGGAGAGCCGAGTCCGGCCGGGGCCGCCTGACCCGTGTTGCCCAGGACACACCGCTGCCGGGTTCGGGGGCGCCTGGGGATCCCCATCACCCCGGGGCTAGCATCCCGCCCTTGTGCCCCGAAGGCCGAGGCCAGCGAGGTGAGGTGACGGGACACGGTCAGGAGGCAGGACTAAGTCTGAGCCATCGGCCACTACGCATCAAGGGGTCTCAGAAAGCAGGTGCCTTGCGAAGAGTCCCAAGAAGGGACAGGTGACTTCTGGCATTTGGGATCACGGAAGGTGCCAGGCATCCTAGACAAGCCAGGGCATAATAAAGCAAAACACCCATGTTTTAAAAATATATTTATTTTTCATTAGTAAAAGGAAGTTGAATACTGATAGGAAGATGCAAAATTGTCCTTTCGTGCATTTGCGGAGCTTCAACTCAGTCACTGGGTCTCCCCTCCCGGAGCTGAGTCCCTAGGTGACAAGGCTGACCCTAAGAACCTGGCCTTCTTGCTGGATTTTCCCATCAAGGAACATGTGGAATGTTCGAAGTATTTCTTACAATTCTACACCAAAGCCTGGCCTCAATGACCTGGCTGTTGGAAAACTATTACGTGGAACTGCCTTATTTTCATCATCTTGAATTAAGATTACCTCACAACCTTATTGGAGATTACACCAGAGGGCATGCAAGCAAACTTGGCTTTAACATTTTAAATGAAGAGATTTACTGTTTTCAAATGCAGACTGCAGAACAGCTGTAGAAGTTGTTTTTGTTTTCCAAAGTGAGTCAGACCCTTAAATGCCTGAATATTGAATTCATAAACATCTTAAGAATGACCCATACTATATTCTATGCCTTATTAAACTACAGCAGATTGGAAACTGAGAACAGTGGTTGTTATAAAATACCCATTCCCGAAACGAGGACAGGATGGCATTCCGTGAAAGGGGAGTCTTTTCAAAGTCCCATCCACAAGGAATGGAGAGTCCACAGGGCTCATGATGATCCCCAGCAGAACACCCTGAGTTCTCTAACTGATGACAATTATGTCACCACAAGGATGTCCTTTACCCTGGCAGGATGAAATCAAGTTGTTTTTCTGAAGGGTGAAGAAATCCCTGGAATTTTTATTTTAGGACTCTGTTAACACACAGAATAAACCCCTGAATGAAAAGTGGGAAATACGGCCAGCATGACGTTTGTCGTGACACGTTCTCTTTAGGAGAATAGATACTTAGCTTCATCCCAACAAGTGGCCATTTTTCCTCCAGATGTGTGCTATTAAGGGAACAAAGTCTGTCTTAAAAATGATATACATAATAGTTCTACCAAACAGCTTAAACACAAAGCAAAGCATCTGCTCTGATAACAAGACATTGGAACCTATAGCTTTAGAAAAAAATAATAAAATTCCCCCTAGTGCCTACAAAACACCATCAAGCTCTATTTCTAGAGAGTTCTTTCACCAAAGTTAGGACTAATTCATTTTATTCTATAATTATATAGAATACATAATTATGTATGTTTATGTAGAAAACACAAGTTTCGATTAAAAAAGGACTCTTCCCTCTCTGTTCTATACCCTGATAAGAGATGTTGCTTAGAATTAAAAATTGGCCCATAAAAGTTACAAGTGGGGGCACGAAAAAATTCCAGCAGACACTGGTCTCTTGTTTACTAATCAGTTCTCAGGGCCCTGATATCGTGAGTTTCCTAAGGATGAATCAGCATTTCCTCACAAGAGATGCTTGCAGCAAAGCAGTAAAGACGGCCAGGGGCGAGGGACGTGTGAACCCTGGACAGCACTGTTCTGATTTTACATTCACCCAACACAAGTGTCCAACGTTTGACCTTTCTGGAGAAACATCACTCTGAGAGCAGAATCACTTCCCAGGGATTCATCCACCTGGTGTTAAGCTTGATACTGAGTACGAGGGACAGAGCCCAGTAACTCCCAGTCAGTGGAGCAGCAGCGTGGAACGCTCACTACATGATTACGGCGTGAGGTTACCATCATGGTGACGTCAGCGCGTTCAGCTCATGCCTCTTGGCAAACAGGTCTCGACTTTACCGGAAAAGATACAGAGACCCAGGGCCACCATAACCTCAGCTTGGGCTGAAATTTCCAAACGCTCCCACTGGGCAGGGTGAAGGCGTATGGTGACAAACGGGCCTCTTCATGCACTTTCCTCGAAACATTCAAAAAAAAAAAGGAACACACTGCAGATTTCTTTTTGAAAATAATTACCAAAATCAATTATAGTAAAATATGAAAAATGAACGTAATTTACAAAAACACAGATCTTCCTCAACTTACAATGGGGTCTCATGCTAAGTGGAAAATGCATCTAACCGCCTGCCCCGGGGACTCCGCAGCCCAGCCCGGCCCGCCTCGGACGCGCTCGGAACACGGACACAGCCTCCGGGTGGGCACAGCCATCAGCACAAAGCCCGCTTTATAAGAAGGTGTTGACTGTTGCTTGTAATTGACTGAATCCAGTACTGAAAGTGACAGACGGGACGCTGGGTGGGTGCAGGCGGCCGTCCGCGCACCGCCTGCTGACACTCCTGCCCGCGTGGCTGACTGGGAGCTGTGGCCGCTGCCCAGCATCGCGGGAGGGGACGGGGCCACGGATCGCTAGGCCGGGACAGGATCCGGATTCAACATTCCAAGTATGAGTCCTACTGAAGGCAGGTCCACTTTCACATCATTAATTCAAAATTCATTAAGTGGAACTACTGGTAAGGCGGAGACTGTCTGCACAGATGAAAATACTCAGCAGGACGGACTTCAAAACTAAATGTCAAGTCAATTGGTGAATTTAAATTAAAGAGAATTTGCAACTGATCCAATGGTATTTGAAAGCTTAAATTAACTCTAAATACCTTTACCAGACCTTTATTTAGAATTAGTCTGAAAGTAAAAAATTAGAACTATACTGTTCTCAAGGAGAGGTGCAATCTCTTCATGGTAAAATATCTTAATTTATATTTTGTTATAAAAATATACAAAATACTACTTTTTACCTTCCCTTCACTCAGAATAAACCCCTAAAAGGTTCAGTAACATCAGTAACATCAGCCAAGTTGGTTCCTAAGTTCAAATCACATCCATATTTTATCTCCTACAGTCACACTGGGTTTTAAGGCTCAGTATACAGTTTATCTTTCCAACATTCAATTATCATAATTGGTTTTATATAAGGATAAGAGGGTAAAAATATCTTTAAAAATATACAAGTGGGATAGCCATCTGTTGTACATCATTTTATCCCATTTTCCCCAATTATTAAAACCAGACAAAATTGTAGAAACAGTCCCCTACTTGCAGTTCTAGACAGCATACAATACAAAATGTTTACATACTTTTAAACAAGCAGAATAAATGTGAATCTTTTGATTATCCGTCATTAAATTTTTTAAAAAACTATACTTCAGCTGTTGGAAAATATTATCTGACGACTTCGAGTGACACAATAATGCTATCTTTTTTTTTTAATAAGGTGAAAAGGACTCAAGTAGCTAAGACCATTTTCAACTAGCCATTCAAAACCACTGCTCTCCCCCAAGCCTCTATTTTTAAAAATAACTTTAACATAACTTTTGGCATTAACTTATTATTTGCTTACTGTAAAAACCGAAAGAAATCTACATATCTGAAACTGATAAACGTTACAAAATATTTAACATGTGGAAGAGGTATATCTTACAGAATTATTTGGCTAATTCATAAGGCAATCAATGAAGATGGAATTTTTCCTATCGTAAATTTGACGGAAGTGAAATCCTGTCACATGATCATTCTCCATAAATCTGAAAGCTTGCTTGGATATGGCAATACGGTCATGCCACGTCGTCACTGAACTTTGACGAAAGCAGTCTGAATGAGAAAGGAACAAACTTGGTGCCTGCACCAACGTAGAACTTGTTCTGAAATTCTACCCTAAAAGAAAAAAATGTCCGTGTATTAATGAAAGACTGTGAATAACATTTCATACGTTTCTTCAAACGTTTAGAAGTTAAGAAAAAACCCAAAATAGCTCCTGTGCCAAAGCTGCTGCACTCCATACATGCTCTTGTGATACACGTTTTTACTTAAATAAAAGACACACAGACACACACACACACAGCCCGCCTCACGTCGCCCTTCTCGACGTGTAATGGAAGCACTAACCCAGTGTGCCTCGCACACGCACACGCACACACACATGTACGAGTATTCAGAACCTCTCTCCCCACCTCGGTACCTTCATACACAGACCAGCGTCTGACACACACTGTAAGCCATTACGAAATATGTAAGAATTTTATTCTATTTTACAGTGAGGTAATCTGTCAGGCCCCCAAATAAGTTCAAAGTATTAAATACACATAGTTATTAAGTGCCAGGGTTTTGTGGGGCTATTTATACACGTGGGGAGAGGGGTTCAACATTTTTTAAATGACACTTCCAAAGCTCACACTCACCAGTGGAGGCGTATGGCGTGAAGAAACGCAGAAAGGCCTTCCATGATCAGCAGGATGAAAATGGTCACCACTGCAAAGAGGGCGGTTACCGGCAGCAGCAGCAAGACTCCGTAAGTGGTGTCGACCCGGAGGCCCACACGCACCAGCATGGTCCACAGGACGTCGGACAGCTCTGCGGGAGTCATCGGCAGAGTCACCCTCTGTTCACGCCCACTGCCTCCCTGCACTCAGCCCACGGGCCTGGGTCTCCTTCTGACAACTGTGAATTATCACCCACAGAATAACCCCCACGCCCACATCAGCTACGCGTCACCTGCTTCTCCTGGAGGAGTGAGCCAGCTCCCGATCGTGTCAAACACGGAGGGAGGTACCGCAGTGCCAAGGAAAGCCAGACGCCTGCCTCCCCGCAAGAAGCCTGACGCAAACTGGGGTCAGGCTGGCCCCGCACAACACTAGCTCACACAGCGTCTAGAAGACGGTACTATGTTTCCCTCGGAATTGTGAAATGTCGCACCCCCCACCCCGGGTTCACCGCGGCACGGCGGGGCGCCTCGGCGCAGAGTCTGGGAACCACAGGCCTCAGCCAACACTTACGTGCGTGGGCCAAGCTGAGCGCCCAGAGCCTCAGGTACGAAGCGGTGTTGGAGATGCAGCCCAGACAGTACTCGATGGAATGAATCACCTGGGTCATCAGTATCTCTCCAAAATTAAACTGAGGGAGGTCACACGACATGTGTCAGAATCGTCGAACTGCCCGCAGGTGCCAACAACCGCCGGGCCTGTCCACTTCCCGTCCCTCGCTCTCCGTGAGAGAACCAGCCTCTGGGAGGCTGGTGGGGGGGTATGCGCAGGAGCGTGAGGGGCAGGGACTCAAAGATCCGAGTTCCACTCACTGTTCCCCCACAGACCAGCTCCGTGAACTGTGACACTGCGTGCCGCCCCGGCACCGGCCCCCCCACCCGGCCTCAGTCTCCCGTGTGTCACAGCACTCAGGCAGCCCAATGCAACTCTGGGGCTGACGCCGACTGAACGCAGAGATGCTGACCGACCACAAGCCTGGAAGACTGAGTCAAGCCGCGTGTCTGATGCATAAACGCAAGCCCAACAAGGGCAGACCGTGCAAAGGGCCCCTGGCAGTGGCGAGGCTGTAAAACGTTGGGAAAGAGGACTTCAACGCTCTTTCCAGTTCTGCTTTTTGGGTCTTTTATGATCCTATAAATCATCCCAAATTAAAACACAAAATTACGTAATAATTACAAAATGCTGATCGTAAGAAATTTTGTTTGGTCCTTACTGGATGGCCAAATAAAGTTTCCAAGAAAATAAAGCAGGCAAGAGTAGCAGAAATGGCCCTGTCTGTCTGCTCTGGACCATGCCTCCCTTCCTTGGGGGGGCTGCTTCTTCCCCATCCAGCCCACACCCCCACCCCCAGCTGTCACAGGCTGAGGTGTGACCCCCTCCAAATTCACATATTGACAGCCTAGCCCCCAGTGTGACTGTGCTTGGAGGCAGGGCCTCGTGAGGGGTGATCTCGGTTAGAAAAGGCCCTGAAGGTGGGGGTGCCCTGAGAGGAAGAGACGCATGCCCACAGAGGGCAAGGCCCTTGACGACACGTTGACAAGGCAGCCCCCCACAAGCCAAGGAGGAGGCCGGGGGAGAAACCAGCCCCGCCAACACCCTGAACTCGGGCCGGGGGCCCCGTCTGTGGCTCTGGCTGCGTGCGGGCTACTAGAGCCGTTGTTGGAAGAGGGAGGACAAAGGGCCCCAGCCCGGGAATCACAGTTCTTCCTCGGGTTCCTCCTCATCTAGCAACCAGCCCAGAGCGCTTTTTCTCTCCAAAGGAAAGACTGAAGAAAATAAGCTCAGGGCTGGCTGTGGCCAAGGTTCCCAAATCGTGGGGCCAACTGGCTTCAGAATATCAAGCAACCTTGCAAAGAAAAACCAACCCAGACTCCTTGGAATTGGAGGCCCAGAAACCCATCATCCTGAGGCCGACTCTGCTCCTGTCCTGACGTGAGCCAGAAGATTCCCTGCGAAGCCGGCATGAATCAGGGCTCCCTCTTACAACTATGAAGAAGTTCTGAGACAAGAATCTTCGGAGAGCAATGCGTGTGGCACCTTAAGTCACTTCATGTGATAGCATGTAATGTTAACACTACAAATCCTGCTGTAAAACTGAAACAACAAAATGGTAAAAGCCAAAAACCCTGATGAACAGCAGATGATCAAAACAGCATCTGGGAAGCTTCTGTAACCGGTGTTTTGGGTTTTAGGGTTTTTTTTTTTTGTTTTTTGTTTTTTTGTAAACTCTATGCCCAACGTGGGGCCTGAACTCATGACCCCAAGATCAAGAGTCACAGACTCCACCGACTGACCCGGCCAGGTGCCCCAGAGAGCTTGCTTCTTATCTAATGTTACTGATAGTAACAGAGAAAGTTACCTCTTCACACATCATTTCTCTACATCCATCTTCTATTTGGTGATTTCCCTCTTCTACGTCTTGGCTTCCCAGCAGAGAAACTTCTTCCTCGCTGTCTTTCCTTATGAGTGTGTAACCACTCTAACAACAACCAAAAGAATACAGAGTCATTGCCTTTAAAATCACAACAACCTGACAAACCCAAAGTCAGAGCCCCTTCATTTCTCTTAATAATTCAGCTCTTCGAGAATAAAAAGTCATTTCTGAGCACGCAAGCCTCTCATACCTGCCAGGATGGCTATTATTTAAAAAATAACAAGTGTTGATGAACGTATGGAGCAACCAGAGCCCTTTGTGTACTGTTGGTAGGAACGTAAAATGGTGCAGCCACTGTAGACAACAGTGTGGTGGGTCCTCAAAAAATCAAACAGAATGTGATTGAACAACTCCATTTCTGGGTACATATCCAAAACCCTGAAAGGACTCCGAAAGATTTTTACACATCACGCTGACAGTATCATTATTCACAATGACTGAAAGGTAGGAACAGCCCAGCCCAAGTACCCACTGATGGATGAACTGATGAGCAAAATGTGACGTAGCCAATGCAATGGAATATTAACGAGCCTTAAAAAAGAAGATATTCTGCTACAATCCGGATGAACCCTGAGGACATTATGCTTGGTGACATATGCCAGTCACGAAAGGACAAACACTGTGTGACTCCACAAACACGAGGTGCCTGGAGGAGTCAACACCCATAACAACAGAAGTAGATGGTGGTTCTGAGAGGCTACGGGGGAGCGACGGGGAGCCAGTGTTTCATGGGGCAGAGTCTCTGTTCGGGAGGATGAAAAAGCTCTGGAGATGGACAGAGGTGACGGAATATTCTATCACAATTATTTTTAAAGAAATAAAATGAGAAAGCGGACATCCAGGAAAAAAAGAGTCTAGGAAGAAATTTAACAAAATGGTAACCCTGGTTATAAGTGCATGATAGAACAGGGCGCTGTTTCCACTGTTCCACACTTTCTATGACTGTTGTATTATTTAAATTAAAGAAGGCTTTAAGGAAAAAAATCAAGCACCAAGAAGGAGAAACAAAAAGCGCTTTGCCGATGACAGCAGTGCGGCAGCACTGGGGTCGCCGCCACCCCACCCCGGCTCATCTCCGTACAGCCCGCGGGGTCCACAGCGGAACAGACAACACCGAGCTTCCCAATAAAGGAAGCCCCGGCTTTCCGTCAAGAGCCTGCGACCTCCTGAAAGGTGTTTTCTTTAGGTCTCTGCCCGTAACTACCACCAGGCTCGGTGCGGCGCCCCAAACGCGCGTCCGGACCCACACTTACCCGGCTCGCGCCAAAGCAGTTGCGACCGTTGTGGAGCCACAGCAAGAAGAGCGGTTTCCCCAGGAAAAGGACGGGGACGGCCAGCGCCGTGACGGCCAGCAGCAGCCTCTGCACGTGCTCCTGTCGCGCAGAAGTGGGGAAGCCCGTTAAAACGCAAGGACAAGCTGGCTGGCCCGCTGGCACACATACTGAGGGAAGCTCCAGGACAAGGTCTCCTTGTTCACGGTAACAAGGAACAAGGTCAACGTGAGGCCGGGGGTGTCTGCCAGCGCGTCTCTCCCTGAACTCAGAGCTGAATTCTGGAACCGATGAGTCATGCCGCTGACAGAGCGATAAAACGACACTTTGTTCAGATCGGTAAGGAATGCGTACAAACATTCTAGACAGAGTCAGACCCCAGCTCCTCATTTCCTGAAAACACTGAGAGAGGGCGAACACCAACGCAGGCTAGACGTGTTTTTATATTCTTGCTTTGTTTTTCTACTATCATTCTAAAGATTACTTGGGGAAACTAAGTAAGGATAAGTGGATTCACTTCTACACAAGAAAAATACTGAAAGAGCATTCAGAACAAAACTAAAAACTTTTTCTTCGGAAGTAGGGATATTTAAGGGCACCCTGGGTGGCCAGCTGGTTGAACGGCTAACTCTTGATCTCAGCTCAGGTCACGATCTCATAGTTGATGAGTTCAAGTCCTGCATCAGGCTCTGTGTTTGGGATTCCGTGTCTCCCTCTGTCTCCCCCTCCCCTGCTCATGTGCTCTCTCTCTGTCTCTCAAATAAATACGTGGTATTTTTTAAGTAGGGATATTTACTGTTACCTAAAAGCATATTTTTGCTTCTACAGCCATCACAGTCCATGTGGTTTTAAAGATCTGCAGGTGGCTATGAAAGCAAACGACCGGTCATCCCGTGGTCCCCTGCCGCCCCCATGTTACACACAGATAGATCCCCAGAGCCGTGTGCACCACACGAGTGTGAGCGAGTGGCAGGTGTGCATTAGCATCTCGTACCCACCACCAACACGAGTACCTCCCCACCCCCCAAAATGCTGAGGAAAGTGGCAGCCACGGGCAGAGTCCTATCAGGAGTCATGAGCGTGTGGTCAAGCAGGCCGGGTGAGGATCTGGGCAGCGGAGCGACCAGGCCTGCCCTGTGGATGACAGCACTGGCCTCGAGGGCTACTGTGAGCGAAGAAAGAGTAATCACAGAGAGCATCTGTCAGGCATACGGGAGATGTTAAATAAAGGTAGTTCCCTTCATTAAGCTTTCTGACCACGGCACCCGAAGGCCACTGACCTCCCTGTTGTGTCTTTCTCTCATAATCTAGGTCATCCGACAAAGGTTCAATAAAATAACAGTGAATCTAATTTAAAAATCACCAACAGAAGAAACAGAAATAAGAGTGGAAACTCAAATAGTTGAAGAAGGAGGTACGTGTGCGGCTCACAAGGAAGCCCACGGTGCTATGAGCTGAGCTTCAAATCGGACGTACAGTTAATTGACTTGTCCGTGGGATGCGGAAAACAAAACCAAATGCTCCACTTGCAGGGTCAACAAAATTAAAAGAACAAAAACAAACACCTACAGTTCAGGAGAACACAGGTGAGGACAGTGCTGACTGAGATTTCTCTGATATCTCACAGACGCTGTGAACACGATGCGCAAGGCCTATAGCGGACGCTGCGGCACTGGACACGGCACACAGAGCCTCAGCGTAACCACAACACGAGCTCACGTTTACTGAGCACCCGTAGGTGCTGGTACTTTTCTAAGCATCTGATCATATTAACTCTATGCTACAAATTGGGTCCTGTTCGTATTCCCATTTTATAGATGAGGAAACTGAAGCACGGAAGTGTCAAGTTATATGTTCAAAGTTCCATTGCGAAGAAGTGACAGTTAGGACTGCAAGCGGGGCAGTCACCCCTGAACCCACACCCCGCCACCGTGGATGTGGTGGGCGTTAACACAAATGCACATTCTAGAAAAGCCAATTTGGGAGAGGGCCAACATGCTGTGGGGTCCAGATGCCGGTTCTGAGTGCCCCGGCTTAGAGACTGAGTTAAGGCAATGGGAAACACGGTCGGGGTTGGGGGGGCGGGGGGCAGGATCTGCCAGTTCTCAGAAACCCTCCAGCACACACACTTTCTTTCCCAGAGCCCCCAGCACAGCGCTCAGAGCAGGGTGACAACAACGTGTGACAACACAGGAAGAAAGAGGAAAGCCCCTCCATGCCCGGGGTGCCTGCGGAAAGCGGGGCGCACCTTCAGTCATCTGCTGCTTACAACAGAAAGGCTACCATCAGGAGGACTCCCCGTAAGCTTACAGGGGTGGAAAAGAACATTACCTACCTGCCCCGAGTAGAGGCCATTTGTTTCACTAGCCGGGAATAAAAACATGTTAATAAATTCAATCAGAATGCTCGGGGCGACTCTGGAGGTTTCTGCTGAATAAACCAGCCACTTATAGATGATCATAAATATAAGGTATCCAAAGATGCACAGCATGAAGAGAAGTTCCGGGACAGAAACCAAATAAATGTTGAACTTCTTCCGGAAATGCCTAGGAAAATAAAAGGAATCGATCAAACCATGAGCAAGTCTAGTCTAGACTGAGATAAAGAATGAAGAGAAAATTGCTCTTCAATGCTTTGTGACAAGGCCTCTCCCACCAGAACATCCTGTCTTACAACTCATATTTCCGATTCAGATATGTCCATGAAGAAAACAGACATGAACACAGTGAAAATGTGAGTGTTTCACTAATGGGTCCAGTTAGAGGAAAGAGATGCAAACTCTTCCTCTTGATATGCCGGCTCTAGTAAATGAACAAAAAGCTTTCCAATTTATAATGAAAAAGAGCAGGAAAAAAATCACTCCTGGAAATAAATCTGAATGTAGATGCCACCTGCCTCCCTCCCTTGAGTGGAAAACTCCATGTGGGCAAAACCCATCTCCAGCACCACTCAGTCCCTGGAGCCTAGAACAGCACCTGGCGTGTCCTCTACACACAATAAAGAGCTACTACACAAACGAATCACTGCAACGGTCAAAACCCTGTTTGATCACAAGCACACACCATTCCAGCACACTGGCTGCCTTTAAGGCCCGTACAGTCCACCCTGAAGAGGCAAAGTTTAAGAATACCAAACTTGGCTTATAAATATTGCTTAAGAAAAATCTGGGGGCGCCTGGGTGGCTCAGTCGGTTGGGTGTCCAACTTCAGCTCAGGTCATGATCTTGCAGTTCGTGGGTTCGAGCCCCACATCGGGCTCTGTGCTGACAGCTCAGAGCCTGGAGCTTGCTTCTGAATCTGTGTCCCCTTCTCTGCCCCTCTCCCTCTTGTGCACGCTCGCTCGCTCTCTCTCTCTCAAAAATAAACAAACATTAAAAAACATTTTTTAAAAAATCTGTACTTACAAGTGGTTAAATATTCCCAGAATGACTCCAAAGGTCATGTGAATAATTCCTAAAATCACAGACATTTTCATTTTGAAAGAGTTTAGGAAAGTGAGGCGATTTGTGGCCAAGTTCCAAATCTGAAAACAAAACAAAACAAGACATCTTTAACTTCCTTCGACTGCTTCAGGACACACGAGGGACACCAGACATGGGAAGGCAGCTAGAGATTTAAAAAGAAAGCAACATTCAGACTTTCTCCTTGACACCTGTGACCTGAGGACCACTGAAACCAGGACCAGACTGTTACCCACAATCCCGTCTTTAATATGAAATGCAAAGGAGGCCAAACAAAACCACGCTGTGTTTAGGGATGCGGCCTGGGAGGCAGTGCCGAGAGGAAAGGCAGGGGAAGAGTCACACAAAGTCAGGGGAGCGGCAAGCTGCCTCTGGGGAGAGCCGGTGCCGCCAGGGGTCGCTTACCCTGGGCGGGGGCCGTACAACTATGTGTGTCAGAACTTCACAGGCAGCTTTTATACACCCTTGTGCACGTGCGTTCGATATAAGGTTTAACAGGAAGGGAGGGAGGAAGCGTGAGTGCCGATAAACCCAGGGCACCAGGGCTGAACCCCGCAGGGCTCCCTGACCAGCCCCTCCAGGCTCCCGCTGCTGACTGCCTCTCTCTCTCTCTCTCTGAAAAATTAATTCCTATAGTCCCTCACTTGGAGGGATTAGGAAAAAGGAAACAGGGCCTATTCATTCTTTTTAAGTGAGAAGAAGATTTTAGAAAGAGGTATTTAGGCTGACTTCAGCTTGACTGGCTGGACCCTTGGGAAAAGCCCACAGACGGCGGCCGCCTCGGGGAAGTAGGGGCGGGAGAGGAGGAAGCCAGCAACAGCACAGACACCCCGCCAAGGACACGTTAAGTCTATCTTTGACCACTAAGCCTAAAGCGACTGGGTACAGAATGATCTTTTAGGCAAAAAAGGGGGAGAATAAGAAGATATATTGGTATGTTCATAAAGAAACTTGGCAGGACACTAGAAAACACCTCCAGCGGCTCCCGGGCCAGGGGAAACTGAGGAAGGAACTAAGGACCAGGCAGAGGAGAGCTTTGGAAGAGCTGGACCTCGCATACGCGCATGGATCTAGTTTTGAACCATACAAGTGTGGTGCCAATTTTAAAAATTAAAGGAGAAAGAGGCAGTACCATGCCCCAGTCTCCACCCCACCCCATCCCCGGCAAAACACCCTCTTGAACTTTTTTCCTTGGAGCGTTTATTCAGAAGTGTCCCCTCCTTAAAGCAAGGCCACATATTATTAGGAATCTGGCTCCAAAATGCTGTACCTTAAAGACATTGTTATGAAGCTTTTTTCAAGTTTCCAGTTATATGAAGACATAAGACAACAATGCTGAATTATACAAATTACATTTAGAGGCGAGAATGAACAGACCAGTTAGGAGTCACTGGCTTGGAGAACGTAGATGAAGGCGTGCTGGACCTTTCTCTTCAGTGTTTTCATTTCTGTACACAATTATAGCTCATGCCCCCAGACCTATTTTGGGTTGGTTTCTAAGCTCCTCTTTCCAGGGTGAGATTCCTCCAGAAGACAGCGCTTTGGCCTGGAGGGAGCCTGGGGGGGGGCCTGGGGACCTGGGGAAAGCCTGGGGGGCCTGGCCACCTGGTGAGGGCCTGGCAGGGGCCTGGGGGAGCCTGGGGGAGCCCAGTGAGGCCTGCCTGTGGAGCCCCGTGGGGCATGAGGTGGGGGGCGGCAGTCCTGGCCCGCTGCAGCCGCACCTTCCTTTCCCTTCTCCAAACACTTCCCATTGCAAAGAGCTACCTCAATAAGCACCCCAGTAACCGCAAGCTCCCTTTCCGCTCTAAAATTTCTTTCTAGATCACAGGGTAAAAAGATAATTCCCACATACACAGAAGAAATTCAGGAGCGGCCTCCATTTAAAGGCTCCTGAAGTGTCATTTCTCCCTCAAGGTCGGGAACCCTGATGGAGTGCACTCCCGCCCCCCTCACCCCCGCCCCCCTCACCCCCGCCCCCCTCACCGGACTCCTCCTGTCCAGGCGCTGACCCCGGCTTCCCATACAGACAGCTCAGCTTCATCTCTAAACCAGCTTGACTGGGGACGCACATGGCCACGGCCACCCAGGCAGAAACCCCCCGGGGAACCTTCCCCACCACACGCAACCAGGGGACATTCTGAGCAAGCGCTGGGACGCTTGAAACCAGGCGGCACCAGGAAGCCGAGGTAACGGCGAGGAACAGGGGCACTCACGGGATCGATACCGAGAGGATAAGGGCCTTGGAACACTCCAGGGACGCTTGGGTCCAACTGCAGAACCCGGTTGTGCCTGACGACGCTGTCACTGGAACGAAAAACAGAGTGAGCAGGCCGGCCGAGCGGAGGCGGGAGGACCTCGGGGAAGCGCGCGGCTCCCGAAACCACGGCCGGGTAACACACTTACTTCCACAGCACCATCTTCCCCTGCTCTGCCGGCGTGTGGCTGGAGCTGTACATGGCGGCCACGCTCCACCCAGAGCCAAACAGGTTGACTGACTTGGAAAAGCAGTCGTTGTAGACGAGGCCCGTGTACACAGAGAACAGCCCCATCAGCAAGAGGATGTATCGGCCGTTGAAAAACATGCGCATGATCTGTGGGAGGCGGAGCACGTGAGCAGAGGGGGACCCCGGACACACAGGAGCGGGGCCCCCATGGGGCTGCGGCCGCTGCGAACCGCTCGTCCCGGAGGGCTTCGCAGAGGGCTGGCGTGGGGGACCTCCCCGTCACAGAGGCCACAGGCCCGCACCCCTACGGCTCCATCCCCCAGTGATGCTACTGCCAAAACCTGACACTTCAGAGCATCCCTGCTGAGTACCCAACCAGACGGAAGGAGCTGCAGCGTTTCTCCTCTCACCTCTTGTGACTGGTTTAGTCTAGGGTGGTTTTCATTCAACACCAGCAAGAGAGCAAACAAGAACATCACGAAGCCATGTCCGAAGTCCCCAAACATCACGGCGAACAAAAAGGGGAAAGTGATGATGGTGAAGAGAGCTGTGGGAAGAGCGAGACGCTTGACTCACCGGAGGCAGAAAATTCTAGTTAATTCCAACACCCGACCTTCCCCAGAATTCCCAAAAGAGAACGGGCAGGCTCAAAGGAGTACTTCACACTCAGGAGGACGACACAACAGCGGCAGCGAGCCCATTTCCCCAACGCCTGACACGGCGTCGCGGGCAGCGGCAGCGGCAGTGGCGCCCGAGGCCGGGGGATGCGCGAGGCCGCACTCCCCACCTGGGTTCACTTCTCTGTAGCTCCCGACTCCATAGGCGTCCACAATGTTCTGAAAGCCCTCGGTGAATTTGTTGGTGCGGATCAGAGTCGGGGGGGTTTCTTTTGTCGGGATTGTGTTCATAAACGAGGGGATAGTCGCACCGCTCTCTCTCTTTCACATAAAAAGAAAAGAAGGAAAATAAGTACTCAAGAGCCCATGCCACTACCACGGGCTCCCTGCTACGGGGGGCGGGGGGGGAGGGAGGACCCTGCGCGGCTGCGGGGTCACAGCAGGAGCTGAGGGGGTGCCGGGGGGCTGTGGTCCTGCAGAAGAGGGTGGTGGCCAGGCCGCAAGCGTGGGAAGAGGACAGAGGGGCCGGGGGTGACAGGGACAGGTGGGTAACGTGGGCTCAGAATCACGACCATAAAACTGAAATTTAATATTCTGTCTCTTAAAAACATTCAAGAGGGATCTGGAGACAACTACAGTATCTAATAAAATCGAAAAACAGACGAGAATAACATAAAACGTCAACATTAGTATGGCAAAGTCATTTATACAGCTTTTGCCTTCAGTGTTTACAATTCTTCAGAAACACATTATACACTGATTTACGATGGGAGACAAACCTTTTTAAACAAAGAAAATTAAAACAAGTTATTACCAGAAAAGTAGATTTTCCAGCCAAATTCTATTTCTTAACGCACGTGCAGGTAAGGGGATGCTGGGAAAATTCCAAGCGGCGGCAAAGCTTTGAGTCTCCCCGAATCCTCTCAAGCAGTCGGGGCAACCAGAGGGCACAACCAAAATCTCACAGACGACGTGTCACGAACTCTGTCCCCACAGGCCACAAAATGCCAATGGGTGGGGACGAACCGCGCACGAGCCCTACAGGGTGACAGCCCCCAGACCAGAGGAAGCAAGGGGCGCAATGGGGTGCACGAGAGACCCGAGGAGAAAGAACATCCCAAGCGAGCCAAAAGCATTTCCAGGGAATGCAGGGGAAGCACGCGGGCCGCCCCTGGGAAAGCAGTGCAACGGGGAAGCGTTCCGGCCCGGTCCCAGAGTGGGCGAGGGCAAGGGATCCTCGGGAGCGAGTCTGCAGGGCCACAGTAGTCGTCGCCCACCCCCCAACCCCGTGCTTGCGGGACAAACCGGCCGGGGCTCCCTCCCGCCACCAGGCCTCCACTGCCCAGAGACCCGAGAATGAAATCAAACCTGGAAGGACAGAACAAAAGAGATAAGGGAAGAGAAGGCCCAGATAAGAGGAGAGAAGAAACCTCAGATCCAGGAGGCCAGAAGTATTAAAGAAAAAATTCTGTGAAGTTAGGGAAGTGATCCTGAAACTGTCCCTTTTTAAAAGTCCCTGGAGTATCTTTTTTTTTTTTTAAGTTTATTTATTTATTTTGAGAGAGAGGGAGAGACAGAAAGCATGGGGGAGGGGAAGAAAGAGAGAGAGAATCCCAAGCAGACTCCACACTGTCAGTACAGAGCCCAATGAGGGCTTGATGCCAGGAACCGTCAGGTCATGACCTGAGCTGAGCTGAAGAGTCGGACACTTAACCGACGGAGTCCCCCAAGTGCCTCCCTTGAGCATCTTAAACATATTCTGCGAAACTAATATACAAATAGGTGATGTACTTACATTATACGTAACATGGAGTGTTAAATCCCTTCAGTATCTTAAATGTATATATTCTTGTATATAAAAATATATTATGTGGGGCGTCTGGGTGGCTTAGTCGGTTAAGCGTCCGACTTTCGCTTAGGTCATGATCTCGTGGTTCGTGGGTTCGAGCCCCACATCGGGCTCTGTGCTGACAGCCAGCTCAGAGCCTGGAGCCGGTTTCAGTCTGTGACTCCCTCTCTCTCTGACCCTCCCCTGCTCACGCTCTCTCTCTCTCTCTCTCCTAGAAATAAATACAACATTAAAAAAAAAAGAAAAAAAGAACATTGTTAAAAAAAAATATATATATATATATATTATGTCTAATACAGAAGATCCTTGAGTATTAAAAAAATTTTTTTAATGTTTTTATTTATTTCTGAGAGAGACAGACAGAGTGAGCAGGGGAGGGTCAGAGAGAGCAGGAGACACAGAAACCGAAGACAGGCTCCAGGCTCTGAGCTGTCAGCACAGAGCCCGACACGGGGCTCAAATCCACAAACCGTGAGATCATGACTGGAGCCGAAGTCGGACGCTTAACCGACTGAGCCACCCAGGCGCCCCCTTAAATATTTAAACATGTTTCAGAAAACTAATTTCATTTAAAAGTGATCAAAAAAAGGATGCAGATCAGACCTTATATAAAGTTACAGTAAACACAACTGAGCAGAATGACAGCCCTCTGAACAATGAATGCACGCCGGAAAGACATACTCACAAAAGAGACGAAAATTTTAACTTACTATTTCCAAGGGAGCCAAAAAATTACAAAAATAATACCTGATATCAAAGAGCCCCACAAAACAGAATAAGAGTCTGAAATGAGGTAACAGAACTCAGGAAAGAATTAGAAATGAAAGAAAAAATATGCAGAAACGAGACAAAACTAGAAGAAACTCCAAGGTGAAGACACCTTCCTAGTAACAGTGCTGCAAGAGAAACGAGCAAAAGAATGGAAATTTTTAAAAATAAAAAAGAAGTAAAGAAAGACAAAAACGATTAAAGAAAAAGTGACAAACACTGAAGATAAGAACGTTTAACTTAAACCTAACAGCAGGTCCCAAAGGAGAAAACCAGAGCAAGAGAACAGAGCAAATACTAAAATCTATAGTTGAGAATTTCTCTGAAACATTTTTTAAACTACATATTAAGAGAACACATTGTATATCTGAGAATACCAACCCAGAATAGTGGTAGCAAGACACAGTCTAGTAAAATTATTGGTCTCTAAAGGAAAAAAAAATCCCTGAGCGTGTAGGCAAAAAAAAAAAAAAAAAAGAAAAAGAAAAAGAAAAGAAAAGTACCAAGACTTAAAGGAAAATTCTATTAATATCAGGCTTTTTGTGGGTAACACCACACCAGGACAAAATGGAATCACACGTTTACCACGGCAAACAACAACAAAAATTTTAAAACATGGGCTAAGGATTTTCTTTCCAAACAACGAACTCCCGATTATAAAGGCAGAAGACGATACGCATCCTACTACGGCCAGGCGAGGACTCAGGGAGTGCTGTTCCCATGAGTCCCTGCTCAGGACTCGGAGAACACACTTCAGGCAGCCCGAGCGACCACAGCGACTAGGGACACCAGAAGCCCCAGTATCGCTGGGTGTCCCCATCAAACTCCCTCCCACCGGCACCAAAAGGCATCGTCTGGACATCAGCCAACCCACAGCTATGTGCGATGCAGGGTGTTAGCTGGTTTTCAGCAACACTAGGAAATGCAGCAACTGGCTGGTCGTGTCTACAAAAGCCAGCCCTCTTCCAAGAAAAGTAAAAGTCCATTTGTGCCATCAAAGAATAACATGATGAAACAACATGACTAACTAAAAAACTTCATATGAAACTTGTTTCCTTAGCTGTCACTTGAAATGTGTAAGCCTATTATTTCCAATGAAGAACTGAGTTTTGATGCAGGAAAAAAAACCCTCACAGGAACACGGGACACTGACCCCGTGGCCTGGGAGGGGGAAAGCCTATTCTTCAAAGTTCAGAAGCCTTACAAGCAAAATATTTAACGAAACACTTCTGCATGACCAAAGCAAGCCAACAAACAGAAACATCAAAAGACGAGTGACAAACTGGGGACAATGTATTTTTCTCATGTCACAAAGAGCCAACAGAAACTAGTAAGAAAAAAACCAACAACCCAGTAGAAAACAAAGGAGAAGAACACAGAGCTCATAAAAAAAGGAAAATTCAAATGACTCTTAAAGAAAAAAGACTTTCTTTTCTAACATTCATTTGTTTTTGAGAGAGACAAAAATGGAGCAAAAAATAAAGCATAAGCAAGGGAGGGGCAGAGAGAGAGACACACACACACAGAATCCGAAGCAGGCTCCAGGCTCCGATCTGTCAGCACAGAGCCTGACGCGGGCCTCGAACCCACGAACCATGAGATCATGACCTGAGCCGAAGTCGGACGCTTAACTGACTGAGCCACCCAGGCGCCCCTGATAAAAGACTTTGAACCTCATTCAAAATAAGAGAAATGCAGTAGCTGCTACCACCCGTCAACACTGATCCGGCAGTTCCACGTCACCTGGGCGTCTGTCCTCCGACAGCCCTGTGCGTATGGGCGGCGGCGGCCCAGGGGCGGCTGCTGCGGCGGTACTGCTCACGTGGCACACCACGCCACCCAGACGAGCAGGGAGCCAGCTCACCAGGCCTTGGCACGGCCATACAGCAAGTATTAAAGAGTATAAAAAGTATGGAAGTCCTGTGACGTGAAAAGAACGGAATGACACGCAACCCTCCGTAAGAGAAGATGCCGGTTCGCAGGTGCTTCTCTACAGTCAAGAAACCCAAAGATCCAGCAGAAAACAGCCCTAGTCTTTGAGGTGACAGGGTAGGAGGGAGCACTTCACTGTGTCTTTCCTGCCATACGCTGGTTTTACTTCTAACCACGTGACCAGAAGAGTCGATGAAAGCAAACGCACACACGCACCCACGCCCTCAGCTGATGGGCTCCCTGGCGCTTTGGTCCAGGACAGGACCCTCCCTCGCTCCCGGACACTCCTGCATCCCTTCTCGGCATCTCCCGAGTTCTGGGGTGTCCCCAGGGCAGCCCTGGTCCCTCCGTCCGGTGCCGGCCGCCTTACCGACCCCTCCTCGAGCGCCCGGCGCAGCTCGTGCAGGTCGGCCTCAGGACACCAGACCTCGGCGATGAGGCACTTGTTGGTCACGTCCAAGCTGCACATGTTCAGCATGTGGTAAATGGCTTTCATCTTCTTCACCTGGATGGCGTGGCTGTACACGGATTCGGCGGCTTTACACAGCACTTGCCTTAAATAATCCTCGGTTTTGTGGAGCACCTGCGTGGGGACAAACACGGCCTTTCCCAGCTTCTGTCCCCGGCACCGGCCCCTCCTGGGCCCGTTCCATCTCTTCCCGCCCCGGGACCACCCGCCAGGCGGTGGGCGGTAACCAGCCTGGGCCATCACGTGCTCTCCCCGGGGGAGCGGCCCCTCCAGGACACAGCCCCCTGGGCCCGGGAGGTGGCAGGGGGTTGCCATCCGCGTGCCAGCATGGTGGCCTGGCTGGGCCCACGGAGCTCCCACCTTCCCATTCCCAGCGAGAGCCACCGCCTCCACCTTGTCACACTGGGGCCTGAAACCCCTTGTGCTTAAGTGGGCGGGAGCCCAGGTCCTGGCGCCCAGCGCCCGCGCTGACACAAGGAGCAACGGCAATTGAAGGAGTGAAGGCAGGACAGCCCGTCCCCTGGGATGACAGAGGTCTTCCCTCAGGTCCCACCATCACCACCGACACTTCTCACAGGGCGGCTAAAATAAAACTCCCACGGAGGGGAGCGAGCCGAGTCGCCTTCCAATCTCCCAAAAACATCCTGATTTGTCCACAACCAAAAGTTTGCATATTGAAGGACAAAGTAAACGGACTCGTAAATGCTTTGCACACCTCACATAAGGAGGCAAAGGTTTCCAGTTACTCACGGTGTAGAGATCCTGGATCCGGGTATTGAGCCCCTCCTGAATCTCCCTGCGCTCCTCGGCCGTGCCCGGGTAGGGGTAGACGTGGCAGTGGTAACTAGAAGGCAGAACGCGACAGTCTCATGCCCGTCAGCACCAGGTGAGGCGACAGCAAACACCAGACCCGAGGTCAGTGCCCCACGTGGCCCTCGCCCTCCAAAGTGGAAAATAGCAGGCGTCTGGGGAAAAAGTGCCCTGCACACGCAGACGCTCGACAGGCGTCTGCAGGACCCAACACATCGAGCACACTCTGTCGGTTCCGTGTTCCCTTCCTGCCCCCGACCATTCCCAGAGCTCCCCCCCCATTCCAGCTTTCTGAAACCCACCCCAACCCTTGGGCTCATTAGACAGGTTGGAACACCTAACAGTCATTACCTTTAAAAAAAAGAGAAAATAAAGGGGGGGGGAGCTCTGGTTTCCTAGCAACTGTTTCGGACACCTGGCACAGGGCACCTCTCCCTCGCCTCCCAGGGCCCGACCTCTTGGGGGGCTGCGTGGCACCCAGAACACACGAGCTGTGCCTCCCACCGCAATCTCCCAGCTGCCTTGATATCTTCCTGCCATACTTCATGTCTTAAGTTCTGACTAATAAATACTCTAGCCTTATCCTAAGCAACACTATCTGTCAGGTCACGGGCTTGTGTGCTCATGACACTTTTTCTAACGTACACTGAATAAACATCAACGAAAGTGACAACAGGCTTGTGCATGTAACACGTACAATTACTTTCCATACCACTAGTGACAGGGTATCCAACTCTGAGAAACACTTTATAAAGGAAATACCCGAGCCCCACCCTCACCCCCATGAGAAATAAGCCATCCAGAAACAAAGGGCATTCTTTGCACTTTTTTGTCTGGCTTTTCGTATTTTTCCGCTTTTGATAAGAACGAGTCACAGAGAGATTTCTGTTGTGACACTCTTTAGCACGGGCTGTGTGGCCTCGGTCCTGAAGCCCAGTGAGGCAGGAAACTGCCACTCCATTTACAGGGAGGGAGCCTGGACGTGGTGACTTGCCCAGCTCGCCCAGGCAGTGGGCGGGGAAGCCAGGCCCTGAACCAGGCCCTCATTCCTCACCACTCACCAGGCCTCCTCCCCCACGGTGTGAGGAGAAACCTGTCGAACGCTGGACAAAAGAGGAACGCTCAACGATGACAGATGGGCCTCTGTGGAGCTCAGAGCCACAGGAAGGCACAAAATACTAAAATTTGATTCCTTCTCCAGTTATTCTTAAGCCTTGATTCCCAAAGAGAAAATAAAATCTAAGAATGTTATTAAAAACGATCTATATTTCTAAATTATTTTAAGTATAACACTGGCAAGAGGTAACTAATTACATGTTTAGAAACATGATATCACAGGGGCACCTGGGTGGCTCAGTCGGTTGAAGTGTCTGACTCCTGATTTGGGCTCAGGTCATGACATGACAGTAGCTGGAGCCCCGCATCGGGCTCGGACAGCACAGAGGCTGCTTGGGATTCTCTCTACTCTCTCTCTGCCCCTCCCCCTGTTCATGCTCTCTCTCTCAAAATCAATAAATAAACTAAAAAAAAAAAAACAGTATCACAGCAAAGATACATAAGAGAACATGGCAGCCTTTGCACCCACTGTATTTCCCTTCAAACACGGAGGGGTTTTTAAAGGAAAAGTAGAGGTTACTGAATACAAAGAAACAAATGAAAAGAAAACGTTTCGTGTCCTTACCAATCACATATCTTCTTAACCTTGTGGCCAATCTGCTCTCCCCAAAAGGATATTAAAAACACATACCACTTTATGACTTCTCCCTGAAAGAATAAACCGGGATCACGGTTACTCCAATGTCCAGATCTCTGAAAACCCTGGCAGCGTAGAGTCTGTCGCAAAGTCTGCTGGTTCGCTCCTGGAGCAGATGCAGCCGTCCTGGGGTTGCACTCTGCCGCTGCTCTTCACCCAAAGTGGCCTCACTGTGTTTGTAACCCTGAGAACAGTACTGGCCATGGCTCTGGTCATTTACAAACACCGCGAGCAGCCCCAAGTCTGAGCGCTCAAGTGTGTCCTGCAGCTGAGGTCAAAAGGGGCGGTTCTCTGCCTCCCTGTTCCCCCTCATCCCGTACACAAGGGTCCTTTTCATGATTTGGTTAGGGTCATGGCTGTCACAGTGTTGTGCTCTTTGTTGGCGGTTTCACTACCTAAAACGGTCCTCGGGCAGAATGCTGACGTGCTAGCTAGTGTTCCTGAGCCCGAGAAGGCAGTGATGTGCCTACACACAAAACGCCTGTGTCAGATAAGCTTCCTTCAGGCTGAGTCACAGCACTGCTGGCAGAGTTCAGCGTTTAATGAATCGATAATACACATTAAATAGAAACATACATAGAACAAGGTTATTATCGGCTGGTGGACAAAAGCGTGACCAGAGGCTCGCAGAAACCTAAGCCCGCATTTCCGCTACGATGGTGGCTCAGTGGCGCTAATTCGTGTGTCCTGGAGACGCTCCAGGGCAACTGTAAATAGTGAGAATTGACTGTACTTACAAATATTCCACAAACAAAGCTGAATAGGTTTTTGGCATATTTCCCATGCACTGTCCTAGGTGCTAGGAATACAGCACTGAAGAGATACAAATCCCTGACCTGGGGGCGGGAGGGGGCTTGCAGTCAAGTTGGCCACGAGAGACACAAAGAAAAACGCAGTACACCAACGGCCGTCAGTGCTGTGAAGGAAACGGAGCTGGAAGAGGACAAAGGGAGGGGCGGCCGGGGATGGTGACTCTAAACAGGGTGAGCAGGGGAGGCCTCCCCGAGAAAGGGGCATCTGAGCTTAAAGGTGTGACGAAGGGGAGGGAGCCGTGCGGCCTCCCAAGGCCCAGAAGAGCTCACGGAGAAGCAGGTGCAGGGAAGGCAAGAAGGCCGTACCCAGAAGGGGCGTGGGCAGGTCAGGCACGTGACGAGGCCACAAGAGATGACACCGCAAGGCTCTGGGCGTTTTGCCAAGTGAGACAGGAAGCCACTGGAAGGTTTTAAGTAGAGGAGTGGTGTGATCTTACAGGGATCGTTCTGGATGCTGGGAGGAGAGAGCTCAGTGGGGCAGCAGCCAGGGCAGAGGTCCCTGCAGAATGGACGTACCTGAGGGGTGGGGCAGGGCGGTGGCAGCGGAGGTGACGAGAAAGGCCAGCGTGTCCTTCTATTTAAAAGACACAGCCAATCACCCACTGCAGGATTACACAAGATGTGTGAGAGAAAAGTCAGGATGACCCCCAGGGCTCTGGGCCGGAGCAGTCGGAAGGACAGAGCAGCCACTCGCCGAGATGGGCAAGCCTGGAGGGGAGGTCCAGTTTGAGGCAGCGGGCGGAAATGTCTTCCAAGTTTTTAAAAGAGACATGGAGTAGCCAGTTATACACAAAAGTCTGTTTTGTGGGAAGAGATTCAAGTTCTACATTTGGGAGGTAGTGTTTAAAGCTGTGAAATTAAACAGCATCCCGAGGGGCAGAGAGAGGAGAGAAGCAGTCCAAGAACTGAGCCCTGGGCCAGGAGGTGAGGGAACAGGTTGGGGAGCCTCAGAGAACCACAGGCAGGTGGGTCCCCAAGGCAAGGACAAAGGGCAGCCAGGGGAGTGCGGGAGACAGCTGACATGGTGAGCAGATCAGTTACACAGAATAAATACATAAACTGAGCAATTTATGAAACATGTTGAGGATAACGTGGAGGGAGCCAGATTTCTCACTGTCAGAAAAGAGACTGGAAAAAGGTTAAGTCTAGAAAGAACTGATCAGAATTTTAAGTCGTAGTTGGAGCACGTGGCTTTATCATCTGTAAGTACAGGTAGCCACAGAGGTGGTTACAGCTGTGCGCCTGTGTGCGTGTGTGCCTGTGTGTGCACGTGTGTGTGCACGTATACGTGTGTGCATGTGTGCACACACATGCTACCGCTGGAAGGGCCCAGAAGCGACAACACTCCGGGAAACAGCGCTCGAGCACCCAGAGCCTTGTAAACACCGTCCACTGAGAGGAACCGGGGGCCCTTGGAGAGATGGTGGGTACGGGCTGAGGCACAGAAAGCCCAAGATGAAGCTGGGACATCTTGTGGTGCCAGAAGGTAAGGGAACGAACGCTCAGTGAACACTGGCGACAGGCCAAAGGACACAGGAACACACGTGAAGGGACCTCCAGTAGCCAAATCAGGGACGATTTGGGCAATTTATCCAAATAAATACTGGACGTAACAGGTTACAAGTCATTAAGAACAACAGGAATCCCTGAGCCCATGGATGCAAGAGGGGGCAGTTCTACCTTCCATGGAATCACTAGTAAGTACAGAAGGAATGACGGAAATAAAGAGTCCCCACGTGACAAGCATGCTGGCAGTGGCAGATTGGAGAGTCATCAATGGACGCTACAGGTGTGAGCAGGCTGGTGGACGGGACACTAGCCCCACTCAGATACCTCCTCCCAAGTGACTAGTCAATCACAAAGGGCAACACGGTGACGTGAGAGTGGAGAAATGGGAGACAGCAACGTGACATTACAGGCCCATACCTTGCGGGAGGTGCTGAGACGGCCAGAGCGTCACTTCCAAGGTGTCCCTGTCAAGAACGTATGGCCCGAGCCTGGTGGTGATGAAACATCAAACGGCCCAGAGGGATGGGCTCAGCCTGTTCCAGACGCAACTACAGGCCCAGGGAGGGTGCCGGATCAGGAAGGAAGAAAGGCAAACTGCCGGGAGATAGGAATGGCCAGTCTGGACTGTCCAAAAGAGCTGCACCTGTGCTTGTCCCCTCTTCCGGAGGGGCCCGTGGCGGTTGTGTGAGAGTGTCCTTGCTTGGGGGTACCCGCGCTGCAGTAACTCAGGGGCGACAGAGCCATGTCTATGGCTTCCTTGCAGAAAGTGTGCAAAGAGCCTAGTGAAAACGGGGAGAGACTCACAGAGAGCACACCCGGGTGACAGAGCAAATGTGGAAACCTGTTAACGTCGGGGAAACGGGGGTGAATGGAGTATGACAAGCCTCTGTTCTCTTCTGGCAACTTTTCTGTAAACTGAAATTATTTCAAAATAAGTAACTCAAGAAACTAAAATGGGGGGAAGAAAGAAATGGCATTTACAGTAAACCTGACCTCGAAGATTCCATACCAATCTTAACAACAGTCCTGTGTCACCCACCTCGGGCCTAAGGAAGCACAGGGACCGCTCACCACATGAGACACAAATCATAAAACCCAGTGTAACTTCGACATTTAGAAACCAGGCCGACAAGGGGGAAATGAGCGTGGGGTCTGTAATGACATTAAGGCATCAGATGTCCAACCCAAAAGGCACTAAAGCTGACACCATCCACAAATCCTAGAACCTGAGAAGTCGCCAAATCAGACACCTATCCTCTCCAGAACAAACACCAAGAGTAACACAGTGAAATGTCAGCAGTGGCTCCTTCTGAGCAGGAACACAGGGGACGGAGTTTCTCCTTCAGGTTTTCGATACTGTTCCCGATTTCCTACAACCAGCACGCTCCTCCTTGGTGATTATGGGGAAGCTGTTGTATTTTCAAAACAGACATCTCTCTATCCCACTTCTCTGTGTTTCTTCACAGATACTAAATGCCCTTTCACATAGCTGGTAAAAGCCTGCCATAAAAGAGCTTAGAAATTTATAGAAAAAGAATTTTAATTTGAGTAAAAGTTCTGCACGAGAATGACTGACAGCTTCTCTTAATAAAGAAAAAGCTAGGGGAGCCTGGGTGGTTCAGTCGATTAAGCGTCCAACTTCGGCTCCGGTCATGATCTCAGCTTCCTGGGTTCAAGCCCCGCGTCAGGCTCTGTGCTGACAGCTCAGAGCCTGGAGCCTGTTTCGGATTCTGTGTCTCCCTCTCTCTCTGACCCTCCCCTGCTCACACTGTGTCTCTCTCTCTCTCCCTCAGAAATAAAAACATTTAAAAAAAATTTTTTTAATAAAATAAAAAAATAAAGAAATAAAAAGCTCAAGGGGCGCCTGGGTGGCTCAGTCGGTTGAGCGTCTGACTCTTGATTTCAGCTCATGTCATGAATTTGTGGCTGTGGGATCAAGCCTGTGGTCAGGCTCCAAGCTGAGCTAAGCGTGGAGCCTGCTTAAGATTCATTTGCAGTCTCCCTCCCTCCCTCTCTCTCCATCTGCCCCTCTCCCTCTTTCTCCTCAAAAAAAATAAAATAAAATAAAGGAAAAGATAAAGCTCAAAAGAAGAGGTACTGCTGCTTCAGAATGGCTTCTCTGTTCAGCGTCACATACAGAGGTCACAAAGGTCCCAGGTGAAGGACAATGAACGCATTGCTAGTGGCAGCTGCAGAAGCCACGAGAGAGTAGAAAATATTACAGGTGTGCAGTTAATGAACAACTTGACTGATTAGACTCTCACACATTAGATTAAATGTGCATAGTTTTTTTTAGGCTAAACCTTAGGGAAATCCATTTCACAGCCAAATTCCTCCTTATGGGTCACAGCTACAATGGGAGATCCCGTAATCTTGCAGCAAAAATTCTGAGGCAAATTTAGGAAAGAAACAAAACAAAAAAACACAAACCCTTTCCTCAAAATTTAGAAGCCAAAGTTCCTTTTCTACTTTTAATAGATCAGTTCATCCTCATTTAGAGCAATACAGTTATTTTTATTGTAAAATCTAAAAAAAGGAAAAAAAATCAGAGATTTTAAAAAGTGATTATGACTCTTTCTCTCTCCTGCCCCTCCACTCTCCTTCTGGAATAACTCAGTCCTAAAGCCTTAAGTGCACGTGCAGGGATGGACCCAGAAGGAGGGGAAGACCTACAATGGCCTGGGCAAAGTCAGAGCTCAAGCAAGGCGGGCAGAGCCTCTCTGCAAGGGCGCAGCCCGGGCGGGGTGAGGAGGGGGCCCACACCTGCGGCCCCCCCGGGGTGGGAACTCAGGGCTCCGCACAGGGAGAAGAGGGGCAGCAGAGAGGAGAGACTGATGGGGAGGTTGGGGACACGCAAGAGGATTAAAAATAAGTAAAAATATTAACAACAGGAGCCAAGTTTCTCACCATCAAAGGAAAAAGTTACAAAAACAGAAATGGAGGAACTGAGGCTTCTGTGGTGCTGGACTGGAATTGGCTGCGAACTCCCAGTTTTCAATATATATGCACAGGGACAGAAAGAAAGGTGTGTGCGCGCGCGCGCGTGTGTGTGTGTGTGCGCGCGTGCGCCCGCACATCCTAAAGCTGTTCAGTGACAGACTGCAGACTGGGGAACCCAGACACCTCAATTAACAACGGGCACATCCAGAGACCACACCTCGGCTTCAAAATACCACCCTCCACTAAAGAGAACCAGGCTGGGAGAGAAATGGCCGTGTCCTCGGCTGTGCGAGGGGGATTACAACACGAATCTGGATGGCTCGTTGTGCGCAACAAATGATGGCAGCACGGAGAAAGGACAGAAAAGCCAGCCTGAATGGGCCCCAAGTGGCCAAATCTAGGGAATCTGAATATCAAAACAAATAATTACAGTAACAAAGTATAACTCATTAAATCAAATGGGAAGTAATGAACTGAAAATGTGGTGAGGAATGGAATAGGTACAGAGTTTCAAAGCACTTTCCCTAAAACACTTATTAATTATAAAGGGAAAAAAGTCACTTCACAGTGAAGCCTAGGAGCCACCACCTCGGCCAAGTGATCAAAGTGAACGTTACTTTGGGACAAAGCAGTGGGACAAACTAAATCGTGCGCCCGCTAGGATGCAGCGAAGAGAACATGGCATCGCTGCCGCAAAAGACACACGACCCGGATCTAATCCTGGGAAAGTATGAGACAAGCCCACATGCAGGGACATTCCACAAAACAACAACGGAGGTGTAATAATTTTCGAATGTCAAGGTCATAAAGGTCAAGAAAAGACTGAGAAACAGTCTCAGAATGAAGGAGACCAAAGAGACGTGACAGTTAGACCCAAACTGTGATTCTAAACTAGACCGTCCGCTGTGAAAGGCACTGTGGTAGGACGGGGAAAGCTCAGTGGGGCCTGAGGCTCGGGCGGCAGCAACGTGTCTACAGCCACCTGCCGGCTGCCGTCCAGGAGAAAGCCCTGGGCTTCAGAGCTACACCCGGAGGCATTCGAGGACGATAAGGCATCAAGTGAACACCCCGCTCTCAGTGGCTCCCTCTGCACTGCGCCCCCAGCTCTGCTGTCAGCCTGTCGTGGTTAAAAGGTGATCGGGACACTGACTCACGGTTTCAGGGTCCTCGAGGGTTTCATCCATTTCTGCGTAGGTCACGATGGTGTACCCTTTGCAGACGCGCCACAGCATTTTCTCAAATGCTTCAACTTTCCCTTGGTTAATGAGGCCAGATACAAACCTAGGAGACGATAAAAGCAGGCTGTTGAAAAGCAATGAATCCTCAAACTGCATTAAAAGGAGAAATGGAAAAGTGGTGAAAAGATGATCTGGAAAGCCCTCCAAATGCAAAATATCAAAAATGCTGGGTGAAAAATTTTTGAAACATCCTTTCAAATGTACAGCTGGGGCACCTGGGCGGCTCGGTTGGTTAAGGGTCCAACTCTTGATTTCGGCTCAGGTCATGATCTCACAGTCATTGAGTTCGAGCCCCATATCGGGCTCTGCGCTGACAGCTCAGAGCCTGGAGCCTGCTTCCGACTCGGTGTCTGCCCCTCCCCCACTCACGCTTGGTCTCCTTCTCTCAAAAATAAACATTTTACAAAATTAAAAAACTAATTAACCAACTCAGTTTAGCCCCTATGTTTCCACCAAACAAAACAGACCCTGACGCTCACTCACCAACGACTGTAGGCTTATTAGAGTAACACCGAATGGCATAAACGTTCCTTCTTCCCAGCTCATTATACTGAGAGAAGAAATCCCCATGGTATTTAGCTAAAAAGCCAATACAGCTGAATAATCCAACTCAGCAAATACAGGAGTACAGTGTTTTCTTAAACAGACATGCACTTTCTTTCACTCCATCACAGGCCCTCAAATGGTAGCTTTCATCCCTGCACTGGCGACAAGGACAGTGACGCTCGGTCCCCTGGTGGTTGTCACCTACCCCAGTTTCGCTCCCAGCCTCTGCATACAGCTGTAGTCCAACAAGGAATCACTCTCTAAGGGAGGGAATTCTTCATAAGTGGGTTCAAACTACAAAGAAATACAAAACCAAGTGCGTCTCATTAAAAGTGACACTTTACTTCCCAACTCACGTCTCCAAACCAGTTTCCGTGGCGTCCTAACTGGGGGCCAGATCTGGGCACCGACGGCGCAAGGCGACGTAGACGTGGGACACAGCTCTGGTCAATAAAAACGACCATCTCCCTGCCCCGTTTTTCATAAGCTACCGAAGTCGTTCACTAGAGGTACAGTTAGGACGGATGGCACCGCCTCGCCTGGACACAGGGCGCTCAGTCAGACGTCACCACGCCAAGTGAACCAGCCCCGACAGGCCAGACCCCTCCCTGCTCAGCTGAGGACGGTACTATTACGTAGACTCTTTCTCCTCTTCCAAAGATTGTTAATTCCTTTACTCTTAGCAATTTGGCGAAGAAAAGGAAAAACTTAAATTTTAGAGTTCAACTTCTACTTTCCCATTTTTTCCCTCATGAACATAAAAAGATTTTTTTCAACTGCAAACTAAAGATTTTACAAATAGGAAGTATCATTAATGCTACACCAACCAACACTGGGAAAAGCTTAACACTTTTTTTTAATGTCGTCTAATCCGACTGAAAAATAAAGCTAAGGTCAAAATGCACCTCTTTGACAACGGATAACCGGAAGAGAAACCTTACAGGAAGGAGCTTTTTACAAAAGAAATGCACTTCCCGGCGTGTGCGGTCAGTACCTCCACATTCCGTTTAACAAAGGTTTTTGTCACTCGCAGCATGTGAGTGTACTCAATCAGTTCAAGCAGGTTCTTCCTCAGTTTCTCCTTGTTCTTGGTGACTTCTCTCAGCTCAACCTCGAGCTTCTGCAGCTGCTCCTGAAACAAAAGAGCAGCTACTTAAGAGGACAGGTCTGTCCCAAGTGTAGCGTCATCATTTCTTCACCGCACCCTAAAGCCAGAACAAGGCTTAACAAGCCAGAATCCCATGGTCGGACAGGGATCGGGAAGCACGTGGAGACGCTAAAGGGCCATCATTTACTGCTTTGTACTGATTCAGGGAACTCCTACGAAGCTCAGACTGTACGACGGAGGTGTCGCAGGAAAGGGCACGTGGCACCCTAGGCCGCCCTGGCCTAACTCAGCTGCCACCACTGGTTTGGGTGTTCCCTCATCTGCTTATCCGCTGTCACACATCTATCAGTCTTCTTCTTTCACGCCTACATTTCCTTTTATTTGCAACAGAGAAAAGGACTGAGGTCACCTTTTCTGAGCATACATATTCCTGGCCTCCAGCTTGACAGTCTCTATGTATAGGGGCACCTGGGCGGCTGAGCTGACTAAGCATCTAACTGCAGCTCAGGTCATGATCTCACAATCCGTGAGTTCCAGCCCTGCATCAGGCTCTGTGCTGACAGCTCAGAGCCTGAAGCCTGCTTTGGATTCTGTGTCCCCCTCTCTCTCTGCCCCTTGCTCACACTCTCCTCCTCTCTTTCTCTCAAAAATAAATGAACATTTCAAAAATTTTTTTAATTTAAAAAAAAATCTACAGGTATAAGTTGCACTTAATACCTGAGGACAAATCCTTAATAATCAGTTGTACAGCAAGCACAATTAACAATGCTTAAGTATTCGAACAACAGAGGCAGAGATCTGTAAAACAAATCAGATTCACTGAGAACTTGTACACAAACAAATCCCTTGACATACTAACCCCATTACTTGTGCTCTGCCTTATGAAAACTATCAACACTCAGTAATCACTAAAGCTGTCACTATTTCACAGACAAACCATCAAACAGGCCAAACCAGACAGCTGCTTTCAACTCAGCTGACTGCACCATCCTCTCTCAAGTCCACTCCTATCACAAATGTTACATGACTTCCTCCTGACACACAGAGCGGCCAGCCAGGCAATGGTTGGTCCTGGCTGCACAGAAGAGCTCTCAGGGGCTCTAGTCTATGTCCCAGTGCGATGAAGTATCAGATGATCAGACACAAACCTCAGTGGATAAATAACAGGGGCAGACAAGACAAGCCAGTGTTCTCGGGGAGAATGCTGTATCCCCAACATCCGAGACACTAAACTCAGATACAAGGAATTCTGTTTGCTGCCGACCTAGAACAATCTATCACCTTCATACTCGCTTCTGAGGATTAGAGGGGAGGTTGCTGGGTCTGGGAGAATGCAAAGGGCCGGGACTGAAGAGTCCCTCCCTTGCTCCAGGAGAGGCATGCTAAAGCCCGGATGAGCCCGGAATGCACTTTCAGAGACATTCCATGACTAAGCACCCCATTTTACAACCTAATTTTCATTAGCTTCAGTTCAACACCACCTGGAAAGGGAGCAGAGCGTGCATCTCACACTTTAAAAGAAAACTAAATTACACTTAAAATTTGGAGGGCTGGGCGCCTGGGTGGCTCAGTTGCTAAGCATCTAACTTCAGCTCACTCAGGTCATGATCTCACAGCTCGTGAGTTTGAGTCCCACATCAGGTGAGCTCAAACCCCGCTTCAGTTGAGCTCAAGCTCCGCTCCTTTCCTTCTCTTTCTCTTTCTCTCTCTCTCCTGCCTGGGATTCTTTCTCTGCCCCTCGCTCGCTTGTGCCCTCTCTCTCTCAAACAAAACAAAACAAAACAAAACTTGGAGGGCTAACCATAGCACTGGTCTTCAGTTTTCATTCCACGGTTATGAGAAGAAAACCTGACAAGCCCCGGACGATATAAACTCAGGAGACGAGCAGGGTCTGAGATCAGTGACCTAAAACAGCTTCTTCAAAAACACGTTACCTGCATTTCTAGGACTTGTTTAAGAGGGGGTGCAGGAGGACTGGTCTCTCCCTCAGGAAGGGGAATATCAGCTCTATTAATTTCCTGCACCAAATAAGCTGTGGGAATAAAAGGTAAACAAATTAGACTCAGAAACTCACTCCAACACATTTCAGGCGAACATTTTCCATCCCAACCATTCCTGGGCCGCCTCAAAATGAATGTCTGGACACACACAAGTCTTGCTTATTCCAAATGACGTATAAAAACCTTTTACAGCCTCGTTTCCAAAGATCTACAAGATAATACCACCTGGAGAGGTAAGCACGCAGTGACAAAATGGACAAGAACCTGACAAACAGTCATGCAATCCCCCAAGTCTCCTTTACTTCTGAAACTCTAGTTAAAGAACTTTGGAGACCCAGCTGTTTCTGTACCTGCAGATGAAGCGGAAGATTAAAGATGCACTGGGGCAGTGCAGGACTAACCCAGGGAGAGGCCCAGAAGCGTCCCCACCGGAGGCGGCCGCGGGGCTTCCCTGCAAACGCCCTCAGGAAGTGAGCACCCCTGCAGAAAGGCCCAGCCTCTAGCAGCACACGGAGCCTGAGCGGCACAGGGCAGGGCCAGGCTCTCCAGAGAGCTCCCGGCGGCCAGGCTGTCCTCACCGACAACCTGCGCTGCATCCCTACTTACGTCAACGGCCAGAATCGCAAAATTTGCAGCGAACCAGGCGAAACTAACTTAATTTCTTTAGTTGACATTTTCAATGCCATGGAGCATCCTTGTCCTTAGGATGCAAGCCACAATGCCTGGTAAAGTCATAACCAGACGTAATATTTTGGAGAAGTGTTACTAGTTATTTAATTAAGAGAGAAAGAAAAAGAAAGGTGAGGATATCTCACTAACAGGATAGCAAAGGAAGCACGGGGCTTACGAGGTTTCCGGAAATGGTTTCAGCAATTAAACCCAATATACTTGGGAGATCTGTTTTCTTTTTTAAAGTCTATATGCCTTTTTGAAATAGTTTAAGCTACAGGAAGTCCTATACGTGCCTAACGTGCTGACACTGCCCTTCAAACCCTCCTTCCTAACCCACAACCTGTCCATGGACTAGGCTGCAGAGAATGGAGTATGATGTCACCCTATCGTACACGATCCACACAAGGAATTAGGACTTCAAACAATATGCAAGGAACAGATTTCAGATTACTAAAAGTGGTTTTTCTGGACTTAAAAATCTCCAGTTAAAACATAAAATCTGGGGTGCCTGCATGACTCGGTTGAGCATCTGACTCTTAATTTCAGCTCAGGTCATGATCCCAGAGTTGTGGGATTGAGTCCCACATTAGCTCTGCACTGAGCATGGAGACTGCTTGGGATATTCTCTCTCTCCGCCCCCACCCCCCCCCGTCTTCCCTCTCACAAATAAAAAATAATAATAAAATAAATTTTAAAAAGATAAAATCCACAATAAATATTAGCTATTAGGAATCGTTCAAGGGGCACCTGGCTGGTTCAGTTGGTTAAGCATCCGACTTCAGCTCGAGTCATGATCTTACAGTTTGTGAGATCGAGCCTGGTGTCCAGCTCTATGCTGACAACAGGGAGTCTGCTTAGGATTGATTCTCTCTCTCAAAATAAATAAACTTAATTAATAAATAAATACATAAGTAAAAGCTTTAAAAAAAGTCATTCTGAAAGTCATATTCTGCCCCCTCCTTGGCTCATTCATCTCCATGTTTTTCTGTTCATCCTTTTTAAAAAAATTTTTTTTGATGCTTATTTATTTTTGAGAGAGAGAGCACAGCGTGAGAGCGGGGGAGGGGTTGAGAGAGAGGGAGACACAGAATCCGAAGCAGCTCCAGGCTCTGAGCTGGCAGCGCTGCAGGACTCAAGCTCACAAACTGTGAGATCGTGACCTGAGCTGGAGTCAGACGCTCAACTGACTCAGCCACCCAGGTGCCCCTCTGTTCATCCTTCTAAAAAAAAAAAAAAGTTTTGTACTTCAGTAGATGGTCTGAGATCATCCTCTCCCTCCCTGCTCATTTCCGTCAGATCTTCACACTGGATTTGATAGTGATGACTACTTAGGCTAAAATGGTAAAGATTTTACAGATGAAGCAAGCGGTCTTGAGCTACTGAGTTGTGCGGGCTAACCATCAGGAGAACACCGAGCTAACACCTTTGCAAACAAAGCCAACCTAGCTGCCATTTCATACCTCCCTTGATCTTTGGTATTTTAAGTAACATGTATACAATGTCTTAAATTATGATAAACTACAAGGGACTGGCTAAATAAATTATAACACATTAATCTCATGAAATACTAGGCAGCCATTAAAAATGATGCTGGGTCCAGAGTACCTGGGGGGGGCTCAGTCAGTTAAGTGTCCGGCTGCCGGTTTCGGCTCAGGTCCTGGCCCCTCTCCGCTGACGGTGCAGAGCGTGCTTGGGATTCTCTCTCTCCCTCTCTCTCTGCCTCTCCCATATCTGTCTGTCTGTTTGTCTCTGCCTCTCTCTGTCTCTGTCTCTCTCTCTCAAAATAAATAAGCTTAAAAAAAAAAAAAGATGAGGGGTGCATCTGTTTATTGACGTGAAAAGATGCTACAGGAAGTACCACTGAGTGACAAACAGAGCCAACAGCAACGAGCCTGAAAGTTACATACCTTTTATAGGTGAAGGGTAAAAAATAAGGGATGAATTCTTTCTCCCTTTTCGCTGGTCTATAATTTCTAACTTTTCTAAAGTGAACACAGCTTGCTTACATACAAATAATTAAGTTACTAAAATAAACTTATGCCCCCCAAAATAACAAAATAAAGTAAAATAAAACTTACCTAGTATTCGTTCTAGTTCTTCACACCTCTTCACCTCCCCAACGAATTTTCTTTGGAAGGAACTTACATTCTGGTTGAGCTGAGAAAAGGATGAAAAATTTGCTCTGAAATTTCTACAACGTACGAGTAAATGTGATTTTAAAAATAAAATATGATTGGCAAGGCTTCAGGGAAAAGTACATCCTCTTACACTAACTGGATGGAAGTAAAAACCAACACTGTTTTTCTGGAAAGCAGCTGGGCAACTGTTACCAAAAAAGCCTAAAAAAATATCCTTTGGCCCTGAAATATCCCATGAAGAAAACTTACCTAAGGAAAAACCTATGGGTATCAACAAAAACTTACCAAGAAGAACATCAACTTCAAGGACAGAGGGAAAACCATTATTAACGATACAAAATTGGTTAAAGAGCTTACGGTCTACACGCACACCATGGTACACTGCTCAGCAATAAAAAGGAACACACCACTGACACACTCAACACCACAGATGACTTTCAGAAACACAGTGTGAGTGTGTCTTTCAAGACGACACAAAAGGCCACATATGGTGTGATTCCCTTTCAGCGAAATGTCCTGAAAAGGCAAACCTAGAGGCAGAAAGTAGATTAGTGACTGCCTGGGGCTGGAGGCAGGTCTGGAGATTAACTGTGAGTTAAGCACGAGCGATCTTACTAGGGGGATATAACGTTCTACTAACGCTGGACTGTGGTGATGGATGCATAACTCGGTAAATTTTCTAAAAAACAATGAAATATACACTCGAAATGGGTGAATTTTATGATACAGTTCAATTAAGACGTACAAAAATTATAGTTTGTATAACTGATTACTATGCCCTTGTTAAAAATGATGTTTTAAATGACTTAAGTATTGGATTCTATTAAGAAATTGTTACTGGGGCACCTGGCTGGCTGAGTAGGAGAGCATATGACTCTTGACTTCGGAGTTGTGAGTTCAAGCCTCATGTTGGGGAGAGCGATTACTTAAATAAAACTGTAAAAAACAGAAATTATAGGGGTGCCTGGGTGGCTCAGTCAGTTGGGTGTTCATCTTTGGCCTGGGTCATGATCTTACCAGTCCCAAGTTTGAGCCCTGTGTCAGGCTCTGTGCTGACAGCTCAGAGCCTGGAACCTGCTTCAGATTCTGTGTCTCACTCTTTCTCTGCCCCTCCCCCACTCACACTCTGTCTCTTTCTCTCAAAAATAAACATTTTAAACAATAGAAATTATTGGGGCGCCTGGGTGGCTAAGCGTCCGACTTCGGCTCAGGTCAGATCTCACGGGTCGTATATTCGAGCCCCGCATCAGGCTCTGTGCTGACAGCTCAGAGCCTGGAGCCTGTTTCAGATTCTGTGTCTCCCTCTCTCTCTGCCCCTCCCCCACTCATGCTCTGTCTCTCTCTGTCTCAAAAATAAACTATTAAAAATTTTTTTAAAATAGAAATTATTGTTAAAACTTTGATAATGATATTGTGGTTATGATTTTTTAGCTTTTTTAACATTTATTTTTGAGAGAGAGAGATAGACAGAGCATGAGTGGGGGAGGGGCAGAGAGAGAGAGAAGGAGATAGAATCTGAAGCAGGCTCCAGGCTCTGAGCTGTCAGCACAGAGCCCGACGTGGGGCTCAAACTCACAATCTGTGAGATCATGACCTGAGCCGAAGTCAGACGCTTAACAAACTGAGCCACCCAGGCGCCCCCTGTGGTTACCTTTTAGAGATAATCATTGAGATATTATGAAAGAAATTATACATCCGGGATTTGCTTCAGAATGATCTTGTCTGAGAGGGCAGGGGCAGATTTTGTCTGGAGGTGGAAGGCTGGAATGAGGGGCCATGAATTTATGCTATGAGTACACGGGACTTCACCTTTCCCAGACACTCTTCCCTCTACTTAACTTCTAATGATGAAATCAGTTCTGATTTGTGTCTGGAAAAAATTAAAGATATGTTCAGCGTGGTTCCAGTTAAATGAAAATACCTATATATGTACATTTCAAAACATTATTAGAAAAATAGTGTTAAACCAGTATTAACCAAAAAACTTGGAGTGTTTATTTGTAGATAATGTGATCACAGAGGTTAGTTTCTTATTCCTATATTTTCTAAATTTCCCACGATGGACATTTATTATAAAAAAAAAAAAAGATTACAATTATTGTTCATGTTGGAAGGCTGTAAAGGCAAGAATTTTATTTTTATCTGGACCCCATCACTTGTGCTGGGCACTCTCCAAAACCACAATTAGACAAGGGCTTTGCATGAAACTACCCAGCCTGCAAAGGCTCAGTTCTTGTTCAGTTTTTTTAACATTTCTGGATTAACCAGAAAGAAGATAAAAATTCATATTTCACTTCTGTTTCTCACATTCACATTCATTTCTGGGACCAAACTAATCTCAAGTAACCACTTTCAATTTGTCATGACTCAGGCACAATCCGCAGAGCCCAGAATGAAAAGAAAGCGACGCATCACAAGCGGGCTACGAACCACGGCGCTGCCCCATCCCAAGGCATTTTTCCTTCAACGTCAAACACTGGCGAACTCCATGCAGACATGATGGCTCTACAAACACAGAACTGTTATGAGGAGGCCAATTTCTGCAGCAACAATGCAAACACATGTGGGTGCGACATACACCACTGTCACCCTCTCACAGCTGTTACCTGGTTTTTTCTGCTGCGCGGTTTCTTTTACAGAGTCTTGTTTCTGTTTTCTTTCTAGGGAGGCAATGTCACCCTACGTTAGGCTAATGGCAGGAAGCACAGCAGTGCCCCTTGTCCACGGTTTACCCTCTCCATGGTTTCAGACACCAGCAATCAGTCAACCTGGGTCCCGAAGCAGACGAGACCCCTTCTGGCACTTTACCAGGTCACAGTGCACGTCACGGCACAGCACCGACGCCATTCACCTCGCTTCATCTCGTTACATGGACATTTCATCATCTCACATCATTCAAGGAAGAGGGCTGAAGACATGACAATAAGAGAAACTGACAGAGATGTAACTCACATATATCCTTACCAACACCTTCACTTATTGTATCACAGTACATTGTAACAATTGTTCTATCGCTGTTAACCACTTGTTGTGCCTGAGCTCTAAGTTACACTGGGCCACAGTATGTACACACAGGAAGAAATATAATATGGACAGCGTTCAGTACTATCCATGGTTTCGGATAGCAACCCATCTACTGGGGATCTTGGAACGCATCTCCGCAGATCATGGGGGGGGCACTACAGTGTAACTTAATGTAGACTCATCTTAAGACTAACCTTCAACCTATAATTTCTTTTTTTTTCTTTTTATTTATTTATTTAAAATGTTTATTTTTGAGAGAGAGCAAGTAGGGGAGGGGCGGAGAGAGGAGGACAGAGGATCTGAAGCAGGCTCTGTGCTGACAGCATAGAGCGTGATGTAGGGCTCGAACTCATGAACCATAAGATGGTGACCTGAGTCGAAGTTGGACCCTCAACCAACTGAGCCCCCCAGGCGTCCCAAGACTAACAACCTTCCATCCAGAAAAACCAGCAGAGGCTGCCCAGTGCAGGTTTCACCCATACGCACGCCAGCTGTCTTCCTAGTCCAGCGACTCGAGGGCTACGGGAAAATTGTTCTTAAGACTGTGGACTGGGAGTGCCTGGGTGGCTCAGTCGGTTAGGCGTCCGACTTCAGCTCCAGTCATGATCTCACGGTTCACGGGTTCGAGCCCCTCATCGGGCTCTGTGCTGACTGCCAGCTCAGAGCCTGGAGCCTGTTTCAGAGTCTGTGACTCCCTCTCTCTCTGACCCTCCCTTGCTCAAGCTGTCTCTCTCTCTCTCTCAGAAATAAATAAAACATTAAAAAACAATCTTAAAGGGGCACCTGGGTGGCTTAGTCGGTTAAGCGTCCAGCTTTTGCTTAGGTCATGATCTCGCGGTTCGTGGGTTCTAGCCCCGCATCGGGCTCTGTGCTGACTGCCAGCTCAGAGCCTGAAGCCTATTTCAGAGTCTGTGTCTCCCTCTCTCCCTGACCCTCCCCTGCTCACACTGTCTCTCTCTCTCTCCTAGAAATAAATAAAAACATTTAAAAAAAAAAAAAACAATCTTAAAAAACTGTGGAATGTCAGGAGAAGGAGATGAACCTGTCCTTTACTGAGACCCCCCGGGTTAGGGGAATAACCTTCTTTTCCAAGTCTTCCCATCAGCTGTCACAACAGAAATCCTGTGCCTGCCTCCCTGCCCTCAGAAGGACACTAAACGGGAAAACACGGAGCCTATGCAAGCCAGAAAGACAGATGTTAGGAACCCCAGCTGGTGAACACAAAGTCGGTGAGGAATTCCAGAAAAGAGCAAGAAGTGTGTCAGATATTATGCAGCTTTCACACTAGGCACCCATGCTCTTTGACAGTCAACACACACACACACACACACACACACACACAGCTGAGCTCTTCATCTGCACTTTCCTTTTCTCTGATTTTCAGATAAGGACCCATATATACCCTACACCTAATGTAATCATGCTCAGGGAAACTCGAATCTTTGTAATTAGGCCCTTTGTTCAAACCTCTAAGATTTAAGCTTGATAGTATCAGTGTCTCGGCTTGAGTCCTAACAGGATGGAACGGATCTACCAGGTATAAAGAAGGGAGCCTGTTTCTCTCCTGTTTCCTGGATCCACTCACAGTGGATCCCTCACAGCAGCCGCTACCAGGTAAGCGGGGCCCAAGTGGCTCCAGGAAACAGGAAGAGATCTGGGCCCTCCCTGCAGCCTCGGCTGCCATTCAACACTTTGTCCCTGACCTTGCAACTCCTCTGGAGTCGACCCAAGGGTCACTGACATCAGATCTCGGGCAGGGGTGTTCCCTTTTAAAATGAAGGGCCCCTCAGAAAGGTGAAGGGAAACAACCCGGAGACGAAAGCTGTGGTCCAGGAAATAAAATGTTCCCCTGAAAGGACTTCCAGTTCAATCACTAAGTATCAGAACCTGCTGAATACTCCCCCTTCCACGCCTTGTTCTTTCCACGATCCCTGTGCAGAGTGTGTTCATCTGTCTCCTCACAGGCCATACGCAACAAGAACACAAGGGCCTTGTCCACCTTGCGTACCACTGAGTCGCTAGCACGAAAAACACTATCTGGAACAGAGCGAATGCTCAATGAAGCCTTGTTCCTTCATTCGACAAATGCCCACAAAGGGCAGGGGGCTGTGCCAAGTCCTGGGGAACCAGGAGTGAACAAGCCAGAAGACGCCCCTAGCCCTGGGGGTTAACAGTCCATGGTGTAAACACATAATAAACAAGTAAACAGATACACAAGTGTCTATCAGTGCTCACTGGGAAGACAACTCCCATTCCTTATTAGGCAGTGCTATGCACATCACACATCAGTGAACAAAACCGACAGCAACCCCTTCCCCTCCAGGCGCTCCCACCAAGCTTATCCCCAATCCACGTCCTGGGCTCCTTCTGTTCCCTCTGTCTGGGACCCTGTTCCTCCAGATCTTCCAGAGCCAGCTCTTTCCCATTCAGACCTCACCCTGACTCAAACGTCACCTCCTCAAAGAGGCCTTCCTTGACCACCCCGACTGTAGTCACCATCACATCATCCAGTTTCGTTACCTTCAGAGCAAACATTTTGCTCACCTATTTTATTTTGCTTAATATTTGTCCCCGCCACCCCCGGAAGTTCCGAAATGACTCCAAAAGGCCTCATCAGATTCGCTCCCGGCTAGCCCTGTGCCTCGCACGGGGTCGGCGCTCCGGAGCATCTGACGGCACTTGCCCGAAGCGGATGAAGCGTTCCTGACCAACCCGGCCACGGCCTCGGCGGACCAGGCGCCGGGACCCCCGGCTCGGGCCCCGCTCTGCGGAAGCTCTGGCTGGGCAGCCCCAGCTCCCCCGCCCGCGAAACGGAGAGAGCGACGCGCCCCTGCCCGGGAGCCCGCGGAAGGGAGGCCGGAGCGAAGGGCGGGATGCGGGGCCGGGCGGGCGGGCAGGTGCGGCCCGCGTCTCCCGGGCGACACTCACGTCTCGGAACTGGACCAGGCCCTTCTCGCCCAGGGCGCTGAGGCACTCGTAGGCCGTGCCGGACTGCAGGAAGAGCTGCGCCAGGCACATGGTCTCGCTCCGGAACAGGGACCCCATGGCGGGCCAGCCCGCGCCCCGGCGGGGCCCGACGGACGGCGGCGGCTCCGAGCCGCTCGGGTCCGCGCGGTCAGCCGGGGAGGCCGGGGCCTCGGGCTCCTCCTGCGTCCTGGCCGCCGCCGCCGCCGCCGCCGCGCACCATGGGGCTCCGAGCTGCAGCTGCCGCCCCCGGTCCTGCCACCGCTGTCGGGCTCCAGCCGCCGCCGCCGCCACAGCGCGCGCGAGGCCCCGCCCCCCGGCACAGCCGGTTCCGGTTCCGCCCCCTGCCGGCCGACCAATGGACGCCCGGAGTTGCGGCCGCCCGCGACGGCGGCCGGGCCAACCCACACAAATCCTACGGACTACGGACGACTGCGGGGGCTCCACGCGGAAAACAGCCCTTCGCTCAGCTCTTTAGCGCTTTTGAAAATGAGTTTTACTGAGTTTGTGCCGTAAAGCTCACCCGTTTGGAGCATACAATTCCGTGGACTTTAGTAAGCTTACAGAGTGGTTGTGCAGCCGTCATCACGATCCACTTTTGGAACGTTTCCATCGACCTGAAAAGGCTTCCACCTGCGCCGCGCAGTCGGTGCCCACGCCTTCCCTTCCCAGCTCGGGGCAATCGCGAACAGCCTCGTCTCGTGGGTCTGCCGTCTTGGGACATTTCATACCAACGGAACTACACCGCATCATGCGGTCGCGTCTGCTCTTGCCGCCGGCCGTTCTCCCGGGTCCCGTCCCCCGCGCAGATCGGAAAGCGGATCGGGCGCCGGCACTGCGCCCTCCCCCCTTCCTCCCGCCGCCGGCTCTGCCGCTCCTCCCCCCCGCAGCTACAGTGATCTCTGACACAGGACGAAAATCTGGTGTCGCCCACTTTAAATCCTCTGGCTTCTCCCACTGCTTTCCAAATAAAATCCAAATTTCCTAGCATAGCCGGCAGGGCCCCACAGGATCTGACCCCTCTGCTCCCCCAAGCCCCCGTCTCCGTCGCCTAGCCTTGGCCTCCCTTTGCTCCACCGCACCTGCCTTCCGCTAACTTCCCCGGTAGGTGCGCTTGAACTTGCGGATTCCTTCCTCTGCCTAGAACATCCCTCTCCTACACCCTCTCAAAGCTGTCTCAGCTCAAGTGTTCCCGCTTCTGAGGCTGTCCCCGACGCCTGGCTAAGGTAATCTCCCACCTCACTCCACCGCACCCTGTTTTATTTTCTTCATCACACCTACCGCGGTCTGCAATTATCTTCTGTATTTATTGCCAGTTTCCCCCCACTAGAATGTAAGCTCCACCCACAAGGGACATTGTCTCAGTATCTCCAGGGCCCGCATGTAGTAGCCACTCAATAAATATTTGTCAACTGCATACATGAATGTGTAAATGTAGAAGTTAAAACCATATAGTAGGTCCCTCAGATCCCATTTTTCTGCCAAAGTGAGCTTTCCCTTCTTTAACTACAAAAGTCATCCTAACAAAGCCCACAAAATCAGGCTCAATTACCTGTCATTTGGAAATGTTTAATTTTCCAGAGCTAGTTCACTAACTCCCATAAACTTTCTGAATCACTACAATTAATTGATCAGTGGGTAGTAACTTTTATTCGGCAAAAAACAATTTTTTTACTCCTTCTATAGGATGTAATCACTTCAACCACAGAAGTCCAAATCAAAGAAAAAGAGCAGCAGAAGGGAATCCACTATTTCTCAATGAAAAACCAATAGTGAGTGGTATTGAGGGAGAAACTTTTTTATGTCATTAGTCACATGTTTAATATGAATTAGTAAAAAATAGAACTATATTTACAGGCTCAGATTGGAAAACGCAACAACACATTCGACGTGTCTGGGAAGTCAGGAGGCCCCAGGAATTCGATCAGCGTGTGAAAAGGTAGACAAGCATTTTTCAAAATTAGGTTTACTGACAGTATACAAAGTCCATATAAAACATAACTACATTTATCTGGCCCACAAAGAAAATTACAAGATTTGCTATATGGCCACGACAGGGCTGTGGTTGAAGACATCCATTTCCCCCAGTGACCCCTGCGTCATGCCTTTTGTCCCCTTGGAAGGAGCCACAGGAGGAATTTCTCTCAAGGCCAACTAGGAAAAACTGTCCTTCATTGGAAACCAGCTTATTTTAATTCCATGCACCTATGATTCCTGTAGCTAATCATACTTGGTTTTTTGTAAATTAAAGACTAAATTAGGGGTCTACCTTAGCTATCTGCAAGGTCTTTGGCATTTTCACGAATTTACCTTTACTCCTGATTTTGTTTTACTTCCCTCTCAATATTACTTTCCTTCCCTCAGCCTCTACATCTTCCCTCATCAATTTATTTTGTGTCTTTACATACAAAATAATAGATTTTATAATATACACATATTAAGCTTTATGGATTTTTAATTCTTTCTTTAGAATAGGGGAAATCAATCAATTCAACAGAGATAAAAATTTAGAGAAAATATTAACTTTCTCAGGTAAGAATAATCTATTTGGACCAAAATTCCTCTGACTTTAGAAACCTGTGAGACACTACAGCTTCTAGGATGTATTTACCCAGTTGACCCTCTCGTGCATTTCGCTCAGCCCGCTCCGGCCACTGGAACGCCTCTCCTGCATTGCTCTGCACATCAGGATAGTTGCATGCCTGAATTAAATTCCCAGTGCACTTAAGAAACATTTTCTCCAAAAATAAAGCACTGCATTTATTACAATGTCACAGAGAGGCGCACAGGAGTACAACAAATCACTGAAGTCTGTGGTCTGCAAGAAGTCAGATGGCAGTTGAATTTCACTCTTTGCATGTGCCGGCCCAGGGGTTGCTGAGGAATGCAGCTAACATGAAGAAGGATACTAGTAATAAGCTCTTGGCCACACACTGAGAATAAGGCTCCCCTGCAGAACAATGAATGAAATGAAGCAAAATTCTTATTTCTTAACTTTTTTGGTAATTATTTAAGTAGAAGTAAACCAAAACAATAATAGTGATAATTTCTGAGTGGCAACCTTATTAGTTAATTCTTGAAAACTTTTTCCATGTGTTTTAAGTTTTCTTTGACACATACTTTTGAAAAAAAAAAAAATATATATATATATATATATGTTATGGGGGCACTGAGTGGCCCAGTGGGTTAAGCATCTGACCTTTGATTTCAGCTCAGGTCATGATCTCACAGTATATGAGTTCGAGCCCCGAATCGGGCTCTGCTCACTGACAGTGCAGAGCCGCTTGGGATTCTCTCTTCCCCTCTTCCCCACTTCTATCTGCCCCTCCCCCACATTACATAATGAGAGCCATTCCAGAAATCTGCTTTAGCCTACCTTGATAATACCGGGTCAAAGGATACAGAAGTTGTGGCCAACACACTTCATTTCTGTTACAGTCATACTCTGTAAAATTGATCTGGAATCTACAAAGCAATTTAGAAGATTACAGTAGGTCCAACAAAGTGTGCTTTTGATAAGACGCATCAATGCTTGATGAAAGAAATAAACTATTTTTGAGTATATATTTTCCTGCTTCCAAAAAATGTCAACTAGGTTGTCAACTGGTTTACCTTGTCAGTGGACGGGGTAACTGCGCAGGTATCTTAATAAACTGGACGGACGCACTGACAGGGAAAAGGTCGGCCTTATCTTCGCAAGAAAGACCACATTGGAACTGCCAGTTCATGAAGGAGAGCCTGGGGGGACGAGATGTGTAAGGAACACGTCCACCACGCGTTTCTAACCTGTTAAGGGCATCAGGTAACTGACAGCAACAGTACAAACTGGGATTCTCTTAAAGAAGGTTCAAATTCTACTAATGCTATGTCCTCCCCCTTGGATGATGTAAATTTTCCAACATATGCACAGAGAGAGAATAGCACCTCCTCGGCCGATCACCCAGCTACAATAATAAACAACATAAAGATAAGAACAACAGCAGCTCAGCATTTTGGAGGGTCTTCCAAGCGCGTGCACACACACCACAGCAGTCTTCGAACAGCACCGCCAGGCGTGTGTGGGCTAACGTCCGTCGTTTCTCCTCTCCAGCATCCCTTCACTTTTCTTCTGGCAACCGCACCCCAACCCCCTTCGGAAGACCCCCTCCCCACAGTGCACCCGAATGGATTATTACGTTCATGGATTTCAAATGTGCTCGGCACAAAGCAGCCCCTTGCTCATTTGTACCCCCCAAGAGACCTTGCAGAATCCCTCACACACAGCTCTATAAACACTTGTGAGAACACGTTACCATTACACATACAGTTGATGCATACACCGTTTACGTATAATCGTGTTGCTAATAATCGCAATTTGTAAACAAACCATCAGACCGTAAATTAGCATCTCTCTATGCTTCGGAGCACTCTCAACGTTCCTGACTCTCTCTAAGCGACACTCCTCCCAGATGCAGTCATACCTTGTCTCTATGCCAAGTATCTCCTGCTGAGTAATCCCTTCTACCGCACCAGCATCGGAGATGAGGATGCGGACACTGAGCCGGGCAGGAATATCCGTGCAGATGCCGTTCACGCTAACAGATGGGTCTGCGCCTGAATCGGAGGCATCTGCACCTAAGAAATACTAAGTTGTGCATTTTGGAAAGAAGAACTTAATAACAGTTTTCCTACAGTGCCAGGATGCAGGGGGGCCACGATGCAGGGGGGAAATAGGAAATGTTATTAGATAGCAATCACTTTACTACACGTTCATCTCTAACAGTACTGTCACTCCTAACTATGTTACCCGTTGGGTTCAAAATGTTTCCCTGTATGTTAAGTCAGTCATTGGAACTTTAAAATCCCTGACCCACGGCGGCACCTCGGTGGCTCAGTCGGTTAAGTGTCCAACTCCTGATTCTGGCTCAGGTGATGATCTCACGGTTTGTAAGACTGAACCCCAACATCGAGCCCTGTGCTGACAGCGCAGAGCCCACTTGAGAGTCTCTCTTTCCCTCTTTCTCTGTCTCTCTCTCAAATAATTTTTTTTTTAAAATGAAAAAGTCAACTTAAAAAAATTATAAAATAAAATCCTTGACCCACATAATAAAAGCATAAATCCTGATTCGGTTCCCAAGCTCCACACTCCCCCAGTTTTGGCAGAAAGACCCACCACTTCAGTCAAATGCCACGAGACTTCGCACATCCTGCAGGGCGTAGGAAAAGCTGTATACGTACGACACTTAAAGCGCAGCTAGCAACGTCAGTTAGTATGGATTAAATAGTTTGGAAGCAACTTCCTAATGTGTCGCCATAGAGTGACACACGTGGAAGAGAATAAAACTGAATAAGAAATTAATTTTCATTCTTCTGGAAAACCAGGCCTCGGGGGAAAGCAGCGAGGTGATGACAGGAGGGGGTGGCAGGAGGTGACACCGTGTCTTTATGCAGTCCCATTTCCTCCTCCTCCTCGAGGCGCATGTTCAACGTCGCTTCTCTTCTGTTTATCAGCCAGGACCGGGGTCCATTTGGCTTACACATGACACAGAGGCTAACTGCGTCCACCTTGAAGGCAACGAACCGCCACCACCTCAGCTGTCTTACCTAACCACCTTGGGTTTTTGGTCTTGAAACATCCATACTTTCTACTTGTGCCTCATCTGTCGGGCATTTCCGCGGCCCACCCAGCCGGCCTGGTGGCAAAGCCCCCAGGGTTGACAAGCCCCAACCTCTGGATTCCATTTCCGAATGAGGAACTAAGCCAGGGCCTAGTGGCTTGAGCAGGGCCCCCAGGGCCCCCAGAACCCCTCCCACAGTCAGAGAGTGATATGGGCGCCTCGGGCCCATGACATTACGATGATCCCTCACCGCCCAAAGTGGGGAGGGGTTGGGGTCATAAGGATCCAGACCGAATCACAAGGGGTGAGAAGAGCGCAGACAGCCCACGGAGCTGAAGTGACCTAAGGTGGTCAGGAGTGCAGGATGCAGATATCTGCCTACCCCAGCCGCACAGAGTGGGGGGCAGAGCCACATGCGCAGTGACAGAAGGGGACTTAGGAACGCGGATACTGCAGAGCCAGTTAGCTCTTTCTGGCCCCAAAAGGCAACCTGTTAATGAGAGCAACAGAAGCAGCTTTCTTTCTGTTCAGCACAGTTACACACTTAAGACCCCCCTCCCACGATATCACAAAGACGTCGCCTGACTTGCGGGCTGCGGGGACAGCAAAGGGGCTGGAACCCCGGCTTTTGGTTCTAGTTCTGCCACCACAAACCATGGCCTCGAGCTTCTGCACTGACCAGCAGAGCGAGCTGGGGCTCGACGGCCAGACACACGTGTTGGATTCAAAGCCGAACTTGGGCCTGCTGTGGCGAGCTGAGCGCAGCTTACCGCCGCTGCCCGTGCCACGCACCTCACCTCCTCGCACCCGATCCCCTGCTAGCCCTTCGCTACAGACGCCCTGGCCCGGGTCTTCCTACCCGGCCTGGGTGGTCCCTGCTCTCCTGACCTGCTGCACAGTTAACTTCTTACTTTCCCAACGGCTCTCTTGAGACACAATTCATACGCCACGCAATTCACCCCTTTACAGTGTGCACTTGAGTGGTCTCCAGGACACGCACAGACTTGTATGGCCATCGCCAAATTCCATTTTTAATGCCCCAAAAAGAAACCTTGTGCCCATCAGCAGTCACTCCTCATCTCTTCCTAACCGCCCCCGCCCCTGGAGACTATCAACGTGCTTTCGGTCTCTACAGATCTGCCCATTCTGGCCGTTTCGTACACACAGCCTCAGACAGTTCGCGTTCATTTGTGTCCGGCTTCTTTCACTCCGCATCACGTTTTCAATCACCTTATTTCCTTTTAGGTTAACAGCATTGCTTTTATAAATTACAATGTTCGTTCTCAACTGCCTACATCCCTGGCAATCAAAAACAGCAATGCAAACTGAAACGCGCTGAAAATCTTCAATCCTCATTTACACTTCCTTTTACAAAGACTGTTAGCTAATAAAACAATTGGGTGATTTGAACTTCATGTGGATTTTCTCTTAAAAAACAAAAATTGTGGGGCGCCTGGGTGGCTCAGTTGGTCAGGTGTCTGACTCTTGATTTCAGCTCAGGTCGTGATCTCACGGTTCTTGGGTTCAAGCCCCATGTCAGGCTCTGCACTGACGGCGCAAAGCCTGCTTGAGATTCTCTCCTGTCCTCTCTCTGCCCACCCTCCCCCTCCCCAACATATGCAGGCTCTCTCTCTCTCTCACTCATAAATAAATAAGTTTGGTTTTTTGTTTTAAAAAAGGGCATCACTGGGGCTCCTGGGTGGCTCAGTCAGTTAAGCGTCCAACTTCGGCTCAGGTCATGACCTCATGGTTCACGGGTTCGAGCCCCGCGTCGGGCTCTGTGCTGACAGCTCAAAGCCTGAAGCCTGTTTCGGATTCTGTGTCTCCCTCTCTCTCTGACCCTCCCCTGCTCACGCTGTCTCTCTCCCTCTCTCTCTCTCTCTCTCTCAGAAATAAATAAAACATTAAAAAAAAAAAGGGCATCATTAACAAAGGTAAAAGATGTAAAGAGCCTGCTGGCCAGAGAGTTAACCTCAAAACGAATGTCAGTTGAGCCAGAGCAAAGAAGGAGACCTGCTGTGTGGAGCTCCCACACACACAGGGCTAGCACTGTGTAACCATAGCAACAAGTTGCACGCTGCACATCTATGCAGCTTTGACTTACGTATTATTTCGAGCCAGCCGTCGCTAGGATCATTGTAATCGGAGTTGCCTCTCATTGCAACATGAGTTGCCTGTATTAATGAATCAAGTAGTTCGGCAGCATTCTCCCTGCAAAAGAGTGAGACATTTCTCAGCACATGGCTGGCGGGTCTCATCCTGAGGTCCTTTCCAGGGAGTATGTAGGCTGTGCTTGCTGGGTGCCTAAATAAAAGCTGCCAGAAGAACTGGCATTAAATGCTGGCTGGGTGTCTTTGCTCTCTTTTTTTTTAATGTTTATTTATTTTTGAGAGAGACAGAGAGCAAGCAGGGAAGGGATAGAGAGAGAGAGTCGCAGGATCTAAAGCAGGCTCCAGGATCTGAGCTGTCAGCACAGAACCTGACCCAGGGCTTGAAATCATAAACTGCGAGATCATGACCTGAGCCAAAGCCAGACGCTTAAATGACCAAGCCCCCCAGGTGCCTCATGTCTTTGTTCTCTCTGATGGCCTTTCCAGGATGGACCTAAGCCACTTGGGGAGGACATACAGAAGCATCTTTCACTTTGGACTTCAAATGTTAGTAACTTATGTTGGTATCATATAGTTTACAGACTCCATTGGGTGGTCATAAAAGTTGGGAGGTGGGTAGATCAAATACTGAGTTACCAGGATAAATGTACGGGCCATAGTGATTCAATAGCAAAAAGAACCTTTTAAATATCTAGCTGGATTTCTGAGCCATGAGATTAAGTCAAGACTAAGAACTGGAAGACACCCAGTTGGCTCAGTCCCTTAAGCATCTGACTTTGGCTCAGGTCATGATCTCAGGTTCATGAGTTTGAGTCCCGCATCAGGTGAGCTCTAGCCCCATTTCAGGTGAACATGAGCCCCACTGTGGGTGAGCCCTGCTTCTCTCTCTCTCCCTCTCTCTGCCCCTCACCACTTGCACCCACCCCGAAAAATAAATAAATAACAGCTTCTTTTTGAGACAGAGAGAGACAGAGCACGAGTGGGAAAGGGCAGAGAGGGAGGGAGACACAGAATCTGAAACAGGCTCCAGGCTCTGAGTTGTCAGCACAGAACATGAACTTGAGCCCATGAACTGCAAGATCATGACCTGAGCCGAAGTTGAACGCTTAACCGACTGAGCCACCCAGGTGCCGCATAAATATAACAGCTTCTTAAAAAAAAGAATTGGAGCTTAGCATTCCTTCTTTCTGGCAACGTCACTGACAGGTACAAACTTTATAAACTGCAGGGGAGCGACTGTGCGACTCCAGCCTTATGTCCCACAGTCAAGAGCCTCTGCTGGTAAGTTACACCTGCAGTCTACTTCCTGCTTAGTGCCTCCCCCATCTTTTCCCTGCTTCCCAAAGAACTATACGCCTTGACATGTGTTATGGATAAAATGGGCAGAAGGATGCATGCAATAAAAACCACAATGAGGGACACCTGGCTGGCTCAGTTAAGCATCCGACTTTGGTTCAGGTCATGATCTCATTGTTGTGAGTTTGGGCCCTGCACTAGGCTCTCTGCTGTCAATGCAGAGCCCATTTTAGATCCTCTGTCTCCCTCTCTCTCTGCTCCTCCCCCATCCATGCGCTTGCTCGCTCTTTCAAAAATAAACAAACATTTAAAAAAAAAATTTTAACCCACAATGAGATAACGCTTCACACCTACTGAGATGGCTCCTATCAAAAAACATAAATTCAGGGGGCACCTGGGTGGCTCTGCAGGTTAAGTATCCAACTTCAGCTCAGAAAATAAGTGTTGGGAGGATGTGGACAAACTGGAACCCTCTGACATTGCTGGTAGAAATATAAAATGGTGCAGCCACTGAAAATAATGCAGTGGTTTCTCAAAAAATTTAAACACAGAATGACTATATGACCCAGCAATTCCACTCCTGGCTACCTGCCCAAAATAACTGAAAGCAGAGAGTCAAACAAAAATGGGTAAGTGAACGTTCACTGCTGCACTATTCACAAGAGCCGAAAGGTGGAAACAATTCACAGGTCCATTTACAGATGAACGGGTAAACAAATGTAGTGCAGCCGTACGACGGAGGACTCAGCCAGAGGGGAGCCCAGCACTAACACCTGCTACCACAGGGACGAGCCTCCAAAGCATGAAGCTGAGTGAAAGAAGCCCGTCACAGAAAGTCACCTAGTGTACGATTCCGCTTATATGAAATGTCCAGAAGACGCAAATCCCTAGAGATTAGTGGTCGCCAGTGGCTGGAGGAGGGGAGGAATGGGGAAGGAATGACAGCGGGTACGGGTTTCCTTTTGCAGAGATGAAAATGTTCTGGAACTAAATAGGTGTGGTGATTATACAATGTCATAAACGCACCAAATGCCACTGAACTATTCACTATAAAATATGAGTTGTATTGTATGAGCGCCGCCTCGATTTAAAAAAAAAAAAAAGGGAGCATCTGCATATCCATTAACACCCTTTCCAAATGCCACCCAGGCAAGTGCAAGGTTCCTTATACACCACATAACAAGTATTCCTTTAATGTTAATCAAACCAATTAAATCTGCCTCCTGCCCTTTTGTACTTCTAGGAGTACTGGGCTTCAACGATGAGCAGACGCGAGCAGAACAAATGCATAAATATGGGTGAAAGGGCTTTAGTCCCAGGGAAGAACTCGATTTTCCCCCTATCGATATTTGAATCAATCAATCAATTAGTCAATAAACTGTACTTCACTGTCCTCTACCACTTTTACACACTTTTTTTATTCAGACTAATTTTTCATTCATGCTATCATTACTATTCATGTGGTGAATTCATTTTAAGCAAACCACTCAAAACGCAGGAAAATAACCAATGATACACTCACCTGAGCTGCGTACAGTTTTCACTGATCCCCACTTCTAAAAGACAGCCAGATAGAGCATTTTCTCCAAATAAAATGGGTTTGAAAGTTGCTGATGTACACAAACCCCTTCCAGCTAGAAAATAAAAGATAATCTTTTTACTAGTTTTGCTAAATGAAAGTAAAGATTTACTACTGTTTTTTTCTTGGGAAACAGACAGAAAACAGAACGTAGAAATAAAGTTGCCAGTTTTCGAGAACTGAGGTCATTGTCACTCTATGCCTTTCAAAGCTGAACAAAGGCGCCTTTCTGTATCAGAACACCTTGACCGGGAGCAGTGGCTTACTCTGAACACGCGAGTTAATGCCTCTGGAAGAGGCAGGCAAGTACCACCACGGCAGAGATGTCCCGTAGTTCGGAACAACTCTATAGTCATGTCAACACGCAACAATGACAAGGGACTCCCCAGCCAATCCTGCATCTACATCTCTCTTACAAATAACCCGCACTTCAGCCGTAAACAGTGTTAACTTTTGAGAAAATGTAGAAGCCTGATCTCCCCCATCTCCACCCCCATCCCCACCTAAATAAACCAACAGGAATTTGAAGTGATTAACTACTTGATTAGATTCAGAAAATGGCAATACTTCCAATTCTAGCTTACCAACGGCCTAATCGTATTACCAAACCAGATTACCCGGTTGCCAAAGGTGCAGACTCGTCACATTATTCACCCTGTTGGTATTTAGAGCTCGAACAGGCTTGCCAAGTTGGTAACCTAGACAAACACAATAACGAGGAGTAGCTAAAGTCAACCTAATACAGCAAGCACAACCTTGTCAAATAGTGTAAAAGAGGAATACACACCAAAAGGAAACACAGAAAAAGCTGTGTCAGAATACACTTGAGGGGCGCCTGGGGGGCTCAGTCGGATAAGTGTCTGACTTCGGCTCAGGCCACGATCTCACGGTTTATGAGTTCAAGTCCTGTGTCGGGCTCTCTGCTGACGGCTCAGAGCTTGGAGCCTGGAGCCTGGAGCCTGCTTCAGATTCTGTGTCTCCCTCTCTCTCTGCCCCTCCCTCCCCCACCACTCAAAAAAATAAACATTAAAAAAAAATTTTTTTTAAGAATACACTTGAGAGAAGATACCATCTTCATTCCTTTTCTGTTTTGCTTTTTTTTTACTTTTTTAAGTTTTTTTTTTTTTGAGAGAGAGAGAGAGAACGAGCAGGGGAGGAGCAGAGAGAGAATCCCAAGCAGGCTCCAGCTGTTGGCGCAGAGCCCAATGTGGGGCTCGAGCCTACAAACCCATGAGATCATGACCAGAGCCAAAATCAAGAATCAGACGCTTAACCCACTGAGCCACCCAGGCGCCCCCATTTTGTCTGTTTTTTTTTTTTTTTAACAAAGATATTTGTGTGACTTTCTAAATAGATTTTTTAAATAAAACCTGAAAAGGAACATGCAGGTCTCGGTGCTGGAAGGGAGTCAGAGTCCTGGCTGCGACGTGTTTCTGTTGTGGGCTGCATGGGGGAATCTGCGGCCGAGCGGCCAGGTAACGAGTGCTCGTGAGCGATCACTGCTGCTTCTGTCACAGGTGCTTTGAAAGTGGACTGACACCAAAGTAACCTTTCGACGGAAGGCTCTCCAGTACATCAGTTCCACCTCCCGGTCTGATCCAGGTCCTATTCCCACTCATCTCCTGTTAACCCACCTTCCTGCCTGCACCTCGTCATTAGGGAAACGTCCATATGCACATAAAAGTGGGAAGGAACGCCATGGATGCCAAGAGCACCACCACCCGAAATCAACAACCCTCCGTATTGAGCCTTATGTGTCGTGTCTACAGTAGTACATGCATACGTATGTCATTTTTGCGAGGCCTTTTGAAAATCAGTTCTGTCCTTGACACGTCACCGCTAAAAGCTCGGGCCAGCCCTTTTCTCGGCCCGCATGGGCTCCTTTCCAAGGTACGATGTCCCCCACACAGCCCACAACAGAAACACGTCACAGCCAGGACTCTGACTCCCTTCCAGCACCGAGACCTGCGCATACCTGCCCGGAAGCCCAGCGCTCCTTTATTCACTATCCTGTATTGTTTTCCGTTGTTGCCATGACCCTGTGCCATCTTTCCAAGTAAGAGAGTTGATTCCTTGTGGAGAGGGCCCATGTCGTGTGGTCTTCCTACAACCGTTCCTGCCCCCGGGAGTGCTGTATACACACAAGCTATTTCACGAACTGATCAGTTCCGGCTCATAGTCAATTTCTTCTTTTTTGACAAGAGCGTCAACATTTGTCACATATTCTGACGGTGCTTCTCAGAAATCACGTGTAATTGAATCATGAAATGAAAACCCTTAAACTCCAACAGCCTGCTAGGAAACCCAACAGTATTAATTTATTTTTAATGTTTATTTTTGAGAGAGAAAGAGAGAGAGAGAAAGAGAGAGAGAGTATGAGCAGGGAAGGGGCAGAGAGAGAGGGAGAGAGAATCCAAAGCAGGCTCACACTGTCAACACAAAGCCCGATGTGGGGCTCGAACCCACAAACTGCGAGATCATGACCTGAGCAGTGACATTCAACCCAGGAACCCCAAATAAACCCAACAATAAAATCCAAAACTCCACATTAACAAATACACTAAAATCTCATTTAAAAGAAAATACGTATATATACACGGGGCGCCTGGGTGGCTCAGTTAGTTAAGCGCCGGACTCTTGATTTCAGCTCACATCATGATCTCATGGTTCATGAGATCGACCCCCACATCAGGTTCCACACCAACAGCACAGAGCCTGCTTGGGATTCTCTCTTTCTCTGCCCTCCACCCCCATTCACACATGCTCTCACATGCTTTCTCTCTCTCTCAAAATAAATAAATAAAATTTTAAAAATATATATGTAAAACAGATCATGCATTATTAAGTCAGTATGTACAAATATTGAAAATCATGCAAGCTAAAACAGTATTTAAAAGTTAAAAAGTTTTAAGAATAAATAAATAGGGGGGCCCGGGTGGTTCAGTCATTTAAGCATCCAACTTCTGATCTCGCGGTTCGTGGGTCAGAACATTGGGTTCTGAGCTGGCAGCTCAGAGTCCGCTTCAGATCCTTTGTCTGCCTCTCTCTCTGCCCCTCCTCTGCTCTCAAAAATAAACATACATACACACATAAAAATAACCAATAAATAAAAGTAAAAAAGTTGTTCCTTTGTGGTTACTTACTGCCTGATTAAGAATACTAAAAAGAGGGACAAGTTTTTAAAAAACAATGATAGTTTATCCAACATATATTTACTGAACACTTACTGTTGCTCAAGTCAGTACTCCCCAATAAAAAATATAATGCAAGCCATATAAGTGATTTTAAAATATGACATATTTTTAGAATTTTTTAGACATTAAAAAATTTTTTCCAGCAGCCCCGGTAAAAATAAAAGAGAGAGAGAGAGAGAAAGGAGATGAAATTAATTTGAAGACTGTATCTTGGGGCGCCTGGGTGGCTTAGTCAGTTAAGCGTCCGACTTTCGCTTAGGTCATGATCTCGCGGTTCGTGGGTTCGAGCCTCGCGTCGGGCTCTGTGCTGACTGCCAGCTCAGAGCCTGGAGCCTGTTTCAGTCTGTGACTCCCTCTCTCTCTGACCCTCCCCTGCTCATGCTGTCTCTCTCTCTCTCCTAGAAATAAATAAAACACTTTAAAAAAAAAAAAAAAAAAAGAAGACTGTATCTTATTCAACTCAATATATCCAAATATTATCATTTCCACATATGCCACTGGCCACGCTGCAAGTGCTTAGTAGGGAAGTGTGGCTAACGGCTGGCACGTTGGACCTGCAGTTCTCCTTATTTTCTGAATTTTTTTTACTGTTTATTTATTTTTGAGAGAGACAGAGAAAGACAGAGCATAGCAGGGGAGGGGAAGGGAGAGAGGGAGATACAGAATCTGAAGCAGTCTCCAGATTCTGAGCTGTCAGCACAGAGCCCGACGCAGGGCTCGAACTCACAAACCGCGAGATCATGACCTGAGCAGAAGTTGGATGCTTAAGAGACTGAGCCACTCAGGCGCCCCTCTCCTCACTGTTTCAAGGCACTGAGGAGGCAACAATGAATAAAAGAAGCAAACAAATATATAACAAATTGAGTGATGCCATATTTGCACATAATGACAAAATGCACATAACCAGAACTTCACAGTCACTATGAAGTCTCTCCATGGACCCCAGGTTAGGAACCCATCATCTAGAGCTTCTTATTTCTTCTTCTTCTTTTTTTAATGTTTATTTATTTTTGAGAAAAAGAGACAGAGTGCGAACGGGGAAGGGGCACAGAGAGAGGGAGACACCGAATCTGAAGCAAGCTCCAGGCTGTAAGCTGTCAGCACAGAATCTGACATGGGGCTCGAACTCACAAACCGTGAGATCATGACCTGAGCCGAAGTAGGACGCTTAACCGACTGAGCCCCACAGGCGCCCCTTTCTAATTTTTTTTCTTATTTCTTAAAAAATTAATTTAACCAACACTTCAAAGGTATTATCTTTTTTTTTTTTTTTCCAAAAGACCACTACCTAAGGAATGTTTTCCACTTACAGCAACCTGTTACCATCTAGGACAATTCATGTAAAAAAACAAAACAAAAACAAAACAAAAAAAAGCTGTTATCAGAAAAAGAATACAGTGTACAAAAGAGAAAGAGAAAGTCGGCAATCACAAACTACAATTGGAGAGAGTTATTTATAATTATCATTGTAGTACAGGAGTCTGGAATTTAAAAGTTTGCAGGATCAGTGATTGCCACACACTATCTTACCTGGATTTCCAGAAAATTCCTTTTCATCACCACTATTATAGCTTAAAAATTTTACTGTAAATCTCTGTGTCATGATCCCTAGAAATAAAACACAATAAAAATATAATGTGCACCATTTTACTAGGAAATTATCCCCAAAGAGTCATTTTTCTTTATCTTATCATTACATTTTGATGTGCAAAAAAAAGTCTTGTTTATTAAATCACAATTACAAATAAGAAACAAGTCCGTATTAGTTTTGCACATAATAATTATGAGAATCTTAAAAAAAAAAGTTTTAAACTGAAAACCTTCTCACTGTCGTTAACAAATTTACCTTTCTGGTGGGCATTAATTTCTGCCCTAATAATTTTGACATTTATTTCACTGATTGTATTATTATTCCATCTGAAAATATAATGTTCTTCCACATTCACTTTTCTGGGGGCCAGTCCATTACTTAAAAGTGTTTCTGCAAAGAGAAAATACTGTCATATGTTAACGACCCTCCCTGAGCTCAAGTCTCTTCTTGGTCCCACCAAGTCAGCACGGCCACCCCCTCTTCAGCATCACAGTATCTGTCTTTTCCTTCCATTTCTGTACCCCCAGCACGCGGCTCAGAGTTCAGTACAGGGACGTGATCACTAGAATGCTTGTCAAAAATGAAAGACTAACAGAAGTCAGCTCCTCAGGAACAGAGCTGTCTAGCTCACTACTATATTGTAGGTATTTGCTAAGATCTGATGAATAAATTTGAGAATTTTTTTTTTTTAATTTTATTTATTTATTTCTAGGAGAGAGAGAGAGACAGCGTGAGCAGGGGAGGGTCAGAGATAGAGGGAGTCACAGACTGAAACAGGCTCCAGGCTCTGAGCTGGCAGTCAGCACAGAGCCCGACGCGGGGCTCGAACCCACGAACCGCGAGATCATGACCCAAGCGAAAGTCGGACGCTTAACCGACTAAGCCACCCAGGCGCCCCATAAATTTGAGAATTTTACAACATATTGCAGAGAAACACAAACATCCTTAACAACAAAAGTCCTGATAATATTAGCCAAACTCTGAATAAGCTGCATCAAAACCGCAAAGTTTAATTATCAAAAAAAAAAAAAAAAAGATGAAACTTAACAGAAGACCATGGGGGAAGGGAAGGGGGAAAAAATAGTTACAAACTGAGAGGGAGGCAAACCATAAGAGACTCTTAAATACAGAGAACAAACAGAGAGTGGATGGAGGGAGAGCAGGGAGGAGGGGAAAGTAGGTGATGGGCATGGAGGAGGCACCTGTTGCGATGAGCACTGGGTGTTGTACGTTAGCGATGAATCATGGGGATCTACCCCTGAAGCCAAGAGCACACTGCACACACTGTATGTTAGCTACCCTGACAATGAAGTATATTTAAAACAAAATAAAAAGAAAAGAAGAGAAAGGCTAAGGCAAGAAAGAAAGAAAGAAAGAAAGAAAGAAAGAAAGAAAGAAAGAAAGAAAGAAAGAAAGAAAGAAAGAAGAAAGAGAAAGAAAGGAAGGAAGGAAAGAGGGGCGCCTGGCTGGCTCAGTCAGTAGGATCATTTCACTCTTGGCCCCTGGGTTATGAGTTCGAGCCCCATGTTGGATGTGGAGATTACTTAAAAATTTAAAAATCTTTCAAGAAATTTTTTTAACAGAGGGGGCATCTGGGTGGTTCAGTTGGTAAAGCATCTGACTCTTGGTTTTGGCTCAGGTCATGATCTCTCAGGCATGAAATCGAGCCCCACGTCAGGCTGAGCAAGGAATGCAGAGCCTACTCGGGATTCTCTCTCCCTCTCTCTCTGCCCCTCCCTGACTTGTGCTTGCTCTTTCTCTCTCTAAATAAGTAAATAAATAAATAAACAAACAGACTTAAAAAGAAAAAGGAAGAGAGAACAAGAATCATAAATGCTGGTTCCCTGAAAAACATTCCAGAAAAGGTCCACAGACCCTGAAAGCTGGCAGGGACCCTTAGCCGACATAACTCAGGACTGTGGGGAAGGGCTCAGGGCACAGAAAACTGCTCTGAAGCAAAGAAAGAGGGAACAGGGAACAACATGTGGAACAGACAAAATTCGAATTGCTGTGAACCCCCTTAAATTCTTAGTAAAAATGTATTTACTCTAGGGTGATATACTATTTACAGGAAATGACACACGTATTTTTGCAGAGGTGATATAAAAGTGTGACATGAAAGTACCTGTACCGGTGATGAATTTGTCTGGGTCGGTTGCTTCCTCATAGATCACTTTTGGTGTAACAATGCCTGAAAAGACACAGAAGGTAAGGTCCCTGGACTACACGCCCACCACGATCGCATTTCCTTCCTGAAGGGCGAGCTTAGCCAGCAAGCACGGAACTGCGCCTGACCCGTGTGCCAGCTTCAAAACCTCTCCCACTCCCCGCGTGCCACCAAAGGGGATGCCACTGTTCTTGGCATCTAGTAGGAACGGAGGAGGAGAGTCCAAAGTCAGTGATGATAATCCCGAGGGCTACCCTCCCGTAGGAACGAAGAGGCAGCCCGCAGCCAGGGGGAAGGTAACACGGTGTGCTCGCTTTAGAAGCGGTTTGGTGCTTCCTCAGAAAGTTAAATTACCACGTGCCTCGGCAACGCCACTGCCAGGTATAACGCCAGAAGACATGCAAGCATGTGCTCACACACACATTTGCACACAAGTGTTCAGAGCAGCACTACCACAGTCGCCAAAAGCTGGAAACCCAAATGCCTATCAAAGGATGGATGGATAACCCATGTAGCACATATATCCACACGATGGAATGTTACCCAGGGAGTTCGGTCCCTGCCACAGTGTGGCTGACCCTTGAAAACGTGATGTTGAGTGAAAGAAGCCGGTCTTTTGGACATAAAAGTCCACATAGTGTAGGATTCCTTTGATAGGGGAATTCCAGAATGAGCAAATCCATAAAGATGGAGAGTAATTAATGGTTGCTATGGGGCAGGGCACGGGGAGAAAGAAGAGGCTGTTAGTGGGTACGGGGGCTCCTTTAGGAAGAGGAAAGTGTTCTAGAAATAGCCAGAGGTGATGGCAGCATAGCACTGTGTATGTACTAAATGCCACTGAACTGTACATTTTACAATGGTTAATTTTAGGGGCACCTGGGTGGCTCAGTCGGTTAAGCATCTGACTGAGTGGTTCATGAGATCAAGCCCCACACTAGGCTCTGCACAGTGCGGAGACTGCTTGGGATTCTCTCTCTTCCTCTCTCTCTCTACACAAATAAACAAAAATAAGCATTTAAAATGGTTAATTTTATGTTGTCCATTTTGCCTCAATTTTTATTTTTTTTTTAATGTTTATTTACTTTTGAGAGAGAGTCAGAGAGACAAAGCACAAGTCGGGGAAGGGAAGAGAAAGAGGGAGACACAGAATCTGAAGCAGGCTCCAAGCTGTGAGCTGTCAGAGCCGCAGACACTCAACCGACTGAGCCACCCAGGCGCCCCTTACCTCAACTTTTAAAGAGGAACTAAAATGCAATGTGCGGTCCTAAGGACTGGACTTTTTCTGAAGGAAACGCTTTCTTCAACTGTAAGTTGAAATATTTTAAGTTGATCCAATAGGAGAGTTTTATGCTCTCATGCAGTTTCTGTCGACACTCGGGTCTGTGTTCTTTTTTCAAACCAATGGAACATACCTCCTAGCACACCATTCTTTATCTTCACATTGACAAGATCTTCTTGCTCTTGGTATACTTCCAAGTCAGTGGTGCACCGCACATCAAAATTCTGAAGGAACGCCACCGGCGCGTGCTGCAGGCAGTGCCCAGCCAGGGAGCCCTGAGGGACAGGGAGAATCCGACAGGGCTGTGACCTCTCTTCAAACCATAAAATACAGACTAGCGTCTGGTGCAAGTGTTCTAGTTAATGTGCTACACAAAGTCTGGAAGCTTTGTCACAATAAGTATTATTTAATAAAAACAAAGAAAATTCCCCACCCCGCTCCACTTACTTTGCAGAAACATGATTACATTCAACTTCATTTTCTCTCCCTTATGACAACCAGATTTTTGCTAAAACTGTAAAACTGGATTCCTTAAACGGTGAAGAGAGACAGTTTAGATTCCGGTGTTTTCTTTCCACAAATACTTTTTTCCTCATGATTTTGGGCTTAAAAAAATAAAGATTTGGGGCACCTGGGTGGTTCAGTCAGTTGAACATCCAACTTCAGCTCAGGTCATAATCTCACAGTTCATGAGTTCAAGCCTCACATCGGGCTCTGTGCTGACGGCTCAGAGCCTGGAGCTGCTTCAGATTCTGTGTCTCCCTCTCTCTCTGACCCTCCCCTGCTTGTACTCTGTCTCTGTCTCTCTCTCTCTCAAAAATAAAATGTTTTTTTAAATAAATTAAAAAATAAAGATTTTACATACAACTCTATATAACCTTGAGATACTTTTTAAATCTCTACAATATTATATTAAATTATATACTTATAGCTTACTAGAAATTGGCCGTTAAACTAACAGAAGTGCAGAATGGTAGTTATTTCCATGGAAATTTATAGAATTTGTTTTGGTTGGTAAGTTCACTCTGAGATTTAGCAAAGACACTGGTTAATTTAAGAGGGGCTATTAAAAAATAAAACCCACAGGGGCGCCTGGGTGGCTTAGTCGGTTAAGCGTCCGACTTTCGCTTAGGTCATGATCTCGCGGTTCGTGGGTTCGAGCCCCGCGTCGGGCTCTGTGCTGACTGCCAGCTCAGAGCCTGGAGCCTGTTTCAGTCTGTGACTCCCTCTCTCTCTGACCCTCCCCTGCTCCGCTGTCTCTCTCTCTCTCTCTCCTATAAANAAAAAAAAAAAAAAAAAAAAAAAAAATAAAACCCACAGACCATAAAGAGTTGAGTACCTGGAAAATCCACAGGAGAAAAATAAATAACTTAGGATAAGATTTTTCACAGCAGTATAAGTTAAATTAACAACAGGAAGGGGAAATTTGTGAAAGGCCTTCACATATTAAAATTGAAATCAGTACCTGTGGGATGGTAAAGTAGGCCTTGTCCACAGTCATGATTGCATCTCCTTGCTTGTAACCGAAGTCTGAGAAGTCCCTCAGATCAGTATGCAGATACACTTCCATGGAAGCATGTGGCCTAGGGCACCTGCAAATCAATGAGGGTTATCACTACTCCTTTGGGCCGGTATCTGCTAAAAACAAGTCTTCTTGTATTTTTTTTTTTACTTTTTTAATTATAAAAACATTTGTACTAAAAGCCAAAAAGCTGTACACTGGAAAGTGGTTAGTGGTTAATTTTATGCTCCATGAATTTTACTTCAATAATAATAATAATAAAGCTATAAATTTTCAACACGACAGGAAGGTGCAAGAAAGAAACTAAGCCCATGAGCCCACCGCCCGTTCGTTCCCCAAACCCAGGTAATCGCTATTCACTGCTGGTGGTAACTGACCAATCTCTTTTGGGTGAGGCCCAGTTCTTTCAAAGACTTAACACAAACTTGCTAAGGGACACGGAGGACCGCCTCTCCGCTGAGGGCCTCGGGCAAGCCCGCGGGGGCCCCGACACGCACACGGAGCCATGGTAGAAGTAGCCCAGGAAGGGCGAGTTGGCCAGCGACGACTGCACACACAGCAACGGGAACCAGCCCGGGGCCCCCGGCGCCCTCTGCGCGGAGCACAGCTGGTCAAACGGGGGGTTGACGTCGCCTCCAAACACTCCGGTGAAACAGGCCTCTCTGAACAGTCCTGTGACATCCGGCGAGCATTCCTTGGAGGGAAATGTGAAGGAGCGGTGAGCAGACAGAAGCTTCTAGGGTGCCCACCACCAGCTCTCAGGGGGCGGGGGGAGCAGGACACCACCGAGGAAGCGTGAAACGACACGGTCCCCATACAGGCTACCAGTCTCTGTGCTCACAGAAAGTAAAATCCTGCTAGAATTTCTTTCATCAGCTCCTACGAGCCTCCAAGTCAGGAACTTCAGACCTTCTAGGGAACCACACCCTTGCTGGGGACACAGATGTGCCCATAAAAAAAAAAAAAACCAGTATGAGGAAAAGAAAATATGGAAGAGACTCCAAGTGGGGAATAAAACAGAGTAAACTTCCCTTTTTAATTGTCATCACCATCCAAACCCTTAGCCCAGAGAAACCTAAAGACATTTTGAGTTAGGGCAAACAGTCCATATTCTCTAAGAAATCTTAAGGCTGTCGCTGTATTATAACACGACCCAATTAATGTCACCACTTCAGTCCTGCATTCAGTTATTCATCCATATTCTTCCTCGTTTCACACAGACTCAGAGGGCTAAAAGTTGAATATGTCCCAAATCCTTGGTTCCCTGACATCACTGACCCAGATACCAAACCCTGCCAGGGGCTGCTGCTATATATATGGACACCGTATATGACAAGCACGAAAGAAGTCAGAAACAGGGCACAGTACTGCAGTCCAGCAGAATGAGAAAGAGAATATCATACGTTTCTATTGATACTGACAGATGACGTGCTCTATTTTTTTTAAATTTTTTAAATGTTTATTTACTTTGGAAAGAGAGAGACAACGTGAGCAGGGGAGGGGCAGAGAAAAAGGGAGACACAGAATCTGAAGCAGTCTTCAGGCTCTGAGCCATCAGCACAGAGCCTGACACGGGGCTCGAACCCACAAACTATAAGATCATAACCTGAGCTGAAGTCGGATGGTCAACCCACTGAGCCACCCAGGAGCCCCTGACGTGCTTGCTCTATTCTTAAATTAAATGTAATTGTTATTATAAGTACAATTGTTGCTATGAGAGTTACAATATAAATAAAGGTCCTAAACTTTCCTTTTCTGTTTTGCAAAACCAACCATGGCACAACTGCACTCATCCAAACATAGGAGTGACTGGGATCACAGTAAATATGTCTCTTTTGCACCTCTCAGTCCTCTTCAATCTCAAAGAAGGATTAAAATATGTATTTGAGGGGCACCTTGGTGGCTCAGTCAGTTAAGTATCTGACTCTTGATATTGACTCAGGTCATAATCTCATGGTTTGTGAGTTCAAGCCCCATGTTGGGCTCTGCACTGACAGCATGGAGCCTGCTTGGGATTCTCTCCCCCGACCCTCTCTCCCCCTCTCTCAAAATAGATTTAAAAAAACTTTGAAAATATATATATATGCACTTGACCTGGATCAGGCAACATTTTCTTAGATATGACACTAAAAGCACAAACAACAAAAGAAAAATTGACTAATGAGATTTTAGCAAATTAAAAAAAAACTTTTGGGCTTCAAATGTCACCAACAAGCAAGCAGACAACCTATACAATGGGTGATGTTTGTCACAAAGCATATACCTGATTTGGACCAGTATCCAGAGGTATAATGAACTCATATAGTTAGGCAACAAAAAGAAAATCCAGTTGAAAAGTGGGCAAAGGAGGGGGAAAAACTGAGAGCTTTCTCCGTAAGGTCAGGAACACGAGAGGGATGTCCACTCTCACCACTGTTATTCAACATAGTGTTGGAAGTCTCAGCCTCAGCAATCAGACAACACAAAGAAATAAAAGGCATCCAAATCGGTGAGGAGGAGGTCAAACTTTCACTCCTCACAGATGACATGATACTCTATATGGAAAAACCCACCAAAAAACTACTAGAACTGATCCATGAATTCAGCAAAGTCACAGGATATAAAGTCAATACACAGAAATCGGCTGCATTCCTATACAATAATGAAGCAACAGAAAAAGAAATCAAGGAATTGACCCCATTTACAATTGCACCAAGAACCATAAAATACCTAGGAATAAACCTACCCAAAGAGGTGAAAAATCTATACCCTGAAAACTATAGAAAGCTTATGAAAGAAATTGAAGAAGACACCAAAAAATGGAAAACTATTCCATGCTCTTGGATCGGAAGAACGAATATTGTTAAAATGTCAATATCACCCAAAGCAATCTACGTTTTCAACACAATCCCTATCAAAATAACACCAGCATTCTTCACAGAGCTAGAACAATCCTAAAATTTGTATGGAAGCAGAAAAAACCCCAAATAGCAAAGCGATCCTGAAAAAGAAAACCAAAGCTGGAGGCACCACACTCCCGGACGACAAGCTGTATGACACAGCTGTAATCATCAGGACAGTATGGCACTGGCACAAAAACAGACACTTGGACCAATGGAACAGAACAGAGAACCCAGAAATGGCCCCACAAACGTATGGCCAACTAATCTTTGACCAAGCAGGAGAGAACATTCAATGGAATAAAGACAGTCTCTTCAGCAAATGGTGCTGGGAAAACTGGACAGCGACATGCAGAATAATGAACCTGGGCCACTTTCTTACACCACATACAACAACAAACTCAAAAGGGATGAAATACCTAAATGTAACACAGGAAGCCACCAAAATCCTAGAGGAGAAAGCAGGTAAAAACTTCTTTGTCCTATGACGCAACAATTACACTACTAGGTTTTTATCCAAGGGATACAGGTGTGCTGATTTGAAGGGGCACACGTACCCCAATGTTTATAGCAGCGCTGTCAACAACAGCTAAAGTATGGAAAGAGCCCAAATGTCCATCGACAGAAGAAGGAATAAAGAAGATGTGGTATACAAACACACACACACACACAATGGAGTATTACTCAGCAATCAAAAAGAATGAAATCTTGCCATTTGCAACTGTGTGGATGAAACTAGAGGATACAATGCTAAGCAAAATTAGTCGGAGAAAGACAAATATATGAATTCACTCATATGGAATTTAAGATACAAAACAGATGAACACAGGAGAAGGGAAGAAATAATATAAAGACAGGGAGGGGTACAAAACATAAGAGACCCTTAAATCTAGAGAACAGAGGGTTGCTGGAGGAGTTGTGGGGGGGGATGGGCTAAATGGGTGAGGGGCATTAAGGAATCTATTCTTGAAATCATTGTTGCACCATATGCTAACTAACTTGGATATAAATTTAAAAATCAATCAATTAATTAATTTTTTAAATGGGCAAATGATCTAAATCAACATTTCTTCAAAGATATGTAAATGGCCAATAGGCACACGAAAGGATGTTCAACATCGTTTGCCACTACAGAAATACAGATCAAAGTCACGATGAGATACCACTCCAAACCCACTAGGATGGCTATAATCAAAAAGATTATTGGAACAGACGGAAAGCCTGCAAGGCTTCTGCACTGCTGACGCGAATGTAACAACCGTGCAGCCGCTTTGGGAAAACAGTTCCTCAAAGAGCAACCCCACCCCTAGGGAACATATACAAGAGAAATGGAAACACGCATCCAAACCAAAACTTGCACACACATGTTCACAGAAGCCTTATTCGTAACAGCCAAAAGTGGAAGCAATCCAAGCATCCATCGACTGATGAAAGGATTGGCAACATGTGGTCTGTCCATGCAACGGAATGTGACTTGACCATAAAAAGGGACAGAAACACTGACACCTGCCACAAGGCGGATGACCCTTGGAAACAACATGCTGGGAGGAAGAAGCTAGACACAGAAAGCCACGTGTGAGAGGGATCTGTTTACATGCAGTGCCCAGGACAGGCCAGTCCAGAGCCAGACGGCGGGTGGAGACGGGCCTGGGGATGGGCAGAGGCCGGGGAACGGGAGAGGTCGAGGGGGGCACAAGACTTCCGGTCAGGGTGATGGAAACGTTCTCAAGGTAGATTGCAGTGGGGGTGGTGCACCTCTACAGGTTTACCCAAAGAAATCACTGGAAGAATGTATTTTCCTTCCTTTTTATCTTTTTGTGAAGACTTCTCAATACCAATACTGGAAGTAAAACCATCCTCAATATAATCATCTCAATCATGACTGTCTCCAAAGAGATAACATTTTTTCTTCCATAAATAAGACTGACTGGGCTAGATAAGAAAATACTCAATTTGAAAACAATCTGCGGGGCACTCGGGTGACTCAGGCAGTTAACCATCAGACTCTTGATTTCAGCTCAGGTCGTGATCTCACAGTTTGTGGGTTCAAGACCCACATCGGGCTCCATACTGACAGCACAGAGCTTGACTGGGATTCTCTCTCTCTGCGCCTCCCCTGCTTGTGCTCTGTCTCTCTTTCTCTCTCTCTCTCAAAATAAATAAACTTTAAAAATGAGTTAAAATAAAAAAAAAAAAAAAAACTATCTACAACACAAAACTCAACTTTAGATTTCAAAGCCCATCCGTGAGAAGCTGTGCTGGGAGCTGTTGTGAGTCTCCACATGCCATTTGGTACCATAACTTCTGCACCTGTAATCGAGAAGAGCGTACCTGGTCACAGCAGCAGCGAATGTCACAGGCCCCAGCGGTCAAATTACAAGGACAAGGACCCAGGGGTTGATACACTTGGTTCGGAATGACAGTCACATTCTCTGGAAAGTACAAATGACAGAAAAGTCCAGCTGTGAAACACTCTGGCAAAGCGTTGGCACGTTTTCGACACTCAAAAGAAAGCAGAATCATTGTTTTACAAATCACTATGACCAAATATTACACGTTAAGGAACCCCTGAGCTACGCAAAACCCTAGCTGAGGCCTGTATCTACTACTCCGTCAAAAACCCAAATATAGGAAGTATGCTAGTTATACTAAACTGAAGTCACGCTTGATCCTAAAGATAATCATGACTAAAATATACAAGTTAGGATAAAGGTAATGCACTGACTTTATTTTTCAATACACTGAACAATCCTTTTCATAACACAGACTGACATTAACCACTGACCCCTTCAAATTCATTACCCCTTCCAGCAGAGGAAACTGAAGCCGTGAGGACATTTCAGAGACCTTATCTGGGGGCCCATTTAGCCACAAGATTATGTCCAATCATGCTACCTGCTCAACCTCAAGTCCTATCGCACTGCAGACCCAACTCTTTATATCCGGATTCTAGTTTAAGTGCGGAAGTGTGGGGGAAATTAATAATTTTTACATAGATTGGAAAAGGAATATGTCACATTACATTTCAACCTCCTAACTCAGAATCCAGACAGGAATATTTCCAGTTGCCCTGCGATAATTTATTGGATAAAGTTTAGCTTTGAATTTTACGTTTGTCCTAGGATTTGGTACATGTTGAAAAACTACATAGCGATCACTTATAACAGTTAACTTCAATGACATGACAGTTGAAGCATCTCAAAAACAACTAATTATACAGTCTATGCTAGAATATAGTAGAACCCCACTGTGTCAATGGTCTCAGGAATAAGGAGGTCTGAGTAACATAGTCTGTTACTCAGGCAAGAGTCTGGCCATCAGTATAATCAAACCTGTGGAATATAAACAAGGCATTTTGGAATAGGGTTTTACTATGCGAGATATAGATAGATATCTGCGTATCTACCTATATGTCTCCTATGCCGTTTGCGAGCGTGACTGTTACTAGGCATATACCACGTACCTCCCATCTGTCCTTCTGTCCTTGTTCTCATTCTGCTCTCTGTCTGACTGGGTGCAAAATTTTTCATACCTTCATGGGGTCAGAGCGGACATCTCATAACTACCAATACACGAAGAGTCTAAGTTTGGCTATTTGTACAAAAGCGTTCTGATATATTACCTAATCGTAGCGAAGCATATTTCTTAAAACGGTCACCACGTTGAATGGTACAGCTATCCCTCCCGTGGTGTTCTGTAGCACCCACCAGAGATTATTTTTTAGTTTGTTTTAAATTTTAAGCATTTAGAGAATGTTCTCTTTTTTTCCCCAAAAACAAAACTTTAAACCTTTAAATTGCTCACAGATTCACATGTTCAAAACACTCAAGAGGGGGCACCTGGATGGCTCAGGTGCTTGAGAGTCTGACTTTGGCTGATCTCACGGTTCACGGGTTCAAGCCCCACATGAGGCTCTGTGCTGACAGCTCGGAGTCTGGTGCCTGTTTTGGATTCTGTGTCTCTCTCTCTCTCTGCCCCTCCCCAGCTTGTGCTCTCTCTCTGTCTCAAAATTAAATAAACTTAAAAAAAGTTTTAATTAAAAAGCCTCAAGAGGATCTTTAAAAAGGTACACAGTGAAGTCCTCCGAGCCCGCCCCTCCTGGTCCCACACCACTTGCCAAAATGGCCCCACACGGTTAGCTTCTCAGATAGCCTTCCAGAACTTCTGTATGCAAATATATAGCCTTACTCCATGCTAAGGACCCATGTGCAGCTGCTTTTTGCACTTGGTAATATATCTTAGAGATGTTTCCACCAAGCCCACTGAAGGCAGAGTGGCCCACTGGACGTCCCCATCTGAACATATCTAATCCTCCTCAACTTCTGAAATCACAAGGAGGACTACAGTGAGGCATGGGAGACAGGAAGTGACAGTGTAGGAGTCTCACAGCGACAAGTGACAGACCTTCGCTACTAAAGAGGAACGCTTCTCCCTTCATCCAGGGGCCTGCAAAGTCAACAGTGCTAGACTTGATTGCAGGAGACAGAGAACATGGTGGTGGCACCTATCAGAGTAGACCTTCAACACTGGCCCAGCTACATTCTTTTGTTCTTAGAAAACTGCCGTGTGAAAGGGAGACTGACACAATACCGTTTTCACGCCCAAAAGTCGATGTGCGCAGTGATGTCTGCTCTAGCACTAGTTACGTATCACAAACCGGAAGTGACTTAGATTCCATCAGTAAGAGACTAGTCAAATACACAATGGTATCTGCAAACAGTGGAATGCTCTGCAGCTATGAAAAAGGAGGTGAACCTGCATACATTTATATGGGATTTATTTCTTTTTTATCAATTGTTTATGTTTATTTATTTTTGAGAGAGAGAGAGAGAGCACACAAGCAGGGGAGGGGCAGAGAGAGAGGCAGGCTCCTCCGTGGAAACAGGCTCCAGGCTTTGAGCCATAAGCACAGAGCCCGATGTGGGGCTCGAACTCGTGAACCGTGAGATCATGACCTGAGCCAGAGTCAGACCTTCAACCGACTGAGCCACCCAGATGCCCCTCTATGGAATTTATTTTTAAAAGGTATAGAATAGTAGAAATAAATTAAAAAAAAAAAAACATTAAAAAAAAAAAAAAGAAAAGAAAAGAAAAAAAAGGGGCGCCTGGGTGGCTTAGTCGGTTAAGCAGCCGACTTTCACTTAGGTCATGATCTCGCGGTTCGTGGGTTCGAGCCCCGCGTCGGGCTCTGTGCTGACTGCCAGCTCAGAGCCTGGAGCCTGTTTCAGTCTGTGACTCCCTCTCTCTCTGACCCTCCCCTGCTCACGCTGTCTCTCTCTCTCTCCTAGAAATAAATAAAAAAAAAAAAAACATTAAAAAAAAAAAAAAGGTATAGAATAGTGAATTGTGTGTTATTAGTGTGTGTGTGTGTATTGTCTTGAAACAAGAGAATACCACATGCTTCCACAAACATAAATTAACAGGCTGACTCTAGAAAGGTAGCTGGAGGTCCAAAGCTTTCACTGAAAATCTACTGGGGGCGGGGGGAAGTTGGTTTTGTTTTATTTTTTGTCAACTCCTTCATTAATCCTTCCCTTGAGTTTTCTGGTTTGGGATTTGTTTTAAGATGGAGTCGTAAGAATCAATACCCAGAAACAAACCTCCTTTTCTCCCTTTAAGGTAGCCTACAAAGATATAAATGGCACAGCAGAATAAAAGAGATCTCAATCAAGTGCAATCATACAAAGTGGAAACTTCTAAAGTAAGAAAATTAAACGAAAGGAAAGTAGGCCAAGGAAGGCGACGCTGACTCCAGAGCAAAGCATACAGAGGGTACAGCATACGCTCATAATCCAACAGACCACGTTCGGCGTGAACGTTTGGACTTTACTTGCCTGATGCATTTTGGGCCAAAGAAGAGTTGGCATAAATCTCCACTCGAACGAGCAGATGTGCTAAACAGGATGAATTGCGAGATGCTGAAACCAGAAGAGTTTGGACGACACACGGGGCCTCTGAGAAGGGACCCGTCTCGTCAGAGGAACACCTCTGCAGACCCCTCTTCAAGCTCACTGTCACCTCCAACGCACTCTGAAAGGAAAATATGCTGTACTTTTTAAGGTGACTCAACACAGCATATGAGAACGCATAATGGGAAACACAAAAAAATCACGCAGTTGCCTCGGGTCACTTTAGGAAAGGAACACTGTTTGCAAAATTGACATCCTTCTATTCAGTTTCAGCCGCTAATCTTACGGCGATTCACAAGCCCTGATTCCCAATCCTTGTTTTAACAGAAAAGCAAGCAACCTTTGGATAGAGAAGACTTCAAACACAGATCTGTCTGATAAATTAACACAGTTTGTCTAGCATCTTTTTAGTTTCTTTATCATCCTACCAGCATAGTGGCAGAAGACTACACACCAAAAAAAGTCAATGAAGTGTCCCCAGTTTCTGGGGTGCATGCAAAGTCTTTCTTGTCCATATCTCCAGAGCTGATGTCTTGCACATACTAAGCATTCAGTAAAACATTTATTAAATGGAAGATTTTTTTTTTTAAGTAGCCTCCATGTCCAGTGTGGAGCCCAACGCAGGGCTTGAACTCACAAACCGTGAGATCAAGACCTGAGCTGAGATCAAGATTTCTGAGTCACAGATCCATTTGAAAATCTGATAGAAGCTGGCAACCATCTCATGAGGAAAACGCACACACGCATAATGTTACACACAGTTTCAGGGAGTTCACAAACTTCTTGAAGCCCGTCCAAGGACCGCTCGCCTATGAAAGCACCTCTGGGCTGGAGGGCGGCCCTCGATCCGATAACCTGCAGTTTCACAGCAGTTTCAGACACAGACAAAACCATCCCTTGTCCAACCAAGTCAGCACTGCAGAAACACTAAATGTGGGTTGTTTCACCTCTGGCCTCACCACACTGGGGGTCACAGTCAGGCTCCAGTCTCCTGTGTCATTGGTCAGGGCGCCACAAGCTGGAACCGGCAGTAATCCTACAGGAGAAGATTAGGATGCGAGGAGGCAGTAGTGCCCAGCCACTGAGGGTGTGCATGCCGGAGTCAGGCTCCCTAGGAGGGAATCCTTTACCAAGCCTGGGTTCCGGCCCTTCCCAAGCTGTGCAACTTTGGGCAAGTGACAACTTCTCTGAACTTCAGTCTTTCACGTATTACATGGAGTGAAAGTGCATCACTGTTCTCACTGGGAAAATGCAGTGATGCTTATAAGGCCCAAGGGATAGGCAGCGCAGTGAACACCAGCCATTACTGTTCCAGGCCTTTCTTTCACCGACGGACGTGTCGGTCCTCTTTGGGCCACCGCAGCCCCCCATCCCTGCTCCCACGCCGACTTTGCAGGGGACAGAGGCCAGGGACCCAGGGGATGCCACCTCCCGGGATACCGCCTCCTTGGGATGCCCCCTAGCCCAACCCCCACGCTCCCCACAGGGAGGGCCGGACTCCTTACCCTCCTCGTCCGGCAGCAATGCCAGGGACACGGTCACACCCTCGATGCCTCCGACCAGGGAAGCGCTGACCTCAGGGCCGGTCATGCGGATGAAAGCAGGGATGAAAACTGGGCGGGAAAGCAGGGGAAGGACGGAGTTACTAGTTGCAGGGACACCCGGAGGAGTCCCAAGTCTGGCCCGTTAAACGCCTCATCCTCACTCCCCCTCCCCCGCCCTGCGGGCCCCTGCCCTGCCGTACACACCCAGGTCCCCCCACAGCGGCCTTAGGATGCCCAGCAGAAGCAGCCCCAAGAGCAGAGGGGCCGGCGGCGGCAAGCCCATGCCTGTGGCCGCGCGGGGCCGCTTCACAGGGCCGCTCCCGCGCCAGGAGCGGCGAAGCGCAGGACGCGAGGACGGAGACCCCGCCGTCCCGCCGCCGCCATCTTGTCAAACCAACCGGAGCTATGGCAACCACCAATCGGCCGCGGGCCTGGCGGAGCGACGGGCGGCGATTGGGTGAACAGCAGCAGAGAGCCCGCCCCCGGCCCCGGGCGCGACATCAGGCCCCGCCCACAGGCCTTGCGCCCTTAAACCTCGAAGTCGAGGCTCCTGAGAAAGTAGGAGTCTGCGTCCAGTGTAAAAAAGTGGATTCTGGGCACCTGGGTGGCACAGACGGTTGAGCGTCTTTCAGCTCAGGTCATCATCTCATTCTCTGTCTCCTCTCTGCCCCTCCCCTGCTCGCGCTCTGTCTCTCAGTCTCTCAAAAAAAAACATTATGGGGCGCCTGGGGGGTTCAGTCGGTTAAGCGTCCGACTTCGTCTCAGGTCATGACCTTGTGGTTCGCGGGTTCGAGCCCCGCGTCGGGCTCTGTGCTGACAGCTCAGAGCCTGGAGCCTGCTACAGATTCCGTGTCTCCCTCTGTCTCTGACCCTCCCCTGCTCACGCTGTCTCGCTCTCTCTCAGAAAAATAAAACATTTTTAAAAAATTAAAAGAATGGATTCAGCCACACACGCAAGGGCGAGCCTACCTACAGGCACTGGCTTCTAAACAAGCTCCTTAATAAACGTCATTTTTATGGGGACTTGGGGAGGGAGAAGAACAAAAGGGATGAGGCTGCGGTGCTGTTGAATTGTTTTTTGTTCTCATCCTCCCAGTGTTTTGAAGAGTTTTTTGCCGTTTGTATTTACCGCACAGAGCTGTCAGCACTCCAGAGCAGATCTTTTTTTTTTTTTTAATGTTTTTATTTATTTCTAGGAGAGAGAGACAGCGTGAGCAGGGGAGGGTCAGAGAGAGAGGGAGATACAGACTCTGAAATTGGCTCCAGGCTCTGAGCTGGCAGTCAGCACAGAGCCCGACGAGGGGCTCGAACCCAAAAACCGCGAGATCATGACCTAAGCGAAAGTCGGACGCTTAACCGACTAAGCCACCCAGGCGCCCCCAGAGCAGATCTTCTCAAAGAACACTAAACGTTTAGCCCAGCATTGGGGCAGATACAAAAGTATCCCAAATCTTACATCGGTAACCTCAAAGCATTTCAGACGTTATTATAGTTCAGTGACTAGGTGTGCAGGCTCTGAGGTCGCTGCTGGACTGAGGCAGGTCACCTGACCTCTCTAAACTCCAGTTGCCTCATCTATAGAAGGGAGATCATAGTCCCTCCCTGAGAGGGTGGTGTGAGGATTAAGGTAACATATATGGAATCTAGGCCAATGCCAGGCCTATGGTTAAGTATTCGCTCACTATGCCTGACAAACAGCAAATGCCAAATCAATGTTTGCCCTGTTACTTGATGGGCTAACCTGACATTCTGAAAGCAGTCTGAAAGCTGAGGTTCTACAAGTGCTTGCGCTGAGTTCTTCGGCTCTTGCCCACTCTTGGATTGTTGCCGTCGTAATTAGCATGAAACCCCCACCACCACCCCGCACATCAGCTCCTCTTGGGGTAGCAAAGCGTTTATATCTCTTGGTGCATCTGGGAGTAAAACTTAGAACGTTTCTAACAGGAGGGTCATCACGTAACCTATTGCTGCTATTTACTCACTGTCCTGACCAAGAGAGGAATAAGCATTTTCACTGAGGAAAATGGTTGTGTTGAATGACTTGAAATCCCTGGGTCAAAATGCTTTTACTTCAGGGGAAATGTAAGAAAGTGATTTAGGCAAACACTAGTGCTCCTGAGGGTGTTTTAAAGGTACTACACATCTTTATTCTCACTGAGTTCTACTTTGCTAGATGTTAACATTACGGCTACGCTGTCAAATATTGTAAGCAGACGCAGTACTTGGGGACTTGTATTGGGGACCATCACTTGTCAGACACTCAAAATGAAAATGTTTTAGTTTTAGGTCATATGGAACCACAGACCTCAACCCTGTCAACACTTCGAGCTGTGACATCCTGCTGTGGTAAAGAAATGCCGCAAATAGCAATTCGCAGGGACTCTCTAACCCTCCCAATTCTGGGGGGCGGAGGAATCATGAAAGTGAGTGTTCTTTTTTTCCCCTAGTATGCCTAGTTTCTTTTCTATAAAAGCATGTTATCATTTTCTGTTCGATCAGAAAAGATAGTACTTACTAAAAGTATGCTTTTATTTTCTGCTTTTGGTTGCATTAAGCTATTAGCCAGTAGCGAAATGAACTATGGATTCTAGGGTATTACAATAAAAAAAAAAAAAGGCTTCAAAAGTTTTTAAAAAATGTTATTTGTGAGGTACTACAATAATATTATTCAAATTAGAGAATTTTTCTTAAAATTCTTTGTAATCAGTTCTATTAAGATAATACATAGGCATAAAATTTCAATTCAACTATTAATTAAAAGCCCCAATTTTTAAATAGTGTACTTCTATATAAAAATGTCATTGATGGGGGCACCTGGGTGGCTCAGTTGGTTACATGGCCAACTTTTGATTTCAGCTATAGGTTCGTGAGATCAAGCTCCGCGGTCAGTGCAGAGCCTGCTTGGGATTCTCTCTCTACCTCTCTCTCTCTGCCCCTCCTTTGCTCATGCTCTCTCTCAAAAATAAATAAACTTAAAAAAAAAAAAAAAGGCAGTGTGAGCTTCCTCTAGGAATTCAACTGCTTCAATGTTAATACTTTATTTTTTTTAATGTTTATTCATTTTTGATAGAGACAGACAGAGCACAATAGAGGAGGGAGCAGAGAGAGAGGGAGACACAGAATCCAAAGCAGGCTCCAAGCTCTGGGCTCAGCACAGAGCCCAATGTGGGGCTCAAACTCCAGAGCAGTGAGATCATGACCTGAGCCTAAGTCAGATACTTAACCGACTGAGCCACCCAGGCGCTCCTTGATGTTAATACTTGAGCTTAAAAATAGCCCGAGCTGCAGGATCCTGCAAGTCTCCTTTAACATACAAATTTACGGGGCGCCTGGGTGGCTTAGTCGGTTAAGCGTCCGACTTTCGCTTAGGTCATGATCTCGCGGTTCGCGGGTTCGAGCCCCGCGTCGGGCTCTGTGCTAACTGCCAGCTCGGAGCCTGGAGCCTATTTCGGAGTCTGTGTCTCCCTCTCTCTCTGACCCTCCCCTGCTCATGCTCTCTCTCTCTCTCCTAGAAATAAATAAAAATATATTTGAAAAAAAAAAATTTCTTCGTAACTTCCTTTATCTCTACCCCCCCCACCCCCCGCGTCCCACCCAAGATATACGTTAACAATCATCCTTCAAATCATCCTCCAAACATATGGCCCGCTGATCTAGATCTGAAGGGTCTCATGACTGAGGTTTTACGACACAGTCGTATATGACCTTTTCCTAACAGCAGGTAGCCCCTCAGGTCCTGGAAACCTTGATTCTAAATTCCTTAGAGACTTACACTCCCCCTAACCCCTTCACTACTTTGAAGTATACAACCCAGCCACTCCTCACAGCCCAGGTGCAGCTCTTTCTGCCTACGGTCCTGTCCCTGTGCTTTCATAAAACCACCCTTTTTGCATGGAAGAATTCTTTTTTGACCATTTGCTCCAAACCCCAATATGTTCACATATTTACTCTCTTCTCCATTACTGCTGGAGACATTCCATGCCCTCTTCCAGGAATCACTAACAGTCTTACAAATTATTTTTTGGATTATTTGAAATAAACAAAGTAACTTTTTTTTAAAAAAGTATGGGAGCAGGAATCTTTGTAAAGCCCAAGGGACTACCTTGGACTAGCAGATTGGGTAATGGTTATAATATTTAACTATTTACTCAATAAGGGAGTATTTCATGGTTTTAAAATTAATTATTAAGGGACGTCTTACTTTTATGACAGGAAAACACACATTATACCAGCTTGCTTTATCCAATGAAAATACCAAATAAGTAAAATTTTGTTAATCTTCCTCCCAAAATGAAATTACAAGCAAACATCAAATCTCTCTTCTAATAGTTTCAGACCTAGAAACTTTTTATTAAATACTTCATACCAATCTATTATTACGTAGTATCTCTAACAATATTTTCATATATAGTTTTAGGAAGAATTGAAATTAAAGTTCATCAGAGGCTCCTTGTTAGGTCAGCTGGTAAAGCATGCAACTTTTGATCTTGTGGTTGTGAGTTCAAGCCCTACATTGGGCGCAGAGCTTACTAAAAAAAAATAAAATAGGGGGGCACATGGGTGGCTCAGTCAGTTGAGCGTCCGACTTCGGCTCACGTCATGATCTCACAGTTCGTGGGTTCGAGCCCTGCATAGGGTTCTATGCTGGCAGCTCAGAGCCTGGAGCCTGTTTCAGATTTTGTGCCTCCCTCTCTCTCTGTCCCTCCCCTGCTCATGCTCTGTTTCTCTCTGTCTCAAAAACAAAACAAAACTATAACAAAAATAAAAATTAAAAATAAATAAATAAAATAAAATAGGGGCACCTGGATGGCTCAGTCAGGTAAACATCCGACTTTGACTCAGGTCATGATCTCACGGTTTATGAGTCCGAGCCCCATGTTGGGCTCTGTGCTGACAGCTTGGAGCCTGAAGCCTGCTTCGGATTCTGTGTCTCCTTCTCTCTCTGCCCCTCATCTGCTCAAGCTCTCTCTGTCTGTCTCTCTCAAAAATAAACATTAAAAAAAAATTTTAAACACATTTAAAAATAAATCAATAAAAGTTCTTCAGAGTTAAATAAAAAATTGAATGACATTTGACCAAATCCAGCTAAGGTACAAACTTAAAGATAAGTTGAATTAGCATGAAATAAACAATGAGTAAGAGAAAATACCTTAGGCAAATATGAAAATTTAAATTATTTTATTATAAAAAATTACATCAAACATAAAAACAACAGTTAAAAATAAAACCTAAACAGAATTAAGCCAGTACACAAAACATTTCAAACAAAAAGTAGTAACAAAACCCTGACCAGCTTCTTTGAAATTATTTATCTTTTAGGTATCTGATGGCTCCTAGACCTGAAGCAGCGATTCCCATTACACTGAGGCTATGAAGTATTAAATAGTACGTTTAAGAGACAAGATTCTCAGACTTAAGGATTCACAAATACTTGTCAAGTGACCAACCAAATCTGTGTGTATTTAACAAAGTTATAAATACAAAATACAAAATCTACCTGAAGTCATCTAACCAAACACCAAACTTACATGAGACTCAGCTTCTGAGATGGTATCGAGAGAAAATTAAAATCTTCTTTACATACAAGGTTGTATACACAAACGGGTTTTTGTCAGCATACATTTGTTTATTGTTGTCAGTATGCATTTAAAAACAAATCAAACCAGCCACCATTCCCGAAAGCCTTTCTTACACTGTGCTGGAATTTGAAAGGACTTCTAGTAACTTCAAGCTCACATAAAAAAATAGGGTTTTTTCTTATTGGAATTGCAAATAATTTTTCTTCTGAACCTAGAGCATTTGTCAGTAGTAGATCCAAAGCTTCTAGAGAACAGTTCTCCAACATTGCTTTTTTTCCCCCCCTGATTACAAAAGGCAAGAATTCTATGTGGGGGGCAAGACAGAACCGTAAAGAACCCATTCTCCCCAGGAGAGCCCCTCCCCCGCCCGCAGACACTGGCTTTCGCCAATCAACTCTCACGCCCGCTCTCTCTGAAGAAAAAGCTGCCGCCAGAGTCCTGCGCCTGCTCTCCTCGCTCACTTGGGATCACACTTTGTACTTCCTTGCTGACTAACTGTTACTATTTGGATGGCTGTGTCCAGACACGTAATGATGTCCGAGAAAAGAAAAAAATATCTGAATCTGAAGCTAAATCTGAATTTCAACAGTAAGGATCTTATTTACTTATTTACTAATTATCCCACTACTGTAAAGGTCAGCTGTGGATTCAAGGAAGATGGTGTATGTCGAGTAGTGCTGTTTCCAAAGCTACGCTCCAATTTCACGGGTCGGGCGTTCACAGTAAGAACCTAACAGAGTCTAAAGCCTGCCATCAGTCAGGTCGGGCCGACTGACAAATGAGCACCTTATTAAAAAAAAAACAAAAGATTTTAAAAAGCCACTAACTTGTGCTTTCTTCTCTTCTCCCTTTGTGGCCCCAAACCAGTCAGAAATGATTTGGGGGCACATTGGATAGAATGACTCCCTCAAATAAAGCAGTCCCCTGAAAGCACAGGATGAGGAAAATGGTTTAGAAACCTTTCCTGTAGGAAAGGTCAGTAAAAATTATCCTACGCGTGCTGTATTTTTTTCAGGGCCTTCCCAACACAGACTGTGCCGTACAATTTCTATTCACAGGCCCGAAAACATGGGCAGTGTGTGTGTAGGGCGGAGGTGGGTCTTATTATCACGCGGACGCTTTCAGTTTCTTTTTCTTGGCCTTCAGCACGGGAGGCAGCGAAATCTTAAAGGCTGTCCTGAAAGGAGAGAGAGAACACTCCTCAGGGCTCAGGACCTCTCCCGGGGAGCCGGCCGCAAAGCCTCGGGGGGTACTTACTCGCAGGTGGTGCAGATGGGACTGAAACTGCAGAATACTGTAAATGCAACAAACGAAACAAACAGGACGTTGAAAACAACGCACCGTTATTTTCTGACCACCGCCACCCGCGCAACACACAGAAGGAAACCTCTGTACTTGAACTTACTCGACAAGCACACAGAACAGACGTAGCCAATTTCGATGAGGTTTCGGTGACAGAAGCAAGCGGCCCGGTAATCCACGTGAATCGGGGGTGGGAGGGTTAACTGAGATCTTTGATCTTGATCAGGAAGAAAAACCCACTGACGGGGCAAAAAAAAAAAAAAAAAAAAAAAAAAAGACAAGGAAGGAAATTTTATTTAAAATATTGGGAAAAATAACCAGAAGCCAGGACATAGATATCAGATACTAGCCAGTGAATAATAAATAGCCAGAATAATAAATTAGGATTGTCCTTCAAAGTCTATCAAGAAATGCATTTTCACCCATCTGCCCGTGACATCCACACGCAGGCACCGTCCCGCGGGCACGTTCTGCGCGCAGCGGCCTCCAGCCACCACCTCAGGTGCATGCTTGTAGGCTCCAACCCCCTGGGCCACCTTCTTCCAATTACTAGCATCACATCTCCTGCTCCCATGTGTTCCCCAGGAAACTGAGTCTCTCACCAGGACTCCAAGTGTTAGGGTCACGGTCAACACCTCCTTACCAGCAAATACTGTAGAAGGGAGGGCTTCTGAGGCACCTTCAAGTACAGTCCCCCTGTGATGTCACAAGCCTGCAAGACATACAAAGGGCTCTCTGCCGAACCGGCACTTGCTTAGCTCTTCTAGAGGGATGAATTCTCACCCAGTCAGGTCAAAGGAGAGGAGGATATGACCGAGCAAATCAAAAGGGAATGTTCTCCAAGGGTGAGTGAGGACCGGAGGCTTCCGGCTCCCTCTCAAGGTGTTGAACTATCTTATTTTTCCCTCCAGACACCCCACTCTTTGACCCTCGGAAGACCTTAGTGTAGCACAGTCTATGCCCTTTCTCCTGTGCCGGCTACTGATAACATCTGTATTCTTGCCATGTTTACTCATTTCCATTATGTTTTTTCACAACAGCTTTTAGATCATTCACAGGCCATAAAATTCACCCTCTTAAAGTGTGTAATTCACTGCTTTTTATTGTATTCAGTATTGTGCAACGGTCACCACTATCTTCCTCACCCCCAAAAGCAACCCCATACCTAGCAGCAGTCACCCCCACGCCCTTCCTCTAGCCCTGGGCTACCACTAATTCACTTTCTAGCTCTATGGCTTTGTCTATTCCGGACACTTCATATCAGTGGATTTATGCAGCATGTGTCCTTCCCCCTGGCATCATGTTTTCAGGGTTCATCTGTTGTGGCACATTATCAGTAGTTCATTCCTTCTCATGATCACATTCTATTCTATTCTATTGTATAGTTAAACCACAACTTGTTTAACCCCATTCATCTGCTGATGGACGCTTGGGTTTAAGCGGGGGAAGACGGAGTCAGTCAGGTAAGTAAATGCAGAAATAATGTCACAAGTTATCATTCCTGTGAAGAATAATGAAGTTGGATAAGGGGACAAGAAGTGACACCGGACAGTCAGGGAAGTCTTCTCTGAGGAGGTGGCCCAAATGAGGAAAAGCCTTAGAGGCAGAGGGAGCAGCAAGTGCAGACACTCTCAGGCTGCAGCGGGCCTATGGTTTAAAAGCAACAGCAAGGAGCCCGTGTGGCTGGGGTGAAGTGGGATAGGCCACGTGCACACCCTATCACGTAGGGAGAACAGGCGGCCGCGGGAAGACTGGGTTTTAGTCTCTGTGATAGGGGCCACAGGAGGGTTTGAGCATGTGAGGGACAAGATCTGATCTGCAGTTTGAAAGCTTCGTTCTGACCACTGTGCTGAGAACTGACTTCGGTGGGTGGAAGCGTGGAAATGGAGACCAGTTAGATCTTACAGTCTTCACCGAGAGGCAGCAGTGAAGGGGAAGACACATGGTGAGATTCAGAGACTACTTCAAAGATCAGATCAACAAGATTTGCTTAGGGTAGGAAAGGAGAAGAAGAGAAGAAAAAAGTTAGAGTCAGAATCTTGGTCTGAGGTGCGGATGGACTGAGCTGCCAGTTGCCGAGATGGGGATGCCCCTGGGAGGCAGCGTAGAAAAACTCAAGAGCTCCGATTTAGATATGTTAAGTCCGACATGCCGCTGGGGGTCCCATGGGAGGATGCTGCATAAGCAGCTGGATACTGAGTCCGGAGTTCAGAGAGCTTGGTCTGACTCACGCATATAAATGTGAAGGTCGGGGTGGCACAGCTGTTTTTTTAATTTATCTTTTTTTTTTTTTTTTTTTTTAAATGTTTTATTTATTTCTAGGAGAGAGAGAGAGAGAGAGCGTGAGCAGGGGANTTTTTTTTTTTTAAATATTTTTATTAATTTCTAGGAGAGAGAGAGAGAGCGCATGAGTAGGGGAGGGTCAGAGAGAGGGAGTCACAGACTCTGAAACAGGCTCCAGGCTCTGAGCTGGCAGTCAGCACAGAGCCCGACGCGGGGCCCGAACCCACAAACCGCGAGATCATGACCTAAGCGAAAGTCGGACGCTTAACCGACTAAGCCACCCAGGCGCCCCTTAATTTATCTTTTTAATGTTCGTTTATTTTTGAGAGAGAAAGAGACTGAGCGTGAGCAGGAGTAGAGAGAGAGGGAGACACAGAATCTGAAGCAGGCTCCAGGCTCTGGGCTAGCTGTCAGCACAGAGCCTGACATGGGACTCGAACCCACGAACCATGAGATCATGACCTAAGCCAGAGTCAGATGCTTAACCGACTGAGCCCCTGGATGCCCCGCAGAGCTGGTATCTAAATTCATGGCCCAGGCAAGATCTTCTAGGAGTTAGCAGATGCTGTGTAGGCTGAAATGGGCAGTTAAAATATGTACTCAAACTTTTTGGTTTTTTAATTCTGAAATATAACCATACGTGCAAGCCTACATATATATGTATATATATTCACATATATAAAAAACATGTAAGTATGGTTCCAGTACAACAAACACCATGTACCTACGGCCAAACGCAGGAGACAACCGTTCTAGAACTCTGACACTACTTTCCAACCGTATGTACCACTCTGCGTCCCCAGCAGTAGCCGAAACTCAACGGATCTTTTAGGAAATGGTATTTCTTGTGGTCAAAGGCATTTATCCGTAGAGCAGTATCTTCAGTCTTGTCCCCCCACCCTTTGATTAAATTAAATTTCTGTCTCCTGCGTTTGATTAAAAAGCAACAGCTAACAGTGCCATCCAACAGAAATATAACGTATGCAACATGTGAAATTTAAAATTTTCTAGCCGCATAAAAAAGGGAAAAAAACAGAGTTAATTTTAATAACATTTTATTTAACTCAGTATATTCAGAGTATTATCGGTGTGACATGTAATCAATACAGAAATCTTTTACATTCTGCTCTTCACACTAAGTCTTTGAAATTCAGTGTGTACCTTACACTTAACAGGACATCTCGATTCAGACCACACTCATTTCAAGAGCTCAACAGCCATGTAACTATCGTGTAGGACAGCACAGATGGGAAGTTATAATCCAGTCTTTATAAAATGCTCTACTTAGTGATCATTCTTCCATCTATACCTGGTATAGAGAGATCTGTCATACTATTCACCTAAGATTTATAATCGTAATTTGAAGATAGGATTTGAAGTGATGTTTTGGGGGTTTTTACACCCCTTTAAAAAAATTACTTTCCTGTGTTGCTTGACCTCATTTCAACGTGTGAATCACTTTTATAGAACCAATCAAAGTCACTGTGTGGAGCATAAATAAAAATTTTAGGGGCGCCTGTGTGGCTCAGTTGGTTGAGCGTCCGACTTTGGCACAAGTCATGATCTTACGGTTTGTGGGTTCGAGCCCCACATTGGGCTCTGTGCTGACAGCTCAGAGCCTGCAGCCTGCTTCAGATTCTGTGTCTCCCTCTCTCTGACCCTCCCTTGCTCACAATGTCTCTCTCTCTCTCTCTCTCAGAAATAAATAAAACAGTTTAAAAAAATTTTTTAAAGGAACCAGAGAGTTGTTCACCTGAAATTGCTGTGACACTGTGTGTCAACTATACTTCAATAAGAAAAATAAAATACAACAAGGGCCAGGAGATGATAGTGCTCTAGGCTGCAGCAGCACACAGGCTGCGCCTAAAGCTGGGTGCAGGCCGGTGAGAGGCATTTACAAGAGATCAAGAGCACACCATGCTCCCCGAACCACCACCACACGTTCCTTAACACATACCTGTTGGAGGAGTCCTGAATCCGAGTCTAAAACACAGGCATCGATCAAAATATTCTGAAACGAACATTCCGAAAACATTAGAGGAGTAGTAAGAACGACTAGCTTACACTGGGTAACTACTGGGTGCTAGACTATTCTCACAATGGCTTATCTGATATGCAGGACAACCATGCAAGGTAGATACCACGCATCTGCAGCTGAAGCACCCAGGAGGGCCAGGCTGCAGTCACAGAGCCGGGAGGAGGCAGTGCTGTCACTCCCCAGTCTGTCTGTCCCCAAAGCCCACAGCCTTTTCACTACAGCATGCTACCGCTCCAACATGGAGAATATGAGGCATGGACATGGCAGCATTTTGGGTTTAAAACTGAAGTTTTAAGAAAGTTTTTTTTAATATATCAAAAAAGACAATGTCATACTGATAATTCATTTGAATTAGTGAAAATTCACTCAAATACTTGAAAAGTAAAAAATATCAAATCTTTATAAGACCTCCCTGCGCAAAGAAAGAAACTGAGGCAAGGTGTGCAGAGAACTGTCAACTAGGGAATCTTGGCCTGAGGCCCAAGGATGGGTTCAAGGACGGGCTAGACAGGGTTATATGAATTCCATGGAACTAAATGCAAAACTGGGCTTCCGTGTACCTTTCTATGGGGACCCCTCAGCTCCTCATGGACTCCAGGACCCAAAAGAAAGAAATGATTAGAACAAAATATGAATTGCAGATCCCTAACCCACTGAATAATGCCAGTTGGTCAGAATACCTTTCTACGTAGGTCATTCAAAAAATAAAATTAATTCCTTCATTATGAAACAAATATTCTTTAAAAAGAATGCTCTCCCCAGGGAAAAAAAAAGGGAAGAGAGAGAAGGGCAGGCAAACTAAGAAACAGACCCTCAACTACGGACAACTACTGGTTACCAGAGGGGAGGGGTGAGGCACAGGGAAATGGATGACAAGCACAGAGTGCTGTATGGAAGTGCTGAGTCCTTATATTGTATACCTGACACTAGTATACACTGTATGGTATCTAACTGAAATTTAAATAAAAATTTAAAAAAATAAAGAATACCCCCAATTCACCTGCTTCTGTGCTGCAAAAATGACATTCATGAAGTTCATATACTGCAGCGCGCTGTCTTCCGCAGCCTTGATCACCTGGAAATCATATGCACGTGAATGCCTCGCAGGCACACCCAAGTCCCACCCACACGTCAACACTACGGACTGCAGACACAGACGCGACCAGCATGGCTTTCCTAATTGGTCTGCCTCGTTACTATTATCATATCCTGTCTACGGCACAAAGATGATGGCGACCATCTCCCCCAGACCCTCCCACTCAAGGGAGAATCCTTGTTTCAGTTTCTAGAGAGCACCTGTGTGGGCACGTATATACACTCACACAAAAATGCGGGCGCACGCACACACACAACCCAGGATGATTACCCAGCTGCTTTTTAAACAAATAAACTCTACACCCAAGGTGGGGCTCAAACTACTACTGTGCCAGAATCACAGTGGTACTGCAGCTTTGCAATGTGCTGTTTTTTTTCCCAAATACTCTGGGTTTTTTTTTTTTTAACGTTTTATTTATTTCTGAGAGAGAGAGACAGAGACAGCAGGAGCAGGGGAGGGTCAGAGAGAGAGGGAGACACAGAACCTGAAGCAGCTCCAGGCTCTGAGCTGGCTGTCAGCACAGAGCCTGATGCGGGGCTCGAACCTACGAACCGTCAGATCGTGACCTGTGCCGAAGTCAGACGCTTAACCGATTGAGCCACCCAGGCACCCCTGCAATGTGCTTTGATGCTGACAGAGCAAGCTTCTGCTTATTATTCTCTGTCAGAAAGCACTTGGCTATTCTCATTGATTTATTCTTCTAGATAAACTGCTGAACTGTCTCCTTTTTAAGATTTTAACTAATTCTACACCCAATGTGGGGCTCGAACTTACAAGCCAAGGTCAAGAGTCATACATTCTACCAACTGGGCCAGCCAGGTGCCCCTACTGTTGAATTGAACTCCCCTGACTCTGCCAGGGCAGGAAAAAAAAACTCATTAATATTCTGAGAATGCATTGAATTTACAGTTTAACTTTGGAAAAACTGACATCCAAGAGTAAAATTTGGCTCTCCATTCAATGCTCTTATGTCTCTCAGCGTTTTAGTTTTTCATCATAATCCGTTTTACACATTGCTTGTTAATTTATTCTGGATTTTCAATATTTATTATAACTGGGTGTTGGGCCACCAAGCTGGTTCAGTTGCTTAAGTGTCTGGCTCCTGGTTTTGGCTCTGGTCATAATCACGCAATCCTGAGATCGAGCCCTGCATAGGGCTCAGCACTGACAGCACGGAGCTCACTTGGGATTCTCTCTCTTCCCCTTTCTCTGCCCCTCCTTTGCTCACTTTCTCTCTCTTTCTCAAAACAAAGAAAACTAAAAAAATAAATCGATAAATGGATCTTACTTCTCATTATGCTTTCTAATTGGCAGTAGTTGGTATATAAACATAGCACTGATTTTTTTCTTAACCTTACCAAAATCCTTGATTTCATTTCCTGATTATCTATAAAGAAATAAAAACAGATTACAATTTAACTGAATCTTATTAAACATATTATAAGGTTTTCCAACCAACTTTTTAAACAGTCCACCAAAATTACAGCAGTAAAATTAGAGTTACAGACCTCACGAAAAACCATAGACTCCTACCTTTAATCTCCTTGTTCATCCTATGAATATCTTATTTTTTTAGCATTAAGGAATTTAAAAATATTATTTGCTTTCATATTTATAGTAAACAGAAAAATAACCTTAAATTTTAAATAAATCCAGCATCTACTTCGCTGAAAAGAGAAATGCTCTACTTCCCACCATAAATTCACAAGAGCTATGGGGGGTTTCCAATCAACTGGGCTTTGACCAAAACATGATCTCTGTCCCAGAAAACTAAATCGCCACGACGTGATCCTTCTGTGATTGTCCGCCACGTCCTAGATGTAAGTACTGGGGCCCCAGGTAAGGCACTACGCCGGGCACGGTAAGGATGTGAAAACCACACACAGGGGAGGGCACCCCCAAAGTCCAGGACACAGGAACCTCTCAATACTCTCCCAAACAGAGAAATCAAATCACAGAAGACCAGGAGAACACCACGCTAACAGACAACGTCAAGCGCTCAGGAAGGTGTTCACGCTACGCTAAGTGCAAACAACCTGCGGCCTGTGGAGAGACCGCTCCTGAATGAAGCCCAAGGATCAGTAAATGGCTCCTATAATCAAACACACTGTTCCTAGTTTGCAGAAAGTGGAAGGAACACACGCACCCTCACCAGTCTGCAAGATACAAGCACCCCCGGCAACAATCTGCCGGGAGCAGGACATACTAGAGAATATAAGAGTTTTCTGTTTCTTTACATTCCAAGTTTTTACAGCTTATCTTAAAAACATTCTAAAGCCAAGATAAACTGTTTTTTGATTACCCACTACTTTAGAATACTCAAGCCTTTCATTCATATGGACACCCAAGGTTCTCAAAATGATTGCACGGAAGATGTGTTTCACACAGAAGACACCCTCTGAAGGATACAGCAAAGAGCTTTGGCGAGGGATCCCGCCAGCAGAGTCTCCGTGTGTTGACCCTTTATGTCACCTGCAAATTATAATAATAATAAAGTTAAAGAGTCAATTATCAGGCATTTTCTTGGACTAAAATAATTTTCAAACCAAAGCATTCTTCATGAATGAGACCAGATGACACATCCAAACCAGGTTTAAAACAACAAAGAGAGATCTGTTCTCAGTATTGCTTAAATAAGTAATTTTTAACATTTTCTCAGTTTAAAATATTCTGTGGTCAGGGGCAGAGGGGCTACAAAGTTTCAGTTTGGGGTAAGTTCTTGGAATGCACAGTGGTGAGGTTGGTACACAATGCGAACGAACGTACTTAATGTCACTGCACTGTACATTTTTAAATGGCTGATGGTGACTTTTATGTTACATGTGTTCTACCATGATAAAGAATAAATAAAAATATCCTGCGGTTATCTGGAAAGGTTCAGGTTTGTTACAACCTAAGTGGTACGAAAGGTCACGTGCAGCTACCTGATCTGAGCCCCTCTGCCTTCCACCCCCAGAGAGCCGCCTGGCTAGCGGAGAGCGGGTCGAGCAAGCCCCTTGGCTGTGGCAAGCAGAGACAATGCCAGGGACTTGTCTGAAGCCTTGAGTGAAAACAGTGAAGCAGCTCAAGAGGGTGGAGAGCCCAGACGGCCCCCTGACCTGCAGCTAGTCCTGGAGCACTGACACCCCCGCCGTGGGTGAGGTCAGACCAGGAAAGGCCCTGAACACCACACTGAGAAGCTGAAAGTTTGCCCGAGAGGCCAGTGGTTCTTGAAGCGTGGTTCTAGAACCACGTACAGGAGCCTCACCTGGGAACTTAACAGAAATACAAATTCCTCGGCCCACCCTCAACCCACGGAATCAGAAAGTGTAGGCTGAGACCCAATATTTTGTTTTAACAAGCCCTTCAGGTGACTTTTAGCAGCTTTATTGGGTTGTAACTGACATATCATAAAATTCACTCCTTTTAAGTAAACAATTCAGTGGTTTTTAGTAAATTTAGACAGTTGTACATGACTATCACAACCCAATTTCAGAACATTTCCTTTTACCCCAAAAGATAACCTGGGCCAGTCTCAATCACTCTCTTGCTGCCCCGGCCCCAGGAAACCATGAACCTACTTCCTATCTCTGAAGAGTAGCCTTTCCCTTCCAGGTGATTCTGACACAGGCTACAGTTTAAAAACCACAGCCTGCAGGGAACCGGGAACCAGTAATGGCCTTTAAGCCAGGAAATAGTAGCTCTGATTTTTAGAAGGATAACTCTGAGTGGAAAGACCTGAATAGGGACAGACAGAAGTCAGTGAACACAAGCCATCACAATGATCCAGAACAGCAGTGCTCAACCTGGGCAACTGTGCCCTACAATATGGCAAAGTCTGAGACATTTGGTTATCACAACTGGGGGATGTTATGGATCTAATGGGTCTCGGCCAGGGATGCTGCTAAATACCCTCCAAAGCACAGGACAGTCCCACAACAAAGAATCATCCAGCCCAAAATGCCAGTGGTGCTGGGATTGAGTCAGATGACAGAGAATAGGGAGTCAGATTTTAGAGGTACTTCTAAGGCTAAACTAAGTGGATATCATAACTGACTAGATGGTGAATGTGAGCAGAAAAAAAGTCAAAAATGAATGTTTTGAATTTGGAAAAGTAGGTGGATGGGCGTGGCAGAAACTGGGGGGTGGAAATGGCGGTGTGACTGAGAGGGAAAGATAATGAACCCAGTCTGGGGCGTGTGAGCCAGACCACAGACACCTCTGTGGAGGCATTAGCTGGAAGAAAGGCTACATTAGAGACAGATTGGGAAGTGTTCACATAGAAATGATAATTAAAGATACGAGTGGATGAGAACACACAGAGGAAGAAAAAGAATGTGCAGAATTGAAAAACCTATTTTTTACAGAACAAGATGAAGGAAAAGTCAGAAATGGAAAAATGGTCCCAAAAGAGGAAAACCAGGACAAAAGGATGTCCTTAGACGCTAAGAGTGGGTTTCAAGAAGTAGAGGCTGGCGGACAGTGTGAGCTGCTGGTGAGGTCAGGCAAACAGGCTCAGGCTCTGATGAAAATTCTCTTACAAAAGAGAAAGAACGCAAGTAAACAGGAATCCCAAATCTCTGGACTCTGAGCCTCCAGGACCTCCACATTCAACTGCTCTTGTAAAAAAATATAATGGGTAAAGAAATCCATTACTCTTGGTCATGAGGTCTTTAATTTCTTCAGCAATAACTTCATTTGCTGCTGTGAACAACTCGTATTTGCCGTCCTTGCTCCCTGAGGGGCTGAATTCGGAAGGAGGGTTGCCAGGGTCTCCAAAAAAGTCTCCAAGTCTGCCATTCTTCCCAGGATATAAGAATCGACTGAAACACGGGGGGAAAAACATGAGTTACACCAGGACTCTGTCCTCACTAAACACCCAGATGAAATTCAGCAGAGAAAACAAACAAAACCACACCAATTCTGCCTCAGAAGATTCTGTGACAACTGGCCAACACGAGTCTACCACCAGAGTGTTCTAATGATACCTCTGTTTCCTCAAAAGTGAGAGGAAATAAAGCCTGTACTGGGTCCCAGTCTCTTGGAATGCTTCGAGGTGGTTCTCATTCTACTTCCTCAGATGCCACTCGGGAAGAGAGTCACACCGAGTTCTAACTCAAGACTCTGGTTTATCATTTGAGGGATATTTACCTACCCCCGTAATTCAAATCTGGTCCAAGGGTCCCTGAAAAGATCCTCCTAGTGCTTCATGATTTTTATAATAATGCTGTAAATATATATCTTTGATTTTTCTAACAACTGACCCCTGTGCCTTTTACAGTTTTCTTTTGATATCTTGACCACATCAGCGACGTCTTTTTCATTCAATTCTGAGAAAAATGCATAGTGATCATGGGAGCGAGAGCACTTACTTGGTGGTTCACAGGCTCTTTCAACAGAGCCGAGAGAACAGCCCTAAGAAACGAGAAATGTGGGGCTCCTGGGCGGCTCAGTCAGTTAAGCGTCCGACTTTGGCTTAGATCATGATCTCACAGTTCATAGGTTCGAGCCCTGCGTCGGGCTCTGTGCTGACAGCCAGCTCAGAGCCTGGAGCCTGTTTCAGATTCTGTGTCTCCCTCTCTCTCTGACTCTCCCCTGCTCACGCTGTCTCACGCTGTCTCTCTCTCTCTCTCTCTCTCTCAGAAACTTAAAAAAAAAAAAAAATTAAAAAAAAGGAACGAGAAATGTGAGGCCTACCCACCTCACATGAAATAGGCTAGTAAACAAGAGTCACTTCTACCATGATGTGACATCTAATTAAAACATACAAGAGCTGTGCCTTACACGGAGAATCGGATTCTACGGTCGGCATACATGTGCAAAGTATGGTCAAGATTAATCGTGAATATACGTACCGTGTACACAGTCATGTCTGTGGAGAAGCTGCACACCTACAAACCCATCCCAAAGTGACTCACACACAGCCAGTTTCTACACTCCTGTTAGAAAAGATCACTGTTGGGGCGCTTGGGTGGTGTCTGACTTTGGCTAAGGTCACGATCACATGGCTCGAGGGTTCGAGCCCTGCATGGGGCTCTGTGCTGACAGCTCAGAGCCTGGAGCCTGCTTCTGATTCTGTGTTTCCCCTTCTCTCTGCTCCTCCCCTACCTGTGCTCTCCCTCCCTCTCAAAATTAAATAAACATTAAAAAGAAAGGAATGAAGGAAGGAGAGAGGAGAGGGGAGGGGAAGGGAGGGGGGAGGAGAGGAAAGGGGGGAGGGGAAGTCACTGTTTCTTCTGCTGAGCACCAGATGGGGTAGTTGGGCTAGGTTAAAAGCCTACATAACAAGAAAAACCTTTATCTGTAAACACCAGAATTACACCCGGAGCAGTAAAACATTACCCCCTGAGAACTACGCAGGGGCCAGGCCTGGCTGAGAGAAAGCAGAATCACACCTCCCACGTCACCTGCTCTCCGGGGCAGACCTACAAGGGCAACAGTGACGGGAGCTGCCTGCCCTACTGATAACTGTCGCTGTTCTCTGCCTACAGAGTATGGCGGACCCTATGTAAGTTACATGTGTTATATGATGCAGCTTAGCAGATGTCAGCTAACAAGATTTCCAATATTCATTCCTTTCAAATGAACATGTACTGATTCTTGATGCTGTTAATATTGTTCAATGCGCTAGAAAAAAATTTTTTGTGGTACAGAAGAGAAAGAAACAGGATGCGCCGACAGGCATCGAGACCTCAGGCGTGTCGAGCACTGAAAAGGTAACCACAACGGTCATACCTTTCTTGAATGTGACTTGCTATCACGGCAAGTTTGTTGGAACGATTCATGAATAAGTGAGAATTTCCCAGCACCATCACGGCATCTATGCATTTTGATAAAGTAAACTGTGGAAAAATAGAAACCATAAGAAAAGATAAAGCAGCTACCCAAATAACTAGGTTAGGTCTTGAAACGATAAAGATTTCATTTAAATTTTAGACAATTATTCACTGCTGAATATTTGCTCAGGAGCTCCCTCTTCCAAAGCCATAAACCAAAACACCTGAAAATTAGTGTTCTGATTTTACTTATCTGAGATGATTTCTACATCAGTGCATTATTCCACAAATATTTTCTGTACATTTAAGGAAAGCAAATATGTTACATATTCTCTGATAAAATTACTAAAAAACGATCACGACACAGAATAGATGATTAATACATGCTGATTAAATTGGTGATCTGTAAAAGTTTTCACTTCATTCAGTCACTAAGAATGCTGAGTACCTGTTATATGCCAGGCAAAGATCCCTTCTCTCATTGAGCTTACATTTTCGTAAGCACTAATATTACTAAAACATGTGGGTGCATATATTTGTAATCCTGGAAAAAAGCATGTTTCTCTTAAAGAAAAAAGTACTTCAGGCAGCAGAGAAAACACTGATAAATTCCACTTTATTTAAAAATCTATAAAACATACCTATTAAAATTTCTGTATGACAAGAAAGTGACTATAAACAAAAGTGAAAGTCAAATTACAAACTGGAAAAAAATAACTGCAACATATGATAAGCAAAAGGTGAACTTTTTAATATAAAGAGTATCCACAAATCATTTAAAAAAAAAAATACCCAAAGAGGAAAATGTGCAATGCCCCAAGGGAGAAATACAAAAAGCCATCAAATACACTAAAAGCAAACTGATTATGGTGTATCATATGAGCAAAAGAAAACAAGGAAAGAGAGGGGTGCCTGGTGGATCAGTCAGTTAAGCATATGACTGGATTTCAGCTCTGGTCAGGATCTCACCTTTCGTGAGATCAAGTCCTGCACTGGGCTCCATGCTAATAGCACAGAACTTGCTTGAGATTCTCTCTCTCTCCCTCCCTCCCCTTCCCTCTCTCGCTCTACCAAGCCCCCAATTCAAAAATAAATAAATAAACTTAAGAAAGAAGGGGGGGGCACCTGGGTGGCTCAGTCGGTTAAGCATCCGACTCTTGGTTTTGGCTCAGGTCATGATCTCACAGTTTGTGAGTTCAACCCCCACATCTGGCTCCACACTGACGCTGCAGAGTCTGCTTGGGATTCTCTCTCTCCCTCTCTCTGCCCCTCCCCTGCTTGTGCACTCTCTCTCTCTCAAAATAAATAAATAAGCTTAAAACTTTAAAAAAAAAAAAAAAAAAGGAAAGAGAACTTATTTGGGTACAAAAAAAAGAAATTCTCATATACCACTGATGAGAGCTCAAAATAAAAGTTTTTCGAGGTGAAACAAGGTGATATGCAGCGATGTGCTTCTCTGTCTATGCAATGTATTACCATTCAACAATAAAAAGGAATGAATTACTGTCACAACATGGACAGATCTCAAAATAATTATGCTAAGTAAAGAAACAGACCAAAAGATATCCCACTACACATTGTTTGATTCCATTTACATAAAAATCCAGAAAATGCAAACTAATCTATGACAAAACAGACCACTGGTTGCCCAGAGGTGGGGACAAGCAGAGAGAAGTGTACAGGATAAAGGAACATGAAGAAAGGGGGTCACAGATTTCTATGTTCATTATTTTGACTGTGGTGATAACTTCATGAAGGTACACACATGCAAAAACATATCAAATTGAACACTTTAAACATGTGCTATTTATTGTATGTCAATTACATCTCAATAAAGCTGATTTTAACTTTGACTTTTCTTTTTCTTTTTTTTTAAGTAGTCTGATGTGGGGCTTGAACTCAAGACCCCGAGATCATGAGTCACATACACTACTGACTGAGCCAGTGAGGTCCCCCTGGATAAAGCTGACTTTAAAAAAGACACCATTAGGAAAATGAAGAGACAAGCCACAAAGTCTTAGACCAGGAGAAAAAATTTGTAAATCATATACTTGGAAAAAGACTTATATACAGAACATATGAAGAATTCTTACAACTCAGTAATAAGAAAGCAAACAGCCCAATTTTAAAATTGGGCGTAATAACGGAATATGCATTTCAACTAAGAAAATATGATGGGGCGCCTGGGTAGCTCAGTCCATCAAGTATCCGAATCCTGATCTCGGCTCGGGGCATGATCTCTAGGTTTGTGAGATTGAGCCCCACGTCCGGCTCTGCGCTGACAGCATGGAGCCTGCTTGGGATTCTCTCTGCCTCTCTCTCTGCCCATCCCCTACTCACAGTCTCTCTTTCTCTCTCAAAATAAATAAATAAGCTAAAAAAAAGAAAATATGACAGCTAATAAGCATGTACCACATACATAATAGATGTTTTATATATAATAGTCATTAAGGAAATGCAAATTAAAACCACAGTGAGGTACCACTACCTACTTACTAGAGTGATTATAATAAAAAAGACCAAGTGTTGGCAAGGATGTGACGAAACCAGAACTCTTACAAACTGCTCAAGGGGATGGAAAATGGAGTGCCCACTCCTTAAGTCTGGCAGCATCTTAAAAAGTTAAACCTAAACTTACCACATGACCCAGCAAGTCAACTCACAGGCATCTAGCTACTCAAGAGCAATGCAAACATATGCCCACACAAAGACTTGTTTGAGAATTATTTGAGCATTATTCCTAAGAGTCAAAAAAAGGAAACAATCCAAATGTTCATCAACAGATGAAGAGATATATCCACACAATAAAATACTCTTCAGTAATAAAAAGGAACCACCAATACATGCTACAGCATGGATGAGCCTCCAAACATTACACTCTAAGTGGAAAACAAAATCAAAATACTACATATGCCCAAAACTCACCCAATACGAAAAAGACTATTCAAAACTCTAATAACTATTAAAAATTTAATTCATGGGGCACCTGGGTGGCTCAGTCAGTTAAGCGTCCCACTTTGGCTCAGGTCATGTCTCACCGTTCGTGGGTTCAAGCCCCGCGTCAGGGTTTTTTGCTGACAGCTAGCTCAGAGCCTGGAGCCTGCCTTCGGATTCTGTGTCTCCCTCTCTCTCCCCCTCTCCCAACCCTCCTACCTGTCAAAAATAATGTAAACATTAAAAATTTTTAAATTGTATGGAAAAGCAAAGGAACTAGAATAGTTAAAAAAATAATTTTGAAAAAGAAGAATTAAGTGGGAGGAACCAGCCAGGGGGAGCCTAAGACTTACTATCTAGCTATCATAATCAAGACTCTGTGGTATTGGTGGAGAGAGAGTCACACAGATGAAAGGAACAGAAATAGCACCCAAAATACACGCACACAAGTGCACTCATGTGATTTCTGACAAGGCTGCAAAAGCCTTTCACTGGAGAAAGGAGTCATCTTTTCAAAACTGGCACTGGAGCAACTGGATTACACAGAGGCAGAAAAAAAAAAAACGAAAAAAAAATGAAAGCTCAACTTAAATTTCACAGTTTATTAAAAAAAACTCAAAATGGAGTGCGGATTTATTTTACTGTTTTTTTAAAGATTTTATTTTTAGTCTCTATCCCCCAACGTGAGGCTTGAACTCTCAACCCTGAGATCATGAATTGCATGCTCTGTGGACCGAGCCGGCCAGGCCCTCCTGGATTATGGATTTACACATAGAACTTTTCACAGAAGACACTGGAGAAAAATCTTTAGGACCTACAGCAAGGTTGAGAATCCTTACAACACTAAAAGCACAAGCTACATGTTTTAAATATCGAGAAACTGGACTTGATCAAAATTAAAAACTTTCTGCTCTAAAACAGCCACCAGAAGACGATAAAAAGACAAGCTAAAGCTCAGGAGATAAGACCTGCAAACAAGATATCTGACGAAGGGCTGGTATCTAGGATATATTTTAAAAATCTCAAAATTCAATAGTTAAAAATAACCCAAACACTCCAGCTAGAAAATGGACAAAGGACACGAAAAGACAGGTCAGGAGATTAGCCTAAAGGAAGATGAGCAACACATCTCGCTATGAAGGAAATGCGATGGAGACCACAAGAAGGTGGCAAACTCATTAAAACAGCTAATGTAAAAAACAGTGACCACATCAAACACCGGTGAGGAGAAGAAACTGATCTCTCATGCTTGCCGGTGGGAGTGTAAAGCCGTTCTAGAAAACAGTACAGCAGTTTCTCATAGACCCAAACACACGATTCCCATATGTCCTAGTAGCTGCAATCTTGACGTTTATCCCACAAAAATGAAAACTTACATCCACCCAAAAGTCTCCATACAAATTTTCAGAGCAGCTTTTTATGTCATACCCCAAAACTAAAGAAATCGACCCAAATGTCAGAGCTTTACCAGGTGAGTGACGAAGTGAGCTGTGGCACGTCATTCTGTGGGACCCCGGTCCATAATAAAAAGGGCAAACTCTGATACATGGAATGACTGAATGGATCAAGGGCACTCTGTTTTTTTTAAATGTTTACTTTTATTTTCGAGAAAGAGACAGAGAGAAAGAGAGAGCGCGCGCACACATGTGTAGGCACAGGGTGGGGGCAGGGGCCAGACAGAAGATCTGCAGCGGGCTCTGTGCTGACAGCGGGGCTCACACTCACGAACCACAAGTTCATGACCTGAGCCAAGGTCAGGCGCCCTAAGGGCATTCAGTTGACTGAAAAAAGCCAACCTCGAAGGCTACACACTTTATGATCTATTTACATAACAGAACTACAGCGCTGGAAAACATATTAGTAGATCAGTATTTATTAGGGTTAGGGACCAGGGACTGTCTATAAAAGCGTAGCAACTATATTATTATTGCTATTTTCTTAATTTGAGAGAGAGAACGCATGAGTAGGGGAGCAGGGTGGAGTTGGGGGGGTGGAGAGAGAGAGAGAGAACGCAAGAGAGAGAAAGAATCTCAAGCAGGCTCCAGTCCCAGTGTGGAGCCCAACGCAAGGCTTGATCCCACGACCCTGGGATCATGACCTGAGCCAAAAGCAAGAGCCTGACACTCAACCAACCAAACCATCCAGGTGCCCCAAGTGTAACAACTATAAAAGGAACACAAGGGATGGGGCACCTGGGTGGCTCAGTCGGTTAAGCGACCAATTTCAGGTCATGATCTCACAGTTCGTGGGTTCGAGCCCCGCGTTGGGCTCTGTGCTGACAGCTCAGGGCCTGGAGCCTGCTTTGGATTCTGTGTCTCCCTCTCTCTCTGGCCCTCCCCTGCTCATACTCTATCTCTCTTTCAAAAATAAATACTGCACGGCAAAGGAAACAATCCAGAAAACTAATAGGCAACCAACGGAATGGGAAAATTAACAATAGAACTCCCCTAGGACCCAGCAATAGCACTGCTAGGAATTTATTAAAGGGATACAGGAGTGCTGATGCATAGGGGCTCATGTACCCCAATGTTCATAGCAGCACTCTCAACAAGAGCCAAAACATGAAAAGAACCTAAGTGTCCATCAACAGACGAATGGATCAAGAAGATGTGGTTTATCTATACAATGGAATGAGAAAGAATGAAATCTGGCCACGTATAGCAACATGGATGGAACTTGAGCGAAAGAAGTCAGGCAGAGAAGGACAAATATCATATGTTTGCACGTATAGGAGGATTAGGAGGAACTTAACAGAAGGTCATGGGGGAGAAAAAGGGGGGAATATGGGGAGAGAGGGAGGGAGGCAAACCATGAGAGACTCTTGAATGCTGAGAACAAACTGAGGACTGATGGGTATGGGAGGGGAGAGGGGGATGGGCATGGAGGAAGGCACTTGTGGGGATGAGCACTGGGTGTTATATGGAAACCAACTTGACAATAAACTATTTGTAAAAAAAAAAACAAAAACAAAAAAAAAAACAACAAAAAAAACACACACAAAAATAAATATTCTTTTTAAAAAAATTTTTAAAGGTGCACAAGGGAGCTTCTGTGTGATAATTGTGTTGATTGTGGTGGTGGTTACACCAATGTACGCATGTGATAGGACCGCATAGCACTACACGTACACACGAGTGGATGTAAAACTGCTGTGATCTGACTAAGGTCTGAAGAGCGTACTGATGTCCATTTCCTGGCGTCACTACTGTAGGCTGGATACATGAGGTGTTACCACTGGAGGAAGCAGGAGCAAGGGTCCATGGGATCTCTCTGCACCAATTTTTTAAACATAATTTCTTATGAGTCTGTAGTTATTTCAAAATAAAATATTTCTAAATAGATTTTGTTAAAGGCCTACCGATTGCATGGAATATACGAAATGTCCAGAAAGGGCAACACCGAGACAGAAAGCAGATCAGTGGGTGCCTGCAACTAGGGGAAGAAGCACTGACTGTGAGCAGGTAAGAGGGAACTTTCTGGGGTGACAGAAATATTCTAACATGAAAGTGTGGTGATGGTTACACTATTGTATTGTGACTTTTACTAAAAAAGTATTGAATTGTACATGAGAATGGATGAATTTTATGGCATATAAAGGATTTTAATAAAGCTGATCTTTAAAAAAAAAAAAAAGTAATATAAACTTACACGCAATTAAATCAGAATTATTCAAGTCCTCCTCAAGCAATCTTACCTGAGACTCCTTTAACGCTTGCTTTCCCCACCAAATTGGGTTGGTATCAACTATGATAACCAGAAGATTCAATTCATCTTCTGAAAATATTAACAAAAAACAAAAACATTAGCCTCATGGAAGTGTATCAAAGCTAACATCCCCACTTTGTAAATTAAATCCGCAGCAGGCACCACCACGTGCCTTTATGCGTTTATCAACCTACAATCATGAAATTAACAGAAGGCCATGTTCTTCTAATAATTTAAAGCTCTGTGGCCCCTGAGCAGGCTCTTGCCTGCCTTCTGCGCCCCTACGTCTTTGATGAACTAGAAAGTAAGCTCCATGGGGGAGAGGATCCTTCCTCCTCTGCTTGTAGCACAACTGCTTAGCATGTGGTAGACGCCCAATAAATTCCTAATAATTTAACCCCAAACAGTCATTTTTAAATGCCTGGTCAAGGACAGAACACACTGATTAACCAGTTAAGATGCAACAGTAGTAGAATTTCAGGCACCAGGAGGCTGAGGGGAGACACGGGACTTAGTTTGGCCTCAAGTCTATCAAATCGCCTTGCAGCAAGGCCAATTGTGATTAGGAATCCATTTTGTTTTTTTTAACTAGGCTCCACGCCCAGCGCTGAGCCCAACACAGGGCTTGAACTCACAACTCTGAGACCAATACCTGATCTCAAATCAACAGTGGGACGCTTAACCCACCGAGCCACCCACGCATCCCAGGAACCAAAGACAGAAAAGCAGTTGTTAACGTAAAGATTATACTGTGAACAGGCTACTCTCCAAAGTTAGGCACGACTAAACAGGCTAACAACACATGAATTCATTTAACAAACATTTACACTAAGTGCCAGTGCTCGGCACTGGGGATACTGGGTTCAAGCCCTCAAGGAGTCTAAATTCTAACTGAATTTGTATGAAAGACACACAAACCAGGAAGTACTTGCCATAATCAAAAACCCAGGATGCTCCCTTAATAGCAAAAAGCAGTAACACCTTTCCGCCCCCACACCTTCCTCCTGCAGTCCCACCTCCTAGATCAAGAGAAGCCTCACTCCGTGGAGAGTTCCGCTCACGTATACAAATCCTATTTACTCTTCAAAGCCCTAAACCAGTGCTACCTCGTTCTTCCACGAGACATCCTCAGGTCTTCCAACAGGTCCTGTCCCCCCAACTGAGAACAGGAACACCAGCCTCCTCTGCATCAGGCGCTGGCATATGTAATCCTATAACCACGTTCCGCACTGACAAGCTAAGGGAAATATTACTGCCATCTTTCACCGATTATAACATGTACCCTCTCTCTCTTTTTTTTTTTTTTTTTTTTATTTATTTGGGGAGGGGGGAGGAGCAGAGAGAGAGGGAGACCAAGGATCCCAAGCAGGCTCCGAGCCGTCAGCGGAGCCTGATACGCGGCTCTAAGCCACGAAGCATGAGATCATGACCTAAGCCGTGATCAAGAGCTGGACCCTTAACCAACTGAGCCACACTTTTTTTTTTTTTTTTTTTTTTTTTTTTAGCATTTAACAGTTGCTAAAAGCAGGATGGAATCTTCCAGTGAAGACTGGCAACATTTCTCTTAGTGGTATCCTAAATAAAAACACATCTCATGATCAGTATCGTCTTAGAGGACATGAAGTATGGCATTCCTGTTTTGCAAATGAAAAGAACTTGCTCTAAATCACATGGCCGGCTGGCAAGGAGCAAACACCCTGCTATGAAGACAGATCTGCTGGACTCTGAAGACTAGCTTTTCAATACCCCACTGTCCACCCCCGACCCTCTTTTAATGACACTTAGCACTCACTGTCTCATTTCACAGTGAGCTGTGTTTCTGATCTCTCTTGCCCGCTCTGCTAACTCTACCAGACTAGTCTAGACCGGACTCCTGATACAGTGAGGATTTTTGCTAACCCTGGGATGAAATAATACAGGCAGCACACACATAACAATGCCTAGCACAGAAGCAGCACTAAATAACTGTCTTCCACAGGCCTCACTCCTCCACCCACAAGCCCACAATCCACTTCCTCACGGAGCATGAGGCCCCATATCCCACAATTGTCAGTGTCACTCCTTGCCACTACCCAAAGCTTGAGACAAAGTGTTGCCTGTCAGGAGAGACGGGTATCGGCGCACATGCACTGCCCTGTGATTTTTCCTTCTTTGGGCCATGCCAGGCCTGCCTCTCTCACAGCCTTGTGGTATGGATTAAAAAAGAAAGGGGCGCCTGGGTAGCTCAGTAGATTGAGTGTCCAATTTCAGTTTAGGTCATGGTCTTGAGGTTCGAGAGTTCCAGCCCCACGTCCGGCTCTGTGATGACAGCTCAGAGCCTGGAGCCTGTTTCAGGTTCTGTGTCTCCCTCTCTCTCTGCCCCTCCCCCACTCATGCTGTCTCTCTCTCAAAAATAAACATTTTTAAAAAAAAAAGATAAAGGAAGTATGGGCAGTTGTTACAGACTCCAAAATGCTGTTTCCACTCTTGCTCTCACAGTCCCTTCTCTACACAGCAGCCAAAGTGCCCTTTTAGAATTATAAATCAGATTGTAGCAATTCTTTGCTTAAGGCCCTACAATGGCTTCATATTACACTTCAAAACAAAGCTCAACCTCTTTATCTTGGCCCACACGGGCCATGCATCCGCCGAGTTCTCGGGATCTCATCCCTCTAGCTCATCTCGCTCCCACCACCTTGGTGGTCTTTTTTCTTCCTCTAAGACATTAGGCTCTATAACTGGTAGTTTAACGTACGAATGAAAGTCTCTCCACCTTTCTCTACCCTCAAGTTCCCCATTTCTCTCTTAGTGTAATGTAGTGGCTCAACTTGCACTCAAGACTCCGTTTCAGAACGTGAGCTCCTATCTAAAGTAGATGCTCCTCGACAACCCCGGTGTACTGTCGCATCTCTTGTCACCCTTCGAAATTACTCTTATTTACTTGCCTACTGTCTGCGTCGCCCACGAGACTGTACCCTCCCCAAGGGCCTTCGTCCGTCACGTTCTCTGCAGTATTCCCCAGCGCATAACATAACGCCTGGCACACAGGACGCCATTCAGAAATCTTTACTGAGTAAATAAACACATTTGCTACTCCCCCTAAGGGCCAAACAGGTTGCACCCAGCCCCCCAAATAATTCTCCATCTGGGTGGTCCTGGCCAGGCCGAGCCCGCCCAGTCCCGGGGTCGCAGGGTCCCTCCCAGCACGGCCCTCACCGTCTGACACCATGGCGGCCAGGAAGCCCCAACGCACAGGCAACCAGAAGGCAAGTAATCCTCGCGGCCCCTGAGCACCGCGACTTCCGGCGCCGCAGCGTGACGCAAGGCGGCTCCGCCCAGGCCGCGCGCAGTACCCGCGGCCCCGCCCCCAAAGCGCCGGAAGTGGAGTGTGGAGGCGGGCTGCGTGCTGACAGTCTCTGTGGCTGCGAACCGGGCGGGTCGTGGGACGCGTCCCAGCAGCGCGGGCGGCCCCGGTCCCCTCGGAGGGCACCATGGACGACAAGGGTAAGTCGGGACGGGCAGGGCCCGCTGGGCCTAACGCGGAGCCACGCAGGGGTGCCTCCGACCTCGCACGCCCAGGCTGGGCTCTGCGAGAAGTCACCTTCCGAGGTTAGGTTGCTCGGCTGGATGTGCAGCTTCTAGTGGCAGCTAAATCCCTCTCGCTGCCGCTGTGTCCAGGGTACCCCGAGGGTATCCCCATGCCTTCCTCTCCCAACAGTTTCCAGTGCCCTCCTACAAAAAGGGGAGACTTGGGCCAGGGGTGCAGGTCTCCGCAGTCTTGATTTCTTCATATGTAAAGAATTTATTCATTTATTCAGATCCCCTGCCTTATTGGATCTGGTACTGGAATTTTAAAAGAAAATTTTAATGTTTATTTTTAAGAGAGAGAGTGAGTAAGGGAGGTGCAGAGAGAGAAGAGGGAGATCTAGAATCCGAAGCAGGCTCCAGGCTCTGAACTGTCAGCACAGAGCCGGATGCGGAGCTGGAACTCATCAACAGCGTGAGATCATGACCTGAGCCGAAGGCCGACTCTTAACTGACAGAGCCATGAGGCGCCCCTGGAATTTTTTAAAAAGGCATATTTGATGTGCTCGTCTAGTACTGTTATCAGGGTGTTTTATTACGTGAAGTACAGGGGCAAACTAACATATATCATACTTCTCATTCAAGAAAATAGGGGGGTGACCTTACATATGCATGTAACTATGTAAGCAGGGGAACAGGTTGAATTAGCATAGACCGTCTAGGGAGGTTGACTCTGGGATTCTCCCATGACTTGGAGTTCAGGTTAAGAGGGAGGATGACCTTCCGCTATCATTTGGTGCTGCTTAAATTTTATGCCGTTATGCACAGATAGCTTTCTCAAAACAAGAAAAAGAGCTTGTAAATACTAAAGTGGTGTCATCTGTATTGCCATCAATATTTATAATGCCCCTGAAGAAAATCATCCTGAAAAGAAAGTATTTTTTTATTGAAAAAATTTTTAATGTTTTATTTATTTTTGAGAGAGAGATAGAGACAGCATGAGCAGGGGAGGGTCAGAGAGAGAGAGTGGGAGACACAGAATCCGAAGACAGGCTCCAGGCTCTGAGCTAGCTATCAGCACAGAGCCCAACGCAGGGCTCAAACCCGCAAACCGTGAGATCATGACCTGAGCTGAAGTCGGACACTTAACCGACTGAGCCACCCAGGCGCTCCAAAAGAAAGTATTTTGTTTTTTTAATTTTTTTTTAATGTTTTATTTATTTCTAGCAGAGAGAGAGAGACAGCGTGAGCAGGGGAGAGTCAGAGAGAGAGGGAGTCACAGACTCTGAAACAGGCTACAGGCTCTGAGCTGGCAGTCAGCACAGAGCCCGACGCGGGGCTCGAACCCACGAACCGCGAGATCATGACCTAAGCGAAAGTCGGACGCTTAACCGACTAAGCCACCCAGGCGCCCCCAAAAGAAAGTATTTTTAAAACTAGTTTGCTTCTAAGTGAAAAGGTCTCTGCTCTTACATCCTGCTAAATGAATTTGATGAAGCACTTTTTTGTCCCTTCCCAGAGTTGATTGACTATTTTAAGTCTCAGATGAAAGAAGACCCTGACATGGCCTCAGCAGTAGCTGCCATCCGGACTTTGCTGGAGTTCTTGAAGAGAGATAAAGGTGAGGAGGGTCAGATTCGAACACTTTGGGTGTCAGGAAAGTCATCTAATAACTATTAGAGAAGTAGAAAGTGAAAATGCGTATGGGCCTGCATAAGGTGATACAGCTCCAAGCTCAGCTTCTCCTTCATTTCAGTCTTTTGTGTTTTTAATGTTTATTTATTTTTGAGGGGGGGGGAGGGAGATGCAGAGGGAGGGGGAGACACAGAATCTGAAGCAGGTTCCAGGCTCTGAGCTGTCAGCACAGAGTTCAGTATGAACCACAAGATCATGACCTGAGCTGAAGTCAGACGCTTAACAGACTCAGCCACCCAGACACCCCCAGTCTTCCTTTTAACCTGGAGAAAGCCCTCCAGTCATCATTAAATGGGTTCCCTTTCACAAGATACACTTTGAATCAAGAGTGACCATGTTTTTTGTTTTGCTAGTTATTTATTTTGAGAGGGGGTAAGGGGCAGAGAGAGGAGAGACAGAATCCCAAGCAGGCTCCATACCACCAGCATGGAGCCCAATGCAGGGCTCTAACCCATGAACTGTGAGATGATGATCTAAGCTGAAGTTGGATGCGTAACTGACTCAGCCACCCAGGCGCCCCAGGAGTGACCATATTACATCAAGTCAACCATGAAGCTTAAATTATAGCAATAGCTCAGCTTTATAAGTGTTTATTGAGTTTCTGTCATGTGCCAGAATTTGTGCACTTGCTACAAAGAATGCTCCAGAATAAAATTCTAGTGTGTCATTCATGGTGATCACCTAATTCAGGCATCCTCAATGTGAGTTTCTTGGTAGAGCGTGATATCTTGTATAAGCAAAGTAACAACAACAAAAGTGCCTTCTTCCATGCGAAGGGCTGGCCTAGGGACACGTGTCTCTGAGGCAACCCCTGCAGTCTTCCCTTTGTACCTACGGTAACACCCAAACACCTAAGCCCTGCCTGAACCACCTCGCACACCTCATCTGCCACTTCTGCTTCCTGTCCTTCCAGACCATCCCTCACTAGACTCTGCTTCAGCCCTGGCGGCCTCTCTCTGTCATATCAAGTTTGTCCCCATCTCGGGGTCTTTCTGTAGTTACATCTGTACCTATAACCTTTGCTGCTGGGTCTGTGTGGCTGGATCCTTTCTTACCCAGGTCTCTGTTTAAGTGGCCTCCACTCCAGAGGCCTTTCTCATCATTCTGCTTTTCTCTGTTCTCATTCGGTCTGTGACTTGTGTATTTCTTTGTGTGTTTGCCGTCAGCCTCTTCCACCAGAGAGGGAGTCCCGTCAGGGTAGGGACCCCGTCTGAGTGCCCACTGATGTGTCTCTAGCATACAGGATGCACTCAGGAAGCAGTAGTTGAATACCTGAATGAATCACAGACCCACCAAGGGGCTGTGACACTTAAACAAACATCACGTTCCCCGTGTGATCAATCCAGGGGAGACCATCCAGGGCCTGCGAGCGAATCTCACCAGCGCCATAGAAACGCTGTGTGGCGTGGACTCCTCCGTGGCCGTGTCCTCGGGCGGGGAGCTGTTCCTGCGCTTCATCAGCCTTACCTCCTTGGAGTACTCGGTGAGCGCCGCCCTCCCTGGGTTACCTTCTCCTCCTGTGTTCGGCTGCACGTACTCTCCTGGACCTTGCCCTTCCCCTCATTTCGCTCTTGTCTTCCCAGGATTACTCTAAATGTAAAAAGATCATGATTGAGCGGGGAGAGCTTTTTCTCAGGAGAATATCCCTGTCGAGGAGTAAGATTGCAGATCTGTGCCATACCTTCATCAAAGACGGCGCGGTGAGTAGGCTTTCACGTGTGCAGTAACTGGGAGCAAGGACCCTGGAGTTGGACTCCTGGGGCAAAATCCCTCCTGTGCCACTTACTTGCTGTGTCACCTCGGACAAGTTACTTAACCTCTCTGTGCTGCCATTTTCTCATGTTAAATACAGGTAGTAACAGCACTTACCTCATTAGGCTGTTGTGGGAGGAGGTACTGAGATGATCTCAGGACTCTGTACTATGCCTGGCCCATAGTAAGCACGACGCAGGTGTGCAGATGTGGTTGTGGAGGCTGTCGTGTTGCACAGGTAGAGAACCACCTGGGAGAGCACGGATGATTCCTGGTTTTATTAAGCTGTCTCACCAAAGAAGCATTTTCATTATTGGATGTGTACTAAATCAAAATTAAGTCCCCGCATAACAGCTCTCGGCACTGGTTCGTACTGACATGAAGGTGAAGGTTAGCACTGGCTTGCGATATTGTCTGTCAGTTCACGTCCAGTGATTTCAGAGATGCAGAGCGGCCAGGGGTGTATGGGCTGAGTGAGGACGGAACTGCAGGTTAAGCCAGGCCCCAGCAAAGGCGCAGTAAAACTTTTATGACGTCTCTCCCACGGCGTCCCTCTTCTGCCAGTCAAACCTCCACGGACCATAAAAGCATTTACTTGCATTTTGACTCTGAAATCTTGTTCCTCGGTTTTATTACCCCCTTCCCAACCTTTGAAGTGGGTTACTCAGTAAACGACGTAATAGATGTAAGCAGAACTTGCACGAACGCTGGCTGCAGACACAGCCACTTTTGGTCAAGTGGAGGCAAGATTACGACCGCCTCTCACTGAGGCCTCCTTCCACCACACCGCCCCCGCGCCCCGTCTTCTGCAGGCTCTGCGGGGTTGGAATGTGTGAGGCCCACCCGCATCCACACTGGTTGAGATGAAATTCAGAGCAGAGCTGCCCACATTTGAACTTGCAGATGAACCTCCTGGAGATCTTAATGCAGATCCTGATTCAGCAGGTCTGGGGGGCTGAGACTCTGCATTCTTGCGAGCTCTCGGGGGAGGCCCAGAAAGGAGCTGGGGCGCTGTGTCCATCCATTTTGCATTACACAGAACTGTGTAGTCTCTTGCCTAGAACACAGGTTAGCGAATGTCTGTACGTTGTATCCGGTCTACAAATAGGTGTGTTCACCTAAGTAGTGTTGATAAATTCTAAAAAATTAGTTAGCCAATGTTTAAATCGGATTTTCAAGAAAAATCGATGCTCTGGCAACAGGGGGACCATGTGACAACAGCTGGAGCTTGGTCCCTCCTCTTTGCTGCCAGCCCCACCCGAGCACGTCTTCATGCAACCTGAAGGTGCCTGCGGGCCTGAGTGTGCAAACCGCATCTTAGAAATGGGAAAACCAGCCCAAAGGGACCTAACAGCCTTCAGATAGAAGGACGTCTGTATCTCGTGAGCCACCCCCCCCCATGGAGACTCCACTCCCACACTCGCTGTGGGAAGAGAGGGCCCACGATACGTGTGCCATCCAGGATCTCCGCTACAGATGACCTGTGAGAAGGCACAGAGCAGCCTCGGGGTGCCGGGAACACGCATTAGAGTGGCAGGGAGCATGGGTGATCGCTGCGAAGCCAGCCCTCTTGACGGAGCTTTCTTGGTCCACAGCGAATATTAACTCACGCCTACTCCAGAGTGGTCCTGAGAGTTCTGGAGGCAGCAGTGGCGGCTAAGAAGCGTTTCCGGGTGTACATTACAGAGTCACAGCCTGATTTATCAGGGCAAGTACCGTTCCATTTGGTTATGTGCCCAATAGTCATTTTTTCTTTTTTAGTGTTTGTTTATTTTGTGGGGGGTGGGAAGGATGGAGGGAGAGAAAGAGAGAGAGAATCCCAAGCAGGCTCCACGCTGTGAGTTCCACGCTGTGAGCCTGACACAGGGCTCGGACTCATGAACTGTGAGATCATGACCTGACCCAAAATCAAGAGTTGGATGTTTAATGACTGAGCCACCGATACATGCCCCCCAGCAGTCATTTCAAAGAGCAAACAGGATGCACACCTGTGCAGGAAGACCCAGAACCTACCCCCAGTTTGCCAGTCAATGGTGCCTGTTCCTGTCCCTGCGGGAACATCTCAGTGGAACTGCAGTTGGCCACGGTACAGGATCTAGGGGTTCCATTTAGTAGTTAAATCAGAGAAACAGCAACCAAATGTCTGGAAAGATTTGTATCAAGGAAAAGATAATTCACCTCTCTCTCTAGAAGGTAATTCAAGGGAAAACTTAGTCCTTTTTTTCCGAATTTGCATCTCTAACCCAGAGTCCCCAAGAATGTAGTTTTCCTAAAACATACTTTCTTACAAAGAACCCAAATTCTTGTTTCCTTAGTCCAGAATCTTGGGATGTGCCCCTTAATCCGTGAATATGAACTGAGTTTCAAGCCAAGGTGATATGTCATCCAAATTAGGTGATTCATCGTACACCACGATGGGGGCTTTCTTGGACTCTCTAATGTTCTCAAAATATCATTTTCCAGTAAGAAAATGGCCACAGCTCTCTGTCACCTCAACGTCCCTGTCACTGTGGTCCTAGATGCTGCTGTTGGGTAAGTTCCTGTCTTCCTGACCAGTTACTTTTCCTCACTACCCTCGGGGTTGGCTTGGACCAGGGTTTCCAGAGTGAAGGTTTGAGTCCACTCATAAAACTGCACTGGCTAGTGTCCTGCTTCTGAACTGATGGCTGCACTAAACCAGCAAGCCCGTGATAGTCTTGATAGTGTATGCAGGAATCAGTGTATGTAGGGACTTGTGGAGAATAGGAGCCGATTTTGTAGTCTTCCGGTGCATTTTAAGAACCAGATGCAAAAGGTTGAGTTCAGGTTAGCACACGCTGTCAGTGCTCCCTCTTCAGCAGAAGGCATAGGCTGGCCTCAGTGGCACTCTGAGATTCTTTGACTTAACCCGTGCAACTTCACTTCTAAAATTAAGGACAGATTCCAAGAACTGACAGTGTACCTCACAAGAGAGAACAGGACTGATAATCTCTTGTAAGGAAAACACATAAGGCAGATGGTTAAGGCAATTAGGAATGCGTTCAAAAGTCAGCATTTTGAAGACTTGTACATAATTGCTCATTTTCAAAGATAAATTGGCCTTCACCCTACCTGAAAGTTTAAGTTTTTTTATTTATTTTTTTAATGTTTATTTTTGAAACAGAGAGAGCATGAGCAGGGGAGGGGCAAAGAGAAGGAGACACAAAATGAGAAACAGGCTCTGAGCTGTCAGCACAGAGCCCAATGTGGGGCTCGAACCCACAAACTGTGAGATCATGACCTGAGCCAAAGTTGGATGCCCAACCGACTGAGCCACCTAGGTGCCCCACTTTTATTTTGTTTTAGAGAGTGAGCCAGAATGCAAGCAGGGGAGAGGGGCAGGGCAAGGGAGGAAGAGAATCTTTTGCAGGCTCCGTGCTCAGTGCGGGGCCCACTGCAGGACTTGATCCCACAACCCTAGGATCATGACCTGAACCAACATCAAGAGTCAGACACTCAACTGACCCAGCTACCCAGGTGTCCCAGAAAGATTCTTGAATTACATAACCTGTCTTCCAACTTCAGACCACAACAGGTTTTAAACTTTTTGTTTGTATTGAGGTGGATGAGAAAACAGAGTGGTGCACACATAGTGAGAATCAGTACCGGGTCAGTTACTGCACCCACACGTGTACCTGCGCTGGGTGGCAGTGTGCAGTGCGCGTTTTACGTGATCAGAGCTGGTTTATATGCCCCCGGTGGCAGAACTGGTGAGAGTGCCCAGGGTGTGGTGTGTCACCGGTTAGGTGCTCTTCTGAAGAAAGTTATGAGAGGAGCTTACCACGCTGAAAATGAAGTACTACTGATTTTGGCAGGTGATGATACTAATAGGAGCCAAGAAAAAAGAGCATAATTTTTTTTTTAATTTCTTCAGCTATATCATGGAGAAAGTGGATCTTGTCATAGTTGGTGCTGAAGGAGTTGTTGAAAATGGGGGCATCATTAACAAGGTAAGAACATGGCTTCTCCACAGTCCGTGCCGCGTCGCCAACCTACCTGCTGGTGGCATTGGGTGTTAGGGTTTCCTCATCTAGTCCTAATTAGCCTGCAGAGCTCACCATTGCATCAGACGGTTTCCTGGTCCCACTGGGGCCGCTGATCGGCCAGAGTCTGGTCACCTGTTTTGATCTTTATAAACCATGAGAGTGCAGTTCACCCCTTCTCCAAACATGTTTTAACTGGAATTGGGTTTGGCTGGTTGTTTGTTTTCTAATTGGGCATATTTGACATCAGTGTAGTGTGGTGTCAACATTTCTCTGTCCATCGTTTGACGTGGCAGGATTTCATGATCATTTGTTCCACACGGTGTGTGGCGAAATACACGGAACAGAAAGGTTTCAGGCATACAGTTAGGTGGCGTGACCTCACTCAGCGTGTTTTCCAAGCCCATCTGTGTAGTAGCAGTATCAGTGCCTCATCCTCCATGGCTGCCTAACGTTCGGGACGTGCACGGACCACGTCTGTTTATCCCCCATTCACGTCCACTTGAGTTGTTTCTACGTTTTGGCTCTTGGGAATAATGTTACTACGAACACGGGTGCACAGTCATCCACTTGAGTTGTGTTCAGTTCCTTCAGGTACATACCGACAATGGAATTTCCAGGTCACGTGGTAATTCTGTGTTCAGCTTTTTGAGGACCCCCCCCCTCACCGACGCTTCCACAGCAGCTGCACCATTTTGCATTCTCCTCAGCAGTGTACAAGGATTCCAGCTTCTCTTCGTCCTTGCCAACACGTGTTTTTTCATTCTGGCCACTCTAATAGGTGTGGAGTAGTATCTCATTGTGGTTTTTACTTGTGTTTGCCTAAGGACTGAAGACCTTGAGCATCTTTTGAGCGTGTATTTGTTTATCTTTGGAGAAATGCCTATGTTGTCGTTTTTTTAACATTTATTTTTGAGAGCGAGAGAGTGTGCACAAGTCGGGGAGAGGCAGAGAGAGGGGGACAGAGGATCTGAGGCAGGCTCTGTGCAGAGAGCAGAGAGCCCGATGTAAGACTTGAATTCACAAGGCATGAGATCATGACCTGAGCTAAAGTCAGACGTTGAATCAACTGAGCCACTCATGTGCCCCAGTGCTGTCATCTTTTTTTGAAAGATCTCCTTTAATTCCAAAGCCAGAATTACATATATTATGTAAGACATCACACACTTTCAAATGTGCTAGATCATCTCATCCTTCTACATTTTCTATGACTCTCCAGATCGGAACCAACCAGATGGCCGTGTGCGCCAAAGCACAGAACAAGCCTTTTTACGTGGTTGCAGAAAGTTTCAAGTTTGTACGGCTCTTCCCACTAAACCAGCGAGATGTCCCAGATAAGTTTAAGGCAAGAGTTTGGTTTTTTGGGTTTGTTTTTTTTTTACATATTTGAAGGGGTATCTGAGTCTGAACTGAAACCTTTGCAGAAAAGCAATGTAAGAACATTTCAGTAAGTTACTCCTCTCCCATCACAGTTTTCTCCAACCCCTCGGATGCAAAGATCAGTTATTGGGTGAACTGAGAGTCAGAGAGATGCATTTATCCCCAGAATTTCTATCTGTCAGTCTCTCACACATGCGAGGAGGCCGTGAGGAGGCAGGGAAAGGGGAAAGCAGACAGTTGAGTCCAGGGTTTAGAGTTCACTGTCCAGGCTCAGCTCCCGTCTCACCGCTTACAAGCATGTGACCTGCGGCACATGCTCTCATTTGTTGCCCTGAACTTCAGCTGCACGGAGTCCTGACAGCTCTGAGGTAATCTCGGAGGAAAGCTCAGCACGTGCCAGGCACAAAATCAGTCTCTGTAAACAGCGTGAACTGTTACCTCAAGAGGTTTGGAGAAATGAAGCCAGCACACCAGTGAGCGCAGACGCGGTTTGGATTTTCACTACACTGAGGCAGTTGGCCAGTAGGCCGCCCCCTCTGGCTCACCCGCGCGACTCTCCCCTCCTCACCAGGGCGCTGCGTGGCTGGCTTCTCGCGTTTTCAGGGAGCCCCTTCACATAGTAGCGCACCGGCTGCTCGCACTCATGCTAGTTCTGAGCCCTGTGTGTGGGGAAAACCAACATATGCTCTCTCCTCTCTCCTCAGTATAAGGCAGATACTCTGAAGTCTGTGCAGACCGAACAGGATCTCAAAGAGGAACACCCATGGGTCGACTACACCTCCCCTTCATTGATAACACTGCTCTTTACAGACCTGGGGGTGCTGACGCCCTCAGCAGTCAGCGACGAGCTCATCAAGTTGTATCTGTAACCACTGGACCGCCTCCCGCACAGCTCATATACTTGGGGCAGGGTGAGTAGCCTCTTGACTCCGTGGTGAGTCAGGCAAAAACTGGATTTTTAAGATTTTATTTTTATGTAATCTCTACACCCCATGTGGGGCTAGAACTCACAGCCCCAAGATCAAGAGTCGCGTGCCCCACCAACTGAGCCAGCCGAGCGCCCCTAAAACTGAATTTTTTTGTGTGTGAAGACGTATGGACTAAGGACCTAAAACTTCAAGAATTTTTTATTCATTTCAGCCCCATCTATAATGTATTCACGGTTTCCGTAAAACCCAACGTGAATTGTGCTTATGGTTTCCAGACACTTTCCACTTTCCAGAAATATAAATTAGATTATTGGCTACTTATCCAATGAAAGACATGCCCAAGCCCACCTCCCTTCTTCCCTGCACTCCAGACTGATTTACTAAAAGCATAAATTAAAGAGGTGCAGGCCTGAAAATGCAGACCTTCCTAACTGCAACCAGGCGCCCCTTCAGGAACTAACAGCTGCCCAGGACACACGTTATGTACGGTGCCTTGTGACAAAGGTTGGAAACTGTGTTCAGTTCACATCAGGCTTCCAGCGGTGAACACGGGTCAGGGGCTGCCAATCCCCTCATCGGGATTGGGACACAGGATGGAAACCAGCAAAAGAACACAAGGAAGGTAGAAACCGCATTTAGCAGGAGCATTCAACATGGCTCATCACATATGAAGACCTTCCAGAACATTTATAAGCTGAAATTCTGCATCTGTAAAAGATGTGAATCTACTTCAGATGTGTTTATGCCTAAACAGCTTTTTAAAATTGTACTTGGGGACAAATTGAGCATCTTTTCAAATAAATTACACGAAAGGTTTTGAGACGGTGTCGCATCAGTAGAGAGCCCCCTGGGACCCAGAGGCCCGGGCCTTCGCGGTGAGGCTTCTGCGGCCACATTCACACACTCAAGACAGTCGGTTGGAAGGAAATCATTTATTCAACACAAGGCCTAACTTTTTCCCCAGATTAGGATTTGCTCCTTTGGTTTTTCAGATACTCCCCTACGGAACAGTGGTGGCAACATCAGCCACTCCATGCAGGCGTTTTATGCAGTCCCTCAGAGAGGACTAAAGTCCAGGGGAAAGAACACCCAGGAAGGTCAGATGCCCGAAAACCCTAAGGAGCCTTAAAAAGCCAAAAATCAAGTTTACCTCAGTATCTTTATGTTAGAAAGTAAGTATAAAATAGGCACAGAAAAATCAGCTCTGTAGGTGACCCATCAAAATAAATATTGACATCTGTTATTTACACGCCAGCAGTCTTACACTCTTCTGTTACACTTAAATGCCAGTGTATTTTTTTTAAATATTTATTTTTGAGAGAGGGTGCGAACAAATGGAGGAGCAGAGAGAGGGAGACACAGGATGCAAAGCAGGCTCCAGGCTCCGAGCTGTCAGCACAGAGCCCGACACGGGGCTTGTACTCACAAACTGAGCTCTTGACCAGAGCCGAAGACACCCAACCCACTGAGCCACCCAGGCACCCCAAGGCCAGTGTGGTTCTAATACAACATCCACGAGCCTGAAAGCCTCTCTCCCTGCCCCATCCGAACAACAGGATCTTGGATGTGAAGTTCCAACACGCAGTGAAAGCAAATGTGGGCCGAGCCAGGCCTGCAGCCACGGCCCCGGCACCCGCCCACGCCGGTGTCTGTCAGCAGTCCTGCCCCCGGGCGGTGAGCCCCACATCTGCTGTGGTGACTGTTCGCTTGCCGCTCGCCAGCAGCCCCTTCTCAAATTCCTCTTCGGTGATCTTGCCTTTCTTAAACTTTTTCAAGAGCCTCGTGTCGTTAAGAAGTTCCTCCATGTCCTCGTCCTCGATATCCGAACCCTAAGTGCAGAGACCAACAAACAACGCAGGTCCTGAGCAGCCTGCTGCCGCCAGCAACGGCATGCTCAGCCCGGGCCCAGCAGCACACGGGGGCGGGGAGCCCCCGCGCTGCCTACCACAGACATTGTGGTAAAATTCATTCAGAATTCTCAGCTGAGTGTTTAAGAAAGAAAACACACCGTACCTCTTCCCTCTTCCTTTTTTCATTCATTTTTTTCTTCTTCTCCTTTTTGGCCTTCTGCTTTGACCAGGCTTTATTTTTTATGAATTTTTTTCTCCCTTCATCTTCTCTCTTCACTTTTTGTTGCTCTAGTAGTTTCTGCCTTTGCTTCTCTCTGACTTTATCTTTAAATGGAATAGTGTCTGTATTAACATCTGCAGGCACAAAATCTGGAAACTGCTTTCCTCTCAGTTCTGGCATCTTGGGCATCCTCAGCAGGGCAAACCCTCGAGCAAGACTAGCAAAATCAAGATCTAATTAAACCAAAATGTCAGAGTTAGCACACCCAAAAGAGGATTATAAGCACCAACCTGAGAACCCAAGAAAGATGCCTAACAATGTAACTTTTTAAAAAATGATTTTATTTACTTTTGAGAAAGAGAGAGACAAGGCACAAGCAGGGGAAGGGCAGAGAGAGGGGGAGACACAGAATCTGAAGCAGACTCCAGGCTCTGAGCTGTCAGCACAGAGCACAACATGGGGCTTGAATTCATAAACCACAAGATCACGACCCAAGCCAAAGTCGAATCCTTAACCAACTGAGCCACCCAGGTGCCCCCAATGTAACTGTCTTCTATCCAAATGATCTAATGGGCTCGTTTTCATTAGAATTAAAATTACATTTTTACTGAAAAGGAATACTCAGCAGCCAGTTTATTCTATCAATGCAAACCCTAGGAAGACTTCCTTTTAAATGTTTAGAAAACATTAATCCTTTATACACCTAAACGTTTATATAAAACATTGCAGTTTCACACTTGTAATACTTGCAAGCCTGTCAGATGCTGAAGGAGATACAATTAGGTGAAGTCCAACTTACCCTTTAACCTGAAGATGAGGCTGCATTCGTGCTTCGCGTACGCCTGGACGTACGACACAAAGGCTTTCATGCCCTTTTCAAAGACCGCTCTGTCACCCAGGGCCATGGACTTGAGCTTTGGAAGGAGGTCTCCTGTGTTTTTCTGTAGTTTCATCTCCTGCAGGGGGCACTGTACACAGGCAACATGCTCACCTCCTCGGGCTGGGATCCCTTCAGCCTCCCAGCTCCCCCTGCAGAGCCAGTGCCAATACAACCAGAGGCAAACAATTCATTGTCATCTTTAATCAGAGGCCTAGAAGCCCAAATTCCCAAGTGTTGTATTTGGTCCGAAATTTTTTAAAGAAAATTTTAATTTTACATAACAATCCTCATTTCTTGTTGGAAAGCACCCAGCACCAGGTCTGTGCTCCCACGTACTGACTCAGCAGGAGCTGAGCAGTGGCCACCACGCTCAGGGTGGTGCAGTCCCTGCACTCATCGCCAGCCTGGCCCCTGTGAGCCCGCAACCCCTAATCTAAGTTCCAGACCACTTGTCTGAAAAGTCTACCAGGTATCTGTCCCATCACTGTGCACTGTGCACTGTAGACAGGAAAGGGGATCACTTACTTTCTGGTTAATTTCAAGGAAACTGACGTAGGACTCTTCCATGGGAAGGAGGAACACGAGCGCGCTGCCACCGTGGCCGATGCGGGCTGTGCGGCCACAGCGGTGCACAAAGGCGCTGTGGACACAGGACAGGAACGTGATCACCACATGAGGGTGGCGGGGTGCGGGCACAGGGCCGCCACACCCCACGGCTCAGCCCCACCCTGCCCCTCACTTGTACCAGAAATACCAGAGCTGGCAGTGAAACAGACTGCAAACCAGACAGGATTCTGTCAGACACTTAATGTGAACTAGAAACTTGCTACACTTAGGCCCAGCTAATGACACAGGCAGAACACAGTCCTAGTGGAAAGCTGGGAGGCGGAAGTAGAGAAAAGAACAGAGGCCTATAAGCCCCCCAACCAAGAAGTAACAGCTATTACTGCTGGGGAATTCAGTTCACCAGCATTCTTCTATGCTTGGGAGCATTTACAAGGAATATATGGGGAAAAAACAAACTTTCACATACGGCGTTAGCTATTATTTTCCTTTGAGCTTTCTATCACGTGCGTTCACGCAAGAACTTTAAAAAATATGTGAAAATAACTTGAATCGCTGCATAATATGACATCATTATTTCAACACACCAGTGACAGTTCACCTGTCTGCTCATCTTTGCTATTTAAAACAACATTTTGATGAACATCATCATGCAGATCTTCCTTGGGATCCATGGGGCCCAGTTCCCAACAGAGAGGACAACATTCTGTCACACTGTACCTTGCACTGCTGGGAGGGTCGTACTGCAAAACCCAGTTTACTTCAGGAATATCTATTCCTCGGGCCATGACGTCCGTGCACACTAAGATCCCGCTAGAAAATGAGAGAACACCATTCTGAGTAAGGAGGCCACCCTCAGTCCGTACCGGCCTGGATGACAACGGGGACAGTAACACGGCTTCCTGCGTCTCTCACAGAAGCAAGCATTTGGTAGTAACACACACTTTTTCTTCCTCCTAAGGATATCTAGGAGTTCACAAATTCCCAATGAAAGCAGGAGGGAGAGAGGAGACAGTGAAAGGATTTTTAATCAGCGTACTTTTATTTGAAAAGAAAAATGTGCTGGGGCACCTGGGTGGCTCAGTCAGTTAAGCGTCCGACATTGGCTCAGGTCATGATCTCACGGTTTGTGGCTTTGAGCCCGCATCAGGCTCTGTGCTGACAGTTAGCTCAGAGCCTGTAGCCTGCTTCACATTCTGTATCTCCCTCTCTCTGATCCTCCCCTGCTCATGCTATCTCTTTCTCTCTCTCAGAAATAAATAAAACATTAAAAAAATTTTTTTGAAAAGAAAAACCTGAGTCTAATCCTGAAGTGCAACAATCCATTCTGCCTCTCTGCCTGGAAGAGTGGTGTTACCAACACAGCCAGGAAAAAGCAAAAAAAACAGCCAGGAGGCTCGATGGTTAAAAAAGCAGCAAAATGTTACTTACATGCAAAGAGCCAATTACGGTCGCCCAGACATGTGAGTGCCCGCCCCCTCACGAGTCACCCAACAACAGCCCGCAAGGCTTCAGTGAATAGCTCCCATCCACGTTCTCCACCCACACACCAGTTAGGAAAACCCTGTGCCAGGCACCGAGCCAGATACCAGGGAATCCAGGACGGAACACAACACACAAGTCCCTGACCTCATGGGGAAGCTGGTGATACCTAAGGAGGTCAGTTCAGCACAGCATGCCGGGCTCAGGACGAGAACGGGGGACCTGGGCTATACAGGGCAGGTGTGGTAACCGGGGCAGATGAGAAAGAGAATCCCAGGCCGAGAGCAGCCACAGCGAAGGGTGGCCTCCGAGGCAGCCAACCCACCTCTGCAACTTGCGGAAGTCCATGAAGATCTTGTTGCGCTTGTGTTTCATCTTCCCATGAATGCACATAATCGTCACACCCTTCACCAGGGCCTCCAGGGCCTTTCCATAGTATTCCACACAGGCGCACGTGCTGCGAGAGCGGAGAGCCGGCTCAGAGTCACGGACCCACCTGGGTCCTTCTGTTGCTGGGGGAGGGAGGCGGCGAGCACCAGACGCAGCGGGGGTGACCCAATCCCCTCCACTGAGCTCTAAAGCCAAAACCCTCCCGAGTTCTGACACCAAGACAAACCCCACTGTGGCAGACCCTGGGCTGGCCCTTCAACGCCAGGCCCAGCTACCTCCTCCCTCCCCTCCCTCTACTCAGTTCCTCTGCCTCTCTTGAGGGGAGTGGCTGTGCTGCTGAGTGGCCCACCTTTGGCCCCTAAAATGAAAGCCTGAGTCACCTAGGGAGGAGGGGGTTCTGAGAAAGCTTGGGTGTGAAGGCTACCCTTCCCCCTCCGCCTTTCCTCCTTTATGTACTTTCAGGGCACACAGGACAGTGGACAGGACAGTGACGGCCAGGCAGAACAAAAGGCCAAGACAGCCGCAGAAATACTGACCTGGACACTGAGGAGACATCACCCAGTGTCAGGACCTGCCTAGCCCCCAGACTTCTTTCTATAGGAGAAAACTAACGCCTCCTGGTTGAGCCACAGAAGTTGGGTTTTCAGTTATTTGCGGCCAAAAACATTCCTGAGAGAATTCCAAACCTTCGAGCTACACGTGTCTGCACATCATGGATGTGGCTGAACCCCAGATTCTCCCACCCAGAGCATCCAGAAGGATTACCTGAAAAAGATCAGGTGCTTTGCCTGCTTATGATTTCGAAGAAAATGTACCAGCTGGTTAAATTTCTCATCTGCCTTACATACCTGCAAAATAAGAAGAAAAA